TTTTTCACAAAATGCTCATGAAGCAATGGGTTAATGTACATGATGTAATGTGCGACTGTGGAAGAAAAATAGAAACCATATTTATTCAATATGATGACTCTGTAAGAATATGATTACATTTAAATGACAAAGTAAATTGAAGGAGTGGGGAGGTGGAGGAGGCGGGTGAAACAATTTCTGCACTGCTGGCAATTATTTTATGTTTCAAATGACCTTGTTTTGTTTGGACTGACTGTGTATAAATGACTGTCAATTTTAAGACATAAGAGATCGTCAGAGAGGTTACTGTACATTTCAAAGTTCAAAGTGACTTTTAAAAAAATGTATAAAGAAATGATATAGAATTTATATGGCATTGTGTCCAAGATAAAGCATTGGAGAAGATAAAGCAATTCATTAACGCAATATCCTGTATTAGCTTATTACTACCCTTAGAACAACCAGTCAAGCTCCAAGTGGATTCAAGAAGTAGAGGTATAGGTGTTACCTGCTTGCAAGGTGATAAACCAATAGTATTTGCTCAATCAGTCAATAACTTGATATTAGGGATTTTAGGAAAATAAAAATACATCTTGCAGAGTACATGTGTTTGTGTTTTGTTGTCACTATTTTGTGAAGTCTGCTTGATTTTAATAAATCCCAACAACAAAACATTTAATGTATGAAATACATGGACAATAATGTTACCATGGAAAAAGTATTTCAATATTGTCATATTTACGTCTCGTGAAATTTCTCACGCCAGACGGTTGGCTTGTATAGAGATATATACTATTTTTGATTGTGACTAATTTGAGAAAGAAATTATAATGATACATAAAAACATAGATTATACAACTTAATAAATGTCAGATGTCATCAAATTTATTCCTACACAATTGATTATTATGAAAATATTCTTCGTTTAAGTGACAATTGAAAAACTGAAGTTAAATAGAGAGTTAAAAGATTTATTTTCACACCAAAATGCCCGTAAATGATTAATAGCTTTCTGTTTAATTGATTGTGAGAATAAGTAGAAACATTCCTCATTCTTTTATGGTTGAACATAGTAAAAAAAATCTTATGGTTTTGACCCCGTTGTCACACAGACCCTTTTAAATTTCAAACTTAAAGTTGTGCTGACTCCCTTGCACAGTATCCTCAAGTTAAGGTCTAAACTAGTAATAAACGGCATGTTGTTTTTACCTGAAGCTACAGTGATGTGATGGATGAATACATTAATGTAAATCACTTACAATACTAAACTAATGCTTGTTTTAAATCTTTAATAGCCAGCTTTGATGGAAAAACCGAAATTGGTATGCAAAATACTCAGCTGGTTTCAGTTTAGTTTATGTGTGGTCCTCATTTTTCTCAAGTTTTTATGTTCTCTTGTTTTTTGGAAAGGCTGCAAATTTGTTCATATAACTTTGTTAAGAAAATTTAAAAGCAAGATATTTTTGTTGAATTGTTTTATAAAGACTATGTTTGAATATATGTAAAAAAAGTTTTAAAAAAAAAGAAAAAAAGACTTGTGTTCAGTTATTGGTGTAATATAGCTTTACCTTTGCTTGATATAATTTTTCCTGTTACATTATTTATGATTATTGTTTCTATTTTTCTGCACGACTTTTCCTAATCTTTTCAAACTCTACTAATTTATGCTAATGTTTTTTTCCTCATTATCTCTATTTGTTCCTTGATTTCTTGTTTACATGTATAATTATATCTTTCCAACCTTAACTTTTAACTTTCATTGTTGTTGTTGTTTTGTCAGCAGTTTGTCAAATTTTTTTAGCTATAAAGAACTTCAAGGTTGCGTTTTTGGCCAAGTGACAAGTTTAGGTTGCTGACTTTGAAACACTCGCAGGATTTTCATTGGTCAGTTCTCGTTTTGTGCAAGTTTCTAACCAATCAAAGCCCTGAGCTAAGAAAATTTCTTGACAATTTTCTAGACCAAATATAAGATGTTTCATGTTCGAACCCCGCAATAGATTCTGATTTCTTTTATGTTAGGAAACTATCCTGAGGTAGCTTGTAGACTTGTTGAAAGTCATGACTATTAAAACTAAACCAGATAAGTGAACTTGATGACCTTGAAGAAGTTGACACATTTATATTGATAAGAACCTGTTTAGTGCTGCAATTTATTTACTTAATTGATCACATATTTTTGCAGGTCAAAAAAAGAAATCCAGTATAAATATATATTTTATCAATATTATTTTAACATGAAATTAATCAATTGCAGCACCTTGAATTTATAGGATTTAGGTTGGATGAAATGTGCTGCAATTTTGTTTTAGTGTTGATATATAATAACGTTACTAAGTTAAAGTCAGACTTTATGGAAAGGTGTTAAGAATCGTGTTTTAATATATTTTTTTTTCAATAAGATTGATGTATGAACAGGTTTTATGTGTACAGTATTTTAGAGCTACTGTTTCAAACAAATATTTATTTAAGGTTATAAAAGTCTCGTAAAATGCAAATAATTTGGCATCTTTTTAACAGTTGGGTGATAAAGCGGGGTGCAGAAATTGAAATATTTGAATACGGCCAAACAAGTTTACTGATCAATAAGGCTTTTGATGAGGTGTAAATAGTTAATGCATAAGTAATTATATAAGTATATATAAATATAGTATTTATCTTATAGTAGATTAAAACCATTGCACAATCCTCAGTGTATCTTAATATGCTAAATTAATGCTGTATAAGGTTAAATAAAGGTTGAATATTCACATAAAACCTGTTGAACATTTTGAAAATGAATTTCATTGGAAGTACCCTGTTGTTGTTATGGCTTGCTTTATAAAATTGACATTGACTTTCTGGCCATCTAATATTGACTTGCAAGTCATGTAACATTGACTTTCTTGCCATCTAATATTGACTTGCAAGTCATGTAACATTGACTTTCTTGCTTGCAAGTCATGTAGCATTGACTTTCTTGCCATCTAATATTGACTTGCAAGTCATGTAACATTGACTTTCTTGCCATCTAATATTGACTTGCAAGTCATGTAACATTGACTTTCTTGCCATCTAATATTGACTTGCAAGTCATGTATCATTGACTTTCTTGCCATCTAATATTGACTTGCAAGTCGTGTGTGACATTGACTTTTGCCATGTTACATCTACTTATTTGCCATGTTACATTGACTTTCTTAAGCCATGTTCATTGACATGCTTGCCAAGTAACAATTACTAGCAATTTTATAATGGCTACTTTAGCTCTTTAGTCCTAATAAATCAGGCTCAAATTGTCAAAGTTTTCACAAATTCTGCAAGGGAAAGGTTAAGTTAACTTTGCATTTCTTTGTTGGCATATTGTGACTGAAATAGACATAAATGATTATATAATTATAGAAAAGTGATATTTAGTTATCAGTTATGTTGTATATTATGTCATAAATAGTCATAACTGATATATTTTTAGTTACCTGTATATTAGTTCAATGATTGATTGACATTCTTGTTCATTGTCACCATGGCCTTTAGTGGTTAAATGGTTAAAGTTGCTGACCTTCTATTTGGTGAAATGGTTAAAGAATCTAACTTTGACTCATGTTCCCTTCACTGGTGTGGGTTTGAATCTTGAAAAAGACATAGGGTTCCTTGATTTGAGGGAGCTACAGGTAGCTAACATAGAGATGGAACTGACTTTATTTCAAGCACCTGTCAGGTCTGATCCTCCAGCAGTAAAGTCCCCATTTGACCTGTATAGTGTTAATGTGACTCAAAATCAACTCTTTTTTTAATCCCTCAGCGCCTACCATAAGAAAATATTTGAAAAAATTACATAGTTTCTGCTACGAAAGAGCTGAGAATCTATTGATTAATTATGAGAAATAAGTAAGCATTTTGCTAAATGATACCATTTTAAAGTGTATAAAGCTATATATCTGCTATATAAATTTAAAGAAAAAACTTCCTAAATGCTTAATTGCCTGAAAGGTGAAACTAGTAAATTGCCTTAAAAGTGAATAGCGTATGGATGAAATCATTGAGATACGGATATAATCCTTAAAATAATATTTTGTTTCGAAACATTTTATTCTGTTTATGTACAATAAATTGTGTTATATAAAAGACACCTCTTATGTTACAACTCCTTTGAGAATCGCCCATAATATAGATTATGAAAGCAATATGTTATTTTACTGTTGATAATTTTAATGAAATATTTTATAAGATATAGATATAGCTTTAAACCCTGTAAAATAATAGAATCAAATGGAGTTCAGATATGTCATGGTATGGCATTGTATTTTTGTCTGGTAAAGCGGACAGTAATTATCTTGTTTCAAGTAATAATAACAGGGTGTGTACATTATAAAAAAATACTGACACAAGAACAAGTATAATGCACATTGCATGCAATGTTAAGATAGTTACTGATTACAGGTAAATCACGCAGGCCCATATTTCTGACTGCATGTCTTTTGTTCTACTGTATAATCTCAAGGATGATAAGTAGGTTTGACATTTGGATATATGGTCATGCTAATGTAATATCAGTATCTGATAGTTCAGCCTGACTTGAAACGGACTTGAAAACATTTCGATCTGCACTTTCATTGGAAAGAAAATCTAGACTTGACAAAACAAAACTCAATCGTGCAATTATTCCTTTCACATTTGTCAAATTTTTCGAAAAATTGAAAAAACATTTTCTGAAAATTTGGTGCATTTTCTTCTATGTTTGTCAATTTATGAATACTCTACTTCCATTTTAAAAAAGATAAATAAGAGAATTTGCCTTTCCCTATCTGTGATGTTTGTTTAAAAAAATTGACTGTTAGAATTCCAGTTTATCATACAGCCCTTAAAGTAGACTTCTGTTGTACAGGTGTATAGTGCATGTTACTGCCAGGTGTTATCAAGTTCAAATTAGATTGTCAAATTATCATAGAATATCTGTAGTACATATGTCAGTATAGATGTGATATGTTAATATGGTATATATCAGTATGATATTCAAGGGACATTGTGTTCTTGTATATTTATAGATTTCGGATGTGGTTGTTCCCGGCCAGCCAGAAGACATCTCGGCCAAAGAGGCACTGTTATTATGGAGCCGGCGCACCACAGATGGTTACCCAGGAGTTCAAGTTCGAGACTTTGACAAGAGCTGGCAGGATGGCAAGGCCTTCCTCTCCATTTTACATAGAAATAGGTGAGACTTTTATTGTATATTATATATACTGAATGGCCATCTAGATGATGAATATTGTTCTGGTCTGAAACAAAAACAAGCTTGGACACATTTTTGACAATAACCAACTTTGGCAGAACTATATTGATTTGGAATTTAGTTAACAAATTGGAGAAAAAAATAAAATATGTATTTTCAAAGATAAAAATTAGTCCATTAAAACTGAATAAGCATTGCTAGCTGTTTCTGTGTTGTCTTAATTTAAGAAATAAGGTTTTAACTGACAGTATTCCTTCTAAACAAATTGATTAAGCCTGTAGTGATTATATCAAACTAGGCATTAAGTTTAAAACCCATTAGGTGGATGTCACATTTAGAGATTGTAAGGCATTATGTGCCATTTATTGGTATTTTCTAGTACTATATGGTTTATATAAGGTATTTTAACATTTCAATGACAAAATTGTCACAGATCCTGTGTAAATAGATTGTCTATTAAAGGAAAATGGGTTATATTTACTTTGATAGTACTTGAGTCCATCAGAATCTGCCAGAGTTAACGTTCATTTAGTGTTTTTTGATCTAAATACTAAATATGTGAATGGTTTTGTTCAACTTAACATTTAATACAATGATCAATTTTGCAATGTCATATTGTTATTGCAGCCTTGTTTTTTTACTTTTCTTATGAATCAATAACAATCATGTTACCTGACTCTTCATCAGAAGATGTGCTTGATTCAATTTTGTCTGATTTCTATGCGTGATGGGATAATTGGTGCACTTTATTAGAAAAAAGGGAAAAAATATTGGATGTGGCATCATTACTTGTATAAGCTTTTTACAAGATTTGCAGGGCTGAATATCATTCAAGGTTTACCTGCAACAGTTTCTTTTATTTCAAGATATTATTTACTATTTTTATTATATGTACATTTTCACTTTCCTATGAAGTAATTTATCTGAAGTGGACATCTTTTGAAAATATTATGTTTTCAGATTTGATTTATGCACTTGATTAAATTAATGTCAGGATTTTGTTTTGATGCACAATCAAGCAGATCATGATTGTGCACTTGATTGTTTTATCATATTTTAGTATCATTGGATGTTTTGAGAGGAATTTTATAATGTTGTTATCAGATTTTGATAGGCTTATGTGACATAATGTTTGGTATAGGTTCAAGTATGTGTCTGTCAGATGTTTTTATATCTGCTGAGAATTTTGCAGATTTGACGTCTGCTTCAAATATTTTGGTCTTCTGCTTTGTACTAGCAGACATATTGTTTGTGCATTTTGTAAACATTGAAAGGTTTTATTGTAGAAATTTGATGTAGTAAGAGGAACAGTGATTAAGACTGGAGTCAAATTGGTCCAAAATTGTTTGCACTAGGCTTTAGCACATATCAATAAAGAAAACTGCAAGAATAAGTGTGGCACCATTTGCAAGTCATTTCATACAATTTATATTGAATCAAGAGTAAAAAAAATGCTGATGTCATTCCATTTTGTTTTGTTTCCAAGAGGTATGGAAGAGTTGTGAAAGGCAAATGTTTGTGTTAGTTTGAATGTCTTGAACATGACTTTATACAGTGTGTATATGTTAATTGAAGTATTTTTATGCAAAAAGCTCTTCCCTTTATTTAAATGTTAAAATGAATATGTTCTGATCTTTGTGCAATAACAATATCTTAAAGAAAAAATACTCCAAATTTGTTTTTGTTTTGAAATGAAACTTAATTGTATTAAACAAAATTTTCAGTAGTCATAAATGAACATCATTTTTATGCTTGCACATGTATTAGTGTTTACTTAAATGGTTTAGTACTGGATATTGCACTGCTGTATTAAATATATTATTTACCTATCTCATTTGCATGTTTCGTGTCAAGTAAGGGTCAAGTTTGCACCAATGAATTTTATAATGCTTAAATGAACTAAAGGCCCATTTATGTTTGGGAAAAAAGCAATAAAGCTATTAAAGTTCAAACAAACTCTCACAGAAATAAACCAGAAATAAACTCTTTCAATTGAAAATAAAGTAATTTAAACATTCTTATTGGGAACACTTTTTGAAATTGATGACTGTTGTAATGTGTTATAGATTTTAAAAGTACTGGTAGAGGATTAAATCAAGTACTCTTGACAAGTTTTGTAGATTTAGATATTATGAAAAATAATGCTACTGTTACAATGTTTATTGTAACAAGTTTAATCGTAACCCTGACCTTGCTCAATTTTTGTAATGGACTTGTCCTACTTCTATATTTGGAACTGATGATTATCAGTTACAGGGATCTCAAGGCTAGTCAGCCAACAATATAGAGCCTGGTCAAACTGTGTGAATGTCACAGTAGCATGGCATAGCTCTTTACTGGAAGCAAAGGGTAATAAACTTTCGGCTGCAGTAGGTTAATCCATTTACTGCATAGTCTGAAAGTTTTGTATTTAGGAAGAGTGCCAAATGTAACAATTTAAATGCCTTGATTGTAGTACTATAATAGTATGACTGAGATCTAGGGCCATTCACCTTAATCCTTTAAGTTCCATTACTACTTCTATTTCTTTATACACTTCTATAATAATCTTGTATAGTTCTTGTCAAGTCAGTAATTATATTAGGCTTATAGCACACAGCTATGGCGTGAATTGTTATCACAATCTTGCTAAAATATTTTATCACAAATTTCAATAAATTTTTTGCATTTTAGTAAGGCTTTTTGAAATGTTCCACCTTTTCTTGCAAGAAAAGTCTGCATTTGTCTGTTTTGTTTGTTTTATGGTTGTTTATAAGACCATTTGTTTTTTGGTTGCTTTTGTTGTTTATTGAGCCATTTGTCTGAGATCTTGTTATTTTGCATAGTTGCTGTTTTTGTGATAAATGCTTTCTAAAAGCTTTTAAATGTAAGGATTTCAGTTTTCATATTGCACACTTAAGTAGATGTTGTTTTAAGTACTTAAGCATTATTATTCTTCTTCGCAACCAGATTTTGGAAGGTTTTGATTTATCCTGGTCATCTTTAGAGGCTGTTATAGTGGTGTTTATAATAAATGTTCCCTAAAAAACCCCTAAAACAACAGGTTTCATAATTGATATATTAATTATTATATTTTCAGACCTGACTTGATAGATTTTCGCCGGGTTCAGACGCAGTCTAACCGACAGAACCTGGAGTTAGCCTTCTCTACAGCGGAGAGGGAGTTTGGGGTCACAAGATTGCTTGACCCTGAAGGTACGTTATAAACAATTTTATGTAGGGCATCTAGTTGACAACATAGGTTCAGTTTCGCTGTAGGCTTTGCATTCTGCGCGAAACCATGCATTGTTTTAGTTGTACTAGCTAGCTTAATGACGGTTTATAAAAGTGGTTCTAATGTGGTGTCCATGTGTCCATCTTAAGTATTCAACCACCAGTAACCTAGAAGGACATGATATCAGCTCAACGGTTTTGGTGTGTTAATACTTAATCTGCCCAACTTTCTTTGGGAGGGAGTTGGTTAAATATTTGTTGATGGTAAGAAACATAGTTTGGTCTATATTTGACACTTTACCAGTTCGGAAACTTGGTAACAGATGGTATTTAAACTTTCTTCATTTGACCGTAATACGTCTTGATCTCCGCGTGAAAACGGAGTTAAATGCCGATTAATAACCTGTTGAGGTCACGGAATTAAAAAACAAACTACAAAGCATGAATAAAATACTTACTTCATTCATTCATATATAACATAAATATGTGTATGAAAGACCGCGATTTTGTTGTTCGTCGGCCCGTAACAAATCATAATATAAAATTCATCAGGGTATGAAATAATAAAAGCTTCTTTTATAGAGTAGGTTGAAGATTGTATGTATATAGATCAGTAGCCTTGATAGATATGATTGTTAAAGGGCGATAGTAAAAAAAGTCGGAAATTTGAGAAGTTTATATAATTAAAAAAAATATGATTGAATAAGATGCTCTGGGACAGAAACTATATTTTGTATGCATTGACAAAATTTAATGGTATCTGGTTAAAGTTATTAAAAAGAGTAAATTACATTTCAAAAAAATAATGTTTATTTTACAATATTTCCTCCCTGAATATGTGAATGGGTAGTGGGGGGCTGAACTAACCTTGATTAAAGTTACATAATTAAAAAGGGATGGGCTGTTTTATGGGTGAAAAGAAAATATTTTGAAGAAGGGTAATTTACAATTCATAATTGATACAAAGATGAATATGTGCTAATATTACAGGGGATTAATTCAATATTGTTAGATATATTTATTGTTGAAATAGTCAAAATTACTGTAGATATAATCAAAATCTGCTTAACCCTTTACCCCATATATACGCGAAACAACGCACTTTCGACCCCCCCCCTTTTTTAGGCCTCAAAGAGTGAAAAAATGTCCTATTTGGGCCCCAAACACATGTTTTCGTTTGAGAAATGTTGCTAAAAAAATTGAGCACTTTTTCGGCGCCGCCCCCTATCCAAAAGATACATCAGGGGGTTGCCAGAAGGGGGATGTGCCCCCTTCTGTTAGGGGGGTTTGAAGGGGGGCGGAGTCCCCCTCATCGCCAAGAAAATTTTGGACTTGTGAGAGGCTAAAAATGACCCCAGGTCGATCATAATGTAACGTGTAACCAACGCTGAAAAGCCTTTGACTCTATCTCAATCCCTTGAGAAGTTGCAGCACTTTGAAATAAATTTTGATGGAAAAAATCGAGGCAAAATAGTGATTTTGGGCAACTTTGAGATGCCCCCTCGTTGCCATGGTAACAGGAAATTTAAGACTGAGCATGTCGTTACAAAGGCAATGGTACAGTCAACATTTGTGCCAAGTTTGATTAGTATTGAAGCATTTTTCATAGTTTCATAGCAGTTTGAACTTGTAACAGGAGGCTTTTCAGTGAAAACGGCCATTTTCCACAATATGCTCATGGGGGAAAGGGTTAAATAGCAAAAACTGGTCAAGAGTCATTATTTAATTAAAAGACCTATCTGGTAGTTATGTACTGGGCACAGGTTAATACTGAAAAGTTTTTGTGACGTTTATATAGTCTTTTAGCCTCCACCATGGAGAGTCGGAGGAAGTTTAAGTTTTGCTCAGAAATCTGTATTATGATATACATACTGATTGTGCCACATCACCTGACCACCTGTGGCACAAAAGTGATGTGGCACATCACACCTTACCCTGATCCCTTGTGGCACAGCACACCCCATCCTGAACCCTTATGCCATATCACACCCCACCCTAACCCCCTGTGCAACATATCACCCCACCCTGACCCCCTGTGTCACATCACGCCCCACCCTGACCCCTTTGCTACATTACATTTCACCCTGACCGGTCAGGGTGGAATGTATTTCATTGGTATAATACTGAAAAATCTGTCTGCAGTTACTGTTGGTATAACCCAATATAAAGTGTTTCCACAACATAACTGTTATCAATATTGTATTTATAACTATCATCCATAAAGGAAGAAAATGGGGGAAAACAAATAATTAATTGGCCAGATGAGTATTTCTGTTTATATAATTGTCAGAATATGACTCATATGTGACAGAGAGACAGTATTATTGTAATCTCAAGGGGGTACATACTTCAGAGCATATTGAACTTTTCAAGATTCAGCAATTACCACGCTCAATACGCCCTTTAGAACATAACAACACAGCTCTTGTGATAACATCTTGATTTCGAGATTATAAAAAAGGTTACTATTGCTAAAGAAAGTGGTCATATTAATTATTTAGATAATACTATTGGTACAATTGATTGAATATTTAGTTTTACTTAGTTTCTTATTCATTGGAATAAGGTAGCTATGGTTTCAGAGAAACAGTGAACAATTTAATGTCTTTAAAGTGGGCGTCTGCTGTTTGTTGATTACAAGATAAGTAAGAATACTGCCAGATACTTTCCTATTTCTACCATTATTTTATGTGGCTAATTGGTAGCACTGCATATACTTAACAGGAGCAATTATATTTCACTGTAAGGTCAATGACAAAAAATATTTAGGTTCTCATTTATGATTTTGGTACTTAGCCTAACTTAGGACTCAAATTAAAATAAAATTTATTTTTGAACAGACCTTGACTTGTCGAAAAAATAATCAATAATTTTATTTTCTTTAAAATCATTAAGGGGATGTTTAAATGCACGTATTTTGAATCAGTATTTTGTTTAAATAGGTAAATTACCTTATAGAATGATTGATAGTTGATTACGATAATAAACACGTAAATTTTTTTGCTGAAACAAACATAAATTCTAGAGCAGACGACAAATGGCATGTTTCTGAAATGTAGAAATTTTTCTTATTTTTTCCCCAAATTTTGCTAATTATCATAATTTATGTAAATGGCATTTAAAGCTGGGTCAATTAGATTCAAATTTGAGTAATTTAATGGCTCAATTTCTATTAAAATGTGTAGATTCATTGAATTAACGCAACAGTGAGGGTCTTAAAAACAGATGAAGACTTACATTATCAAAGTTTAAGGTGGCATACAAGAATGTTGTTTTTGTTTGTTGTTGTTTTTGATCGGCAACACTGAATTTTTTACTAGATGAAAAAAAGAAGACAGATTTTGTACTTTAGAAATAAAGTCAAACCATACATCACAAATCTATTGTTTAGAATTAAAAATATTTCAAATGTAAAGCACATTTGATGTAGATGTCTTTGTATTTTGAAAATATTTTGGCTTGAATTTCAGTTCTTCCAATGGTTATGTATTTTTGAGTAAATTATTATTTATTTGAATCTATTGTATATGTAAAATTATAATGTGCATTTACTATTTTTAGATGTTGATGTGCCAAAACCAGACGAGAAGTCAATCATTACATACGTGTCATCCTTGTATGACGTGTTCCCGGACGTCCCCTCCGTCGAACAGTCCCTCAAGGATAACGTAAGTGTTACCTCAACACATGTAAATTATAATCATAACACATATAGAACAAATTATTGTCACAACACATGTAGAGTTTGAAGTCATGTGTAGATTTATGTTATTTTGCCATCGCAACATGAGTAGAGCTGTTAAACATACTGTTATATTGTCTGTTTACTACTATCATAGCTAAAGATGTCATTGATTCAGTCCAAATCATATCAATGATATATAAATATCGGACAAAACATCAATTTATTCCACACCTTATAAAGTATAACCAATGCACTTTCAGCACTTGCACCATGTGATGTACCAATTAATAGAAATCATTATTGGATCCAATCTCTCCTCAATTCCAGAGTCCAAAAAGTCAATATCAAATCCATATCACACCCCATATAGCCTTGTTTTCATTTCATCTAAAAGGTTCACATCAAATCTATATCAGACTCCATATAGCCTTGTTTTCATTTTTTGAGAGTTTAAATCCTTGTTGTATTTGGAGTAATAAAGTTCTGTCAAAATGTCAAAAAATGGTGAAGTGAAATAAAGAGGTCATTAAACATTGTAAACAATACTAGTTCTATTGGACTTGTACACAGGTGCAAAACCCTTATCAAACTGTTCTAGTGCCTCATCCAATATAGGTTTTACAGCTGTGTACTTTTCCAATACAGTATTGTACAATGTATAATAACTATCAAACTATCAAGTATCAGTGATATTAGTATTTTACTTTTATACCTGATTTTATGATGTCATTAAAAAATACATGTCCTTGGAATAAAATTATGATGTTTATTGTTTATAAATGCCATCTGCTGGTTTTCTGACCATCTTTTGTCAGCACTGAAACAACAGTGTAGTTCCAGACATGACTTTTTTACAGGACACTGTTTTTGGTGAATTTTCATCAAGTCTAGACATTTTATATATAACTGGTAGTCAGAATTAATAATGATTTTTAGCTCACTTGAGCTTGCTCAGGGTGAGCATTTAGGATCATAGAATGTCCGTTGTCTGTTGTCCGTCCACATTTGTTTGTTAACACTCAAGCGGTCACATTTTTTCCTCAATCATCATCAAACTTTGTCAGGATGCTGATGAGTTCGAACATGGGTAATCTCCGTTTGTTTTGATGATTTCTAGGTCAAGTTTAAATATGGGTCACCTGTGGTCCAAAAGTAGGTCACAATGCCCAAATATGGAAAAACCTTGTTAACACTCTATTGGTCACATTTTTGACTCAATTGTCATCAGAGTTGGTCAGGATTCTTTTATAAGTAATTGCTCAAAGAAGTTCGAACATGGGTCATCTCAGATGAAAAACTAGTTTGTTTTGATGATTTCTAGGTCAAGTTTGAATATGGGTCACCTGGGGTCAAAAACTAGGTCACATTGCTCAAATATGGAAATGCCTTGTTAACACTCCATGTACATATACATCAATATCATTTCTAGCATTGACAGTTCTAATCATAAATGCTGTGTAATATGCTCACATTCCATTTCAAGGTTATGCTGTCTTCTATTTGATCCCTTAAACAGCATATTTATAAGGATTTTTTTATTGTAGTAAATGTTATTTACTGTAGTAGATCCCTTCAAAATACTGGAACTACTAACTTTAGACTTATAACTATAAGTTTAGTTTTGGCTTTGTTTGAAAGCCCTTCAAAGTATGTCATTTAAACTTCTACATTTTTGTCAATGTTATTCTATTATATTAAAAGCCTAATCTCTTATGAGTTTACTCCCACGTAAAACAAATTTGAGATGCCTTTGTGACTTTGTGGTTTCCAGGCTAGACGCTGTTAAATGAATTGGTTACAACTAGTTAATAATTTGTCTATATTTTCAATAAACATACCAGATAGATCTCTGACCTTTTGTAATTATTGAAGTGTCAATGTTTTAAATGGGCAAAAAAAATTAATGATTATGAGATAAAATGATGTTGTTCATTCAGTGTCCACCCCCTTTCTTTTCAGTAATCTCTTTGTTTAACTTACAATTTAAATGACCTTTGAAGACAATCAGATTGATTTTGATTTCAAGTTGGTGTTTTTTGGACATTTATATGAAACAATAAAAGCCATGATTATTATCCTGAATAATGTGTTAGAGAAAAGTTTGGGCCGTGAGACTCGGTAAAGTTTTATATAGCACTGACTGAATTGGTGTTCTTCTTAACAATAATGTGAATAAATGTGTAATATTGAAGATGTGCTTTAACATATTAAAGAACAGAATGCCCATGTAAAGTACAAGCTTTTCCCCTATTTAAGGGCCAGTAATCTACTTTAACCATGATAAGATTGACAACTATAGTGGAAGCAAGCAGCTTGGTGGCGGGCAAGATGCAGAGTACCTCATTACTGTTAAAGATATAATTTATGACCCCATCCGTCAGTCAATACCCCCCCTCCTTCCCCCTTCCCCCTCCCCGAAAAAGAATTAAAAATGAAAAACAAAAAAAACAAAAAAAACCCATAGAGCATTTTACTTATTCTTGTCCTCTTTTTAGCTAGGTGACATTGCTGCCTATGGTACATGGTTACATAATATCTTGTTTGGAAATACAAATATATTTGTTAGCAGTGTAGGAACATTTATAATGATAACATGAAATGAGAATAATGTGAATAATGTTGTTTTATTTTCATTTTAGGAAAGACAGTTGAAGATAGATGAATACAAAGAGTTAGCCGTCCCCCTGGTCACATGGTTACAAGATGTGATTATGATGCACTCACAGAGAAACTTCCCCACCACTCTCATTGAAATGAAGGTAAGTATTTGACAACTTCCCCACTTATTGCAATGAAAGTGATTAATACTTGACTGACAACTTCTCCTCTTCCACCCACATTGAAAAATGAAGGTAACGTTATATATGACAACTTCCTTACCACTGAATGAAAATGAAAGTAATTATTTATACACTAATGTCACCATCACCACCACCAGCAATAAGTATATCTTTCAATGACATTGTCACATGTGATATTTGTTTGTTTGTTTCTTGCTAATCCCCCGGGTATAATAATGCAGTTTTAAGTGTAATTTAAAATGAGGAAAAAAAGTAAAAATTTGCACTAAATATTAGATGAAAATTGACATGATTAATTGTTTATGTTGACAGTTTTTGTTGTATTTTTGTATTCCAGTCATTGTTGTCAGACCTACATAGATTTAAAATTGAAGACGTCCCCCCTCGACTTGAAATGCGGAAAAGAACATTGAGACTTTTCGACGACATTCAGGTTTGTCATTTATATTATATACCAGTAATTATACTTGTTGGAGAATCTTACAACAATCTAGTGACTGTCACATCCACTGTGTGAGCTTCTTATGCTATGCTGTTAAATATTGAAATCCTTTTAGTGATATACAAAGTTATATTTCACTTGTTGATCCTAAAGTGTTGAATACATGAAAATACAAAGGAGTAAACCAAAGTAATGACAATTTGAATGAAGCTGTGTTACAAATGGTTGTTGGTGCTACTCAGATGTCTTCTTGTGCCCAATTTGTCACATGACTTAATGTTATTCAAATTACTTGAAACTAAACATAAGAAAAATTCAATACTGAATGCATATTTCATATTCATAAACATAAACATTATTTGTTTAAAGAAGTACGAGAGTGTCCCCCATTAGTAATGGTGCAAATGTCTTGCTTTTAATATTTATGAGAATAAAATGGTGCTTGATTTCTCATTGGACAGATGTTACTGTGCACACATTTGTTGTAATGAAAATACCCCATGTTTAAATTCATGTTTATAATGGTCTTTATATGGCAGTTAAATAAATAACTTACAACATATAAGGAATCAATTTGTAGCTCTTCATTTCCCATTCACCAGATGGTAATATTTCAGGGACTTTCACAAGCTATTAAAAAGATACAAAAATACCCATTTGCAAAGAATAAAATGTTCTCAAAAAAAGAGAAGAAAAGGAAAAGAGTAATAGGTAAAAATATGAGAAAAAGGTACTTTTTCCAAGCAAATAAAACTACCAAAATACCCAATTTCTCAAACTGATAAATACACCAAAATGCTTATATTCCAATCATAGTATTTTCTTAAACCAGTAAAAGTACAAAATTGGGCATTTGCCATCCAAGATGACATAGAAGTACCGGCTGAGTTTAGTCTGTACTGGTAGCATTAGTAAAATCAGACTGCCACCAGCAGTCCTAGAGGATAATGAAACTTGTAAATAAAAGCAAGAACATTGATTACAATGTAGAATAATAAAACAGGATATACATGCCATACCCATGCCGATTTTGTGACTCCATAAAAGTGGTATTGCATGGTCGCACATATATTTTGAATTGACCTCATTTGTGTTATAAAGACTTGCTAAATTAACAATTAGATACAGGCGCGAACAGTTTATATAGATTCACGATGTAAACAACATTGACCAAAACAGATACAAATACATGTATCAAGCTCATTAACTACATGTATAGACTGATGATAAGTCTCCTACACCAAGTCTCATCAAGTTACAGAAATTGGTTTCTCTAATGACATGTTTGTTCTTTCATGTTTTTGTTTAAAGTTGACAATGAGAAAATCAAACAAAGCAGCTTCATTATTTATTGATCGATCTGTTTGAATAACCAATTAATTAATTTTTGTCCAAAGAGCGATTTTCATTGATTTTTACTGTTGATTCTTTTTTATTTCGTTACACAAATAGTATCAAAAATAGTATTTTAGTAGAAGTAAATGTTGGTACAAAATTGCATTAATAGGTTTTATCAGGGGAGCACTTTTCTGTAGAAAATTGGTCAACGTCGCTCATTTCTGATCCCATTATCTCTGTCATTAGCCAAGTAAAGTTCTTTTGAGCAAAGAAACTATCCAGCTACCCTACAGAAAGTTGGTTGTCCTCCTTTGTTGTCCGTTTTTACCTTAGTTTTTTATGATAGGTTGCCTCTTAAAAGTTCTGTCCTTACATTTATAGTTGTAGTGAGGGAACCGGCTCATGCCTGAAATATTGCATGCAGACGGCAAGAGGTCATACTTGTGTGTCTTCTGCTACAAGTAAACTTGGAAGATGCCATATAATCTTGACAATGAGGATAATACTTCTAATATTTAAAATTAAAAAAAAAAAGTTTAGGGATGAATTACAACAAACCAGCTATGAAAAGTAATATAAAAAGTGTTAAAGTGAAGAAGTTCAAACAATTTATGAGCCTTACAGTTAATGGTATTTTACCATTTTGTCATAAAGTTTCGATAATTACAAAATAATGATACAATATTTCTGTTGTAGATATACTTCACTGATAGCTTTTTATTACGAATCGAAACTATTTTATATATTTTATCTACAAATATACGGAACAGTAATTAAATATAACAACATTCGAGATATGAGGAAAATTGTAATAAAGTGAAGCAACTTGTTTTATTAATATGAACATATGACTACAGGCAATACTGTTTACATGGCAATACTGTTAATATATATATGTTTTGTAAATGATGAAATTAATGATTTTATCAATGAGGGATAGGATGAAGAAAGTAAAACTGTTATTGTTTGAGTGATCAAAGAGTGCTGGGAGAGACAGGGATATTGATTTCAGATCATCTCACCTTAGTGAGCACATCTGTTATATAAACACACTATTCTATATTGTAATTTATTGATGGAACACAAATATATCAGACATTCTGTGTGTCTGTGTGTTTTTCGTAGTATTAAACTAATTTAATGGCCTATTTAACCAAATTTGCTTCAGTATTTTTGTGAAAGAGGCTTTGAAATATTAGTCATTATTAAAATGGTCCTTATATCAGCATAAAAGAAGAAAAACAAAACAAACAATATTTTAATGTTTGTCAGGTATTCTCAGAAACCCATTTTATCACCATCATGACAACCCTTACAACCACACCTTCAAAACAAAGGTTGATATTCAATAAAATAAAATGAAATAAAAGAGAGATAAAAGATATTTAATAAAATGATATAAAACTATTCTATCAATCAGCATTTATATACATTGTACTGTTGTTCTTAAAATATCTTTTCCTAAGAAAACATATTGAACATAATAAAATAGAAAGTATTTTGTTATCAGTAGACTGCTTGGTCATGCATGGTATTGTATAGGGAAAAAACCTTTTTGGCATTTGTTATGATGTCTGGTTTATGTTTATCCATTATTACTTTTTATTTCATACTATCTTGCTCAAACAATGCCAATATCATTTCAAGAATTTCTAAAAATAGATACGTAATTGCCCTTGGGAAGGAACAGGGGAGTATTGTTTGTAGAAGTTACTGTTTTCTTCTGATAAATAAAGTTTTGACAATTGTAGTATTGAAAGGAAAAGAATTTTGTATAAGGGTACCAAGTATAAAATATTATAAATGAAATAATATTGCTTTTTAACTTAATTCATTATAACTTGAAGATTAAAAGGATGCCAAAGATATCTTCCAGTGTAAGATTTTGTTTTTTACCTGTCCTAATTAGTCACTTGCGATATTTAGCCAATGTAGAAATGGACTGAATTGACAATTTATGAAGTTAAAACAATTTCAGACTTGTGTAAGAACTACTGGTAAATAACAATGAACATTTTTTGGGTAACATGTCAATTTCTACATAGAGCACAAAATGTATATGACGTTTTAAAATATTTACCTACATAGATTTATTTTTTCTATTACAGAGTACTGGTGCTTCACACCTCGGTTCTGATGATGAATTATACCCAGACAATATAAACCGGTTGTGGAACCGGTTCGAACATGTCCAACAGGAGAGAGAAATGGCCATTCAGCAGGAAATAGTCAGGTGTGTAACTCCAACAGAATTATGGCCTTCTTTTAACTTAAAAAATTCTACATTAGCTAGGCTCTTATTTTACTATCAAGTGCTAAGAATAGTCTAGCGCACTGTCCTATCAACAGCTCTTGTTTATAGTGTTTGTAAAGTGGCTAGAGTTTCGAATTTGTCATTGGCAATTAATAAACGATTTAATATTTCTACAGATTAGAGAGATTGCAAAGATTAGCTGAAAAATTACACCGAGAATCAAAACATAGCGAAGATAGTCTTAACGACCTTGAGAGACGTATTCAAGATGAGGAACGTAGGGCCGAGACTTTACACCCATTCGAAGCCAAGCGAAACTGTGATGCATTAGAACGAGCCTTGAAAACTATTGAAGATAACGTTCATTCATTGTTAAGGGATGCGCAAGCCCTTCAAGATGGTAGATACGCAAACTCCGAAAATATTTATAAAAGGTAATGGGGAGTTTTTACTTCAATTTATTGAATATGTAGGCAGACTTTTATCTAAAGTATTTACTTCTTTCATTTCTTAAGTCAACAAGGGCCCTTTTTTTGGTTAGTTTTTCCAAAAATATATTTTTTTTATATTTAAGATATGTACCTTTAATATGTAATATTAAAGTAACCAAAATAGTTAAATTAGTATTTTATGAAGTACTGAACAGTGCTGAGTTGATTAATTAGGCATGAAGTTCTGGTTTCATGTTATGAAAAAAATTATATTCCTTTTAATGCAAGGCAAGGAAATGATTTTCTCTAAAATAGGAACTTTCTGTTGTTTCTTGAGAATGATTATTTTAAAGAACATCAATTATCTTTTATTTTCAGAGTGTCGGCTTTAAGATTACGGGTCTCTCAGTTACGCACAGAACTTTTTAGCAATGTGATACAAAAACTTCTTTCAAAATCCTATGTTGAAGAAGGAATAACAACAACACGGCGCCGTGAAGTCGTCACAGAAGTACGACTAGTAGAAAATAACCCATCGTTCAGACATGTGCAACATTGCCTACAGTGGATCGAGGCAAAACAATTAGCAATGGATATGCCGGATTATGGTATGGATGCACAAAGTGCCCAGGAAAACTTTAAGGCATACCAAGATGAACACGCAGAAATTGTAGCGTTCAAAAAGGAAATTGACAAGTGTATAAATGATAGAGTAAGTATTAGAAATGGTTACCCTATCAATTTTGAAAATGTTAAAAATGGTCGTATTGGTTACCCTATCAATTTTGAAAATGTTAAAAATGGTCGTATTGGTCGAACACAGTGAAGTAACGATAAATCTGAACATTACTAGATAACTGACCATATTTTACTGGAAATTGTATGAATGAATGTTTCCAGAATGTAATAGAGAAGTAATTTTAAAGCTGCACATCACCAGATTAGTAACGTAAATTTAATAAATCAAAATTTAATGAGCTTTATTAAGAGCTTATGAAACGAAATTATCATTTATTTTAGCATCTACATTGTATATGTTTTTCCTCTTGTTTGGTCGAGATATAACTGAATATAATATTTCAAAATGATGTTTTCTTTTGTGCACAGTTTCTGAGTAAGGACTAATTTTGCACAATAAAGGCTATTTTTGTGATGCATATCTGAAACCATTCTCTTTGTTCACATGACAACAGTTTTGCTATTTTGAATACTTTATAAATTATAAATTAAAAAATGTACATTTGGATGTGTGCTGCTTTAACAGTTTGATAGAGCAATGTGAACAGAATGTCAAAATAGAAATAGATTTTTCTTATTGATGGTATACAATAAGTACACACAAATACTAAATAAAAAAAATATAAAAGGTGTTCAATATTTTATATTACAAGAAAAACATCAGGATGATTTATGATCGAAAAAAATAAAAAGAAGGGCTCATTACTTTTGTGTTGAGATGTACCTTCAGTTAATAGCCTTGAAAATTTATCTTGTTTATTCATTTGTATTTTGGTATGAATAAACTTTTATTTAAATCTAACATGCAGAGTGAAATAAAAGTTTTATTTTACAGTTTTTAAAGTTTAATTGGTGAAACATAACAATTTAATACCATTTCATGCTGACACTTTTACTGTCAAATTTGCATTTGAACTTGTTCATCAAACTGATGCCCGATGTATTTAACAGGGATTGTTTTATCTCATGTTAAAACATGTTTTTTATCAAACTGCCTTTGCCCTTTTGATAGATAAGTAGATGCAGTGTAAAATGATTTGTTTAACTGGAATGAACAATGTGAATTTGTGTTTAAAAAAAAAATGGCAGTCTTTGCATTCAAGTGGTTTAACCAATAACCTGGTGAATTTATATAAAAGATCTACCCAGCTTGAATTTGGAACAGTCTATATAATTTGTAAGGGATTTCAATATTGAAATGCATGTATTAATATTAAGGTACCTATAGTATATAGAGCCTGGTTGGAATGCACGGAAATACTTTGTACTGGTGGCAAAGGCAGGTGAAAGGTCAAGGTCATTCCTTGAATTCATATCACATACCCTTTATTAAAGTGGATTTGAATTGTGACATTGACTTGGGATTTTTTCATGCAATAAAACTATTTGGCTAGGTTATGGCAGTTTAAAGGTTCTACTTTACAAATGAATTGCCAGCACTGTTGTAGTATTCAAATTTTGCCAATTGTCATGAATGGTTTGTAATGGCTATGTGACTGGTATAGGGGAGGTAACTGCAGTCACTTATAATGACTAGTTTGAAGTGGAGAAACAATATTTTATAAAGTTTAATCGTTTATTACAGAGAAATTTGTCCCCTGATGAGCAAGATCTTTACACAGAATGGCTGTCCAAGGTAGAAGTGGCCTATTCCTTACTTAGTGTAAGTAATCATATGTTTTGTATATTTAATGATTTAGTTGATGACACTATGATTAGTGGTATTTGACCTCCATTGAGGGTTCAAAGTATGGAAGTTGGCAGTAGCCATCCAGAAATGGAATGCTCTGCTGACATATAGCTAAGATATGTTAAAAACTTGTACTTGGCCAAATTAAAATGAGGGAGACTCATTTTAAGACAATATAGGTAGATATAGTTTTAACTAAGAATTCCATGAAAAATCTTTGAGTTTGCACCTGAATCTGAATTAATAGTAAATCAGAGATTTTAAAGTGAATATCATGACTGTATGTTTGAAATCTCAAACTGTAATATGCAAGATGTTTAGATGAGTTGTCTTTTATATTTATCCTGTTGATAAAGTTGACTTTCATGTGATTAAAATGGTAGAATTTCACTCCTATAGCCAGAGAGGATTTATCAACTAGTGGACATCTTGTTTACTAATTACAGTCTATTTATATGTTGTTGAATTATAATTCCAGAACAACTCCAGTCGGAGAGTGAAGGGTCTAGAGTCCCTAATAGATTTCCTTCAAGCTGCGACACAGGAGCTGATCTGGTTAAACGAGAAAGAAGAGGTGGAGGTCACGCGTGACTGGAGCTCAAGTCGATTGAACGTCCCCACAATCGATGAGTTCTACAAGGTATATTTCAGAGTGTACATTACATGCTAAGATAAATTAACATTATATATAGAGAGAGAGATAAATAAGCAAGAAACAAAAATAACTATTTCAACATTAACTTACTATTGTGTCTTACTTATTCAGAAATAGAATTCATTCCTCATTCTTGTCCAATATTCTTGGACATGTCAATATTGGCTGTTTGGTTATTGATTCCGGTATTTCATGCCAAGTCAGCTAATACTTTACAAATGTAGGCCTGATAAAATATTGATTCATTAGGAAAGTAGAGATTAAAGTTTAAAACTTTTTTGACACTTAATGAAAGTTATTGACATGTGAAAATTGTAGGGCTATCCAGTTTTCGGACATAATTTCGGACAGGTTAGAAAAGCTGTGGTGAAGGAATCCTTATGGGGAAATGTCAAATTATTGCTTCAACAATTTTGTTTGCATATTTTTAAGAGTCATTTATCATATTGGGTTGTCATATATCATACTTGATTGTCATATATCATATTGGATAGTATAATTATTATGAGTGTTTCCATATTGAATCAAAGACTGAAAAAATGTTGGGTCACTGGCAAGCATGTTATATAATGATAAATATTACGAAAAAAATACACTTTGAATTCTTCTTATCACATGTTTGTGTTTCCTTCCTTGATACAATTATTTCATTTCTATGATTTGGTTTATACAGAATTTATTTTAATTCAATTGTGTAGGATGTGATTAGCTTATAGATACACCTGAAACCAACCAGATAGGGTTTCAACCCACGCAAATAGGGATCCTTAGGTTACCGGTACTAGTCTAGTAGTCTGACACTTTAACCACTTAGGCATGCCGCCACTTTGTATGATTTACTTTTATTCCATCCCTATAAGCTTTGTGAAAAAATATATAAGGTCTGCATTACAGTGAGGTTTCATTATACCATTTCTCCACTGTTGTTGATAGAACAATGCGGTGAACATGGCTGATATTTTTTATGGTAAAGATTAATGTTATAAATTTCTTAATCTTCACTGTTGTGGGTACGAATCCCACCTGGAATTTAAGATTCTTCCATGTAAGGAAGCTATCCAGGTAGCTTATGGAAAGTTGATGGTTTTACTCAGGTGCTTACTAGTGTTGCGTCTGAAGTTATGCATGGAGAGGTACCCTCACTAAAGCTAAATAGTGGCCATATCAATTTTACAGTGTTTGTGAGACTTAAAAAAAAAACTTGATTTGTTGTTCAATATAGTGCAAAAAACAAACATCTTAATTGGGTAATGCAAACATGTGATAAGATATACATGTATATCTAAGAAAGATTAATGAAAGCATGAACAAAGAAATGTAAATAAGTTAACAGAATGACAACATATTCTATACATAATAACAATATATTTTGTGTACAATAACACCATATTCTATAACCAATATGTGAATGAAGCAGAATGGTTCAGTATTATAAAGTTTTCAAAAAGGTAGCATGGACAAATGAACTTCATTATGTTCATTTTCATACATGTGATGTTTAAGATATTAAGATAGAAATGAAAAGAAACAAATGTATTGTTTATTGTGGAGGCATTGTGCCTTGAATGACATACCATTAAATGGTAAAAACCATTGAAAATGGTAAAAACCATTGAAAATGGTATGACTTTTAAACAATAAAAATAGTATGAACTGTAAACAATGAAAATAGTATGACTTTTAAACATTTATGGAGGATGAAAACCTTGCTTAAAAAGAAATGTCTGTTTCATACAAGATCTTTGCACCCAGCTTTTGAGCACTATTTAAAGAAAAAGAAATAAAACCACACCAAAGATATAGGTAGGAGAATTGTTGCATGAACCCTTTCATCCCAAATGCTGGTGGTGTCACAGACTTGCCTATGTCACAGTTATAAAGCCAGGTCAGCTGTCACATTTGTGCAGTTTGACCAGGCTTCACAATGTTAGCTGCTTTATTTTAGTATTTTAATAAGAAAACTCTGCACATAAACATTGAACTGTTCCAAATTTAACTTTATTGAAGTATTTTAATAAGAAAACCCTGCACATAAACATTGGATTGTTCCAAATTTAATGAGGGAGGAGTCCATTCTACAAATTTAGTATGGTAAGGGTTAAAAATGAGTGTTGTGCAATGAAGAAAAGGAAAGGATAATTATAGGGAAAATATACTGAGTTAATTAAGGAAAACCTATACTTAAAATTTGTTTTATCTTATGAAATTGACTTGTGTTATGTGGCTTCATCAAGGAGAGGGGTTTATGGAAAGATGTAAATTTTAGAATATGTTCTTTTATTATGTTAATTGTGTTTCTTTTTATTTTGAAGATTTTTTTCAATTTTTTATCTTTATTTTTTTTTGTAAATGGAGAAAGGTTCATACCTACACTACATGCATGCATTTTCAATCAATCAGCTGACTTTCCAGTGTGTGATGGTTGTTGTGAAAAGTATTGGTCAATAAAAATCAAATCATTTGTCTCAAAATGCTGGAGAAAATAAAACTTCTGATTGGATGGTTTAGAATTTTGAAATTAGCCAATGGTGGACCACCATTTCAAAACCAACAATAAAGTTATGTCCTATAAAATTAAGTCATTTGCTCATTTATATGATGATTTTTTACAACGGAAAGCATGTAAATGATCTTATAATAAAAAACACAACAACAACTCAATAATGACATGATTATTGTTGTATTTGAAAATCTCAAAATTTTGATAAGATAATTAAAGTTGTCAGTAGTTTACATCAATACAACTTGCTCACTGTTTTCAGAATCTCCTTCATGAAATGAAGGCCAGGGAGGCCCAGTTTAACTCTGTACAGGACCGCGGTAATTCCATGGTCCTTGATAGACACCCAGCAGCCAAAACTATTGAGGTATGTTTACTAAGTTATAGACATATTGTTGATAACATTTCTGTTATCATGTGTTTTGAAACCTCATATTCATTTCAACGGATCAAACCTGGTATTTTGAAGTGGAGAAAACCAAACAAAGAATTATGTCTAAATTTACAACTAGATTTATTGTCCTGCCTTTGTACTGTGTGAAGATTATAGCATTAGTTTATACAGAATTTATTTTAGTTTGATTTCTGACACATGGTTTATGGCCATTGAGTGGTCATGGTTACTTGCCCACTGTAGGTTCAAATCCCAACAGGGACATTAAAGAAGCTATAACCAGCTAGCTTACAGGTCAGTGTTTCTACTCAGGTGCACACTTCTCTCTTATATGATACATGCCAGGGAACGTGAAGGCTTCCTTGGATAATAGAGCAGGAAAAATGACATATAACCATAAGAGAGTCAGTGTGGCTTAAAACCCAACCAAAAAGAATTAAATGATAACTACATGAGAGGAAACAATGATGATTTTGTATTAGGTGAATAATTATTTGTGGATTTATTTCAGGCGTATATGTCCCAAATGCAGTCTCAATGGTCATGGCTCCTACAACTGTCAGTGTGTCTAGATGCTCACGTGAAACATGCTTCAGCCTATTATCAGGTAATCTTTTATGTTTACTTTTCCAAAAAAATAATGCCTTATGGTAATATTTCAGTTATCCAATTCTTATTCTGTTTGACCTTTTGGTAAAGTTGCAGAAAATAGAAAATTTGTACTGAAGATCAGATATGCACCTCAAATATATAGGAAAAACTGAAAATGGACTTTTGTTATTATAGTAAGTCATATGATTACAATGCAATGGCTATAAAGAGAATAATTTTCTCGTTATTTTTTCCCCAGTTTTTCGAAGAAGCGTCAGAATGTGAGCAGTGGATGTCACGACAGGCTGATTCTATAAATATCCGCTACAGTGATGACAGCCAATCAGTGGAGACGTTACAAACATTGTTACGGGAGTTGCAGGAACTGTCAGATGTGATGTCGGAGTACGAGAGACGTGTATCGTCACTCACAATGAGAAGTCGAGAAATCATTCCATTGAAACAAAGAGGACAACCTGTGTTCTCTGAACTTAGATGTAGATGTCTTTGTATATACAAACAACCCCCTGTAAGTTCTAGTTTAGCTGTTTTAAAAGATTATATTTAGGTATCCTTTGAATGTCCTAGATTCAACACCTTCATTGTTTATGTCCTAAAGTCCTGCTACATGTTCCTTATGCAAGAGCACAGTATGATATATCTTCACATTATAGAAAAGTTTTGTTCAAACAAATTTACGCCAAGAGCTTTGAACAAATAAAAATATATCTAAAAATGCTAAGGATATTGAAGCATGGTTACTGCAGGGCAGTATTTCTCATAAAAAGGTGAAATTATATCTTGGTAAATAATTTTTGAAAAAAAAAAAAAAAAATGTGATCTGCATCAAAACCGTTTAATGGATCAAAAGTATCAAAAATTTATAAAATAAAGTCTGTTCCAAAGTAACCAGACATTATTAATCCTGACAAACAATTGGATCACTTCATGTTTATGTTTATTGTATGTAACTCTGAAATTATTTTGACCGTTTCAGATGGTGCTAAACAAAGGTGAAGCAGTGATACTTTTAGACAATAGCCAGAAAATAAGATGGAGGGTATGTCTTAAGTTGTTTTTATTTAAAAGTCTTAAATGATTTTGAAAAATGCCTTTAGACATTTAGTCATCTTTTAACTCATATGAATTCAAGTTTCTGTGTTTGTTGGAAGGGTGTCCAAGCCCTACTAATAAAAGTATACTTAAACCATGTGCTTCCCACGATTGCCGGTTTGAATCCTGCCAGATATGTGACGAAACTATTCATCAGTTTACTTAAGGTCAGTGATTCTACTTTGGTGCTCACTGCTCAGTCATGTATGAAATAATCCATGGAGGGGCATCTAAGGTTTTTATCTGTCAGAAAAACTAGAAAATCACCTTATGATCTTTCCAGCGTTAGTCTGACTTAAAACTTAACCCTAAAAATTTACTGATAGAATGCCTTGTGAGTCAGGTCTCTGTCTCTCAACTCACACCCTACTTGAGCACTGACCATGGACAGTTTTACAAGAATGAAATGACAATTTGTGTTACAGGTGCGGACAATGCGAGGAGAGGAAGATCTTGTACCATCAGTATGTCTGCTATTACCTCCACCTAATTATGAAGCCATAGAATTTGCTGACAGGTAAAATCTTATGTAATTTGTTTAAATACCCAAGTGAGAAAAATCCAGTGAAATTAAAAAAAAAAATTCAAAATCTCCAAATGCTGATAATTATTTTGATGTACTTTTGAAATAATGAGATATATTCGGTTACACTTGCTTAGAAAATATTGAACTTATATTATGTACAGAATTTTTAGGAGATCAATAATTTTATTGAAAAACATCACCTCAGACAATGTGTAGAGAATGGACCAAGGGAGGTAATGTAAATATTGAGAATTGGACACACATAGGAAGTTAATCTAGATAGTATAGCTTTTGAAAATATTGATACAGAATACAAAATGTATATTAGTTAGAAAATTCTCTCATAGTATTTAGAACTATTGTAAGAGTATTGATGTTAATGTATGCAGTAATACAGTGTTTTAATTTTACCATAATGAACAATGTTTACTATAATCAATATCAAATGAAATTATTTTTGGCATCATTTACCTTTACAGGCTAAAAATACAATTTGACCACCTACAAAGTTTATTGAGAATGCGCAAGAGAAAGATGAGTAAGAACATGGTGCTGGGAACCATCAACTTGATACAAGGATGGGACCTGGCTCAATTCCAGGCCCTGGACCCAGTCAGACGTGAGGCCCTGATGCGAGCATTGAATGAAGATGCTACAAAATTGATTGCTGAGGTGGGGGAAGGAGACAGAGATATGAGGCAGTTAAGAGATAGATTAAATGAATGCAATCAACACTTCCAGAACCTCACAGCTGCTGTTAACGAAGAAGGTATGTAAGAAAGTGTTTTATTTTTAACATTCTGATAAATTCCAGAAAGAGAAATAAAAGACAAGAATAGATTATTATATAATTAATTTTCACTTTTTTGATTTTCATATTTTTTCATATTAAATTGTTTTTAGATTCATTAATCATAAAAAATTATTTTTATTTGTCATTTTTATATTCAGTAAATAAAGAATCTCTTATCATTTAATTTATGAAAATATTTTAACTATTGTTTATTTTCTTTCTTTGATTTAATTCATATACAAATTACTAGTGGGGGAAGCAAGTCAATCTAGGAACACTTGCCTACCCTACAACGTTACAACCCATTTATATATGACTAACTTATATAAATATTGTGCAAAAACAAACTTCCAAAAAAAAAAACTTTAGAAAAACAATTACAGAAACTCAAAATAAAAACAAAAACAAAGTGTATATTGTTGATATTTGTAATACAGAGTTAAGGAAAACTCGTGGTCCTGATAAAGAGTTTATACAGAAGCTAGACTCGGTCAGTTACCAGCTGAGCTCCTTGGAACAGGACCTTCAGACTCGCATACAGCAGCCTCTACCTCATGATAAACAAAGCATGGACTCGGCCAGAAAGCAGCAATCTGTAAGTAAAGTTTCTTGTAATATAAAATTTGAACTTTAGATTTATGAATTTAGCATAATATTCAGACCATAACCAATGTAGATTGAGTAGGTTTGTAGATGGGAACAAGAAATGATTTCAATGCTTTAGTACATGCCAAACAAGTAACCACTCTAAAGACTTTTAAAGCATTTAATCATATTTTATTTTCCTTTTCTTTTAAACAGGGACTGTAATTTATAATTATGAGACTATCCACAATCCACATATTTTATTTCAATTTGCAGAATTGACTAGTACTAAGATGCAACTAATGTACCCTGAAAATAAAAAATAGTTGATTTAGGTCTAACTAATTACTTAAATCTAATGTAATGATAAGTAAGAACCTCTTAAATGGATAGGTATCAAGTCCTTCCTAGCAGATTTCAGAAACGCACTGGTAAATAAATGGTAATTCAAGTGGCTGAAAATGATATTAGAGACAGAGTTGTTGTTTATTAAATTTACATTTGAAACTGTTGATTGCCATGTTAAATTCAAGTCTCAAACTGTTTAAATAAATGTAAATTCAAATTAATTATTATTTAAGGAAGCATGAATGAGCATTACAGTATATAACATGTTATATTTGAAATGCAGGATTGGGAAAGAGGACTACAGAACCAAGAAGGAGCTGTGGAGCAGCTGAGACTTGTGCACCGTCAACTCGGGGCAAGTAGTCCACAGACTGACTCTAAAATTCTCTTCATTGATGAGAAATGGGAACAAATGATCACAGTGGGAAATGTTTACGAAGAAAGGTATACCTGTAGTGTGGTGTTGAATTTATTATACAATTTCAGTCCAGCTTTTGTTTCACCACACTCGATGTTTCTTAAAGCACCTTTGTTAATTGACTTTTATCCTAAATATTTGATATTTGGTATCTTAATAACTGAAATTTGGCATAAGAATTGTTAATTGTATTTTGAAACAATGCAGTGAAAACGTTGTTAGCTTGACTGTTAAAAGAATAGGGAGATATTGTACTCATCACTGCTTCGCTGTCACAACTTGGTTAAGTTTTGGTGTGACTTATAAATCAATTAAAACAAACAAACTTACATAACCATTAATTTTATAGTCATTTATATTGCATTACATGTAATGTAAAATGTTATGTGAATAAAAAATGTTTTATTTGTTTTTATTCACAGATTGAAGAGTTTAGAATCCTGCCTGAATAAAATGGACAGCCTCTGTGCCTTCGTAGCAGACCAGGAAGTGACCTTGGGCTCACAGGAAGGCATGTCTTCCAACCCTCGTGCCCTGGCTGCCCAAAGGGATGAGTTACAGGTAATCATTGTTTAAATGAAAGATATCCTATTGTAGGTTTATCAGTAAACACTAAGATATGTAGTTCTGGATATATGTCTTTAATGAAATTTTAAAATATTTGCCTAAGAATTGTTTTATTTGTGCAGTTTTGAGTTAATTCTGGTGGAAATAAATCTCTGAGGGCATGATTATATTAATCTCTATTTAGTGAATATATGTAAAGTTAGTTTAGAGAAAGTATGTTTGAAATTTCTATTGAGAGATTAGGCATTGATGATGTGACTGAATTATTTCAGACAATAAAAACCTCACTAGAACACAGACAATCAATGCTGGCAGCACTAGAAGATGATCTGACCTCATTAAGAAGTGCTGTTGAGAAGAGTCGACCTGGAACGTCGCGACATCATGACGTGGAAGACCTCGAGAAGAAGGCCAGTAACTTGACAACTAGATGGAATAATGTCAAAGAACAAGTCACAGAAAGGTGAGCATAATATATCAGTTATGTTGTCTTGATTCAGATAAATGTTTCTTCAGTAAGGTGCTAAAGTTCAATTCTGTGTCAATCAGCAAATTTAGAGTTTTCATCTGTAACAACAAAAAATCAGTTTAACCCTAGTTATAATTTTGTGATCTTTTAGAAAATAAAAACTTGTAATTATGCATAAATGTTCTGTATCTTTCTTTACAATGAAATATTATAATACAGATTAAAGAGCATGACAGATGCTGTAGATTCTCTGACTCAATACACAAATGGTTTTGCGGAGGAGCAGGAATTTGTTGCCGAGACCCAGAGCAAAATCAATGCTCAGTCACCAGTGTCGAGTGTTGAAGATGCTAAACGATCTGTACAACCTGCTATGGTATGATATCTTTATTAGTAGGGCGTCCCTCTTCTAGTGGTTAAGGTCATTGACTTCAAACCTCTTGCCCCTCACCGCTGTGGGTTGGAATCTTGTCAAGGACTTTGGATTCTTTCATGTGAGGAAGCTATCCAGCTAGCTTACGGATTGTCGGTGGTTCTACTCAGGTGCCCGTTTGTGCCTGAAATAATGCACAGAAGGGCACCCGGGGGACTTTCTCCACCAGTAAAGCTGGAACGTCGTTAATGACCAATACTGTGTCGATGTGACATAAGACCCAATCAAACAAACAAACATATCTTTATTATAACAAATAATTTAATAATAATCAAATGTATTGTAAAAAAAATTGTATATAGGAATAAAAGTTAAAGAATTGTTTTAGTAAATATTTAAGTCTAGATTACTGCTATGCCAGAAACATTTTGAATCTGGTGTTAGAATCTTGCCAAACACGTTGAATTCTTTAGAATGCTACCCAGCAACTGTATGGACAACCATTGTTTCTTCTAAGGTGCTGTTTACTGTGTGAGATAAGGCATGGAAGTCACCTTATGTCTGGTTCTTGCCCCACAACTCCCAACCCTCGGATAAAAATTAGCAATAAGAAACTTTTTGTTGTTTGATTATTTTCTTTTTGCTACAGCAACTTTAACTTCTTTCAGTACTTTATTATTATAATCATTATTTTCAGTCGATCTATAACTCGCTTGGAGAACACCAACATCAGATAGAGGCAGTAAACAGACATGGTGGACAATATATACGGGAAGCAAAGGTACAAGGAAATTCTCTAAACCTGTATCACTGTCGATCGCTGTATCATTCTGTATATAAATCTCTGCCTTTATGATGTGACATGGTTTGTTGTTACTTGTAGCATGAAGTTGAAGTATGGTTTGTATGTCATGCTACAGTGATATAACTTGTAACATATGTTGTATAAGCAATGGATCAGTTTGTATAGGAATGAAATTTGTTTTATTTTGTTGCTAGTGAAACTTATATATAATTCTTTGATTTCTTTCAGTTTTATTGTTTTGAATGACTTTTTGATGGCCAAATAAGAGTTTGAAGAAATAGTTTAATTTTCTGTGATTACAAAATTTAGATATTTTTGAGATATTTTCTTTCTGTATTGGTTCAAAATATTTTGGGAGAAATATGAGTACTTGCTTTTGCTGGGAAAAAGTCATTCACACAATTTGTTCTGCATGTTTGAAATATATACAGGACCATTTTCAGCATGAACCCTCTCCAAAAAATAGTGTAAACAAAGCTATTTTTAGGTATTTTTTAGTTTCAGAGATAGATAATTTCGAATTGAAACATTTTTTCAGGGTAAAAGGAGTTTTTAATGTCAAGCTATATATAAATACCAGTATACATGTATGTGTGGATGTGACAATGCAAATAATGTTGTTGTTTTTGTTATTTTTGGGATATTGAACAGAAAATTGACACAGCCTCTTTTTGGCCCAGTGTCAGTTTTGTATTAAAATCTCCAAAAAAAAATCTTTTTCTTGGTGTGGTGTATCATTTGTTACTGGATATTTTAATACCATTTATAGCATTGTTATCTTATAAAGGCAAAATGTTCACCTTTTTTTCTGAAAGAAAATTTTTAATGAAAATTAAGTCCTGATCCGAATTTCTCATTTTTAGTGAGTAAACAATTATTTCCAAGTATAAATGATTTTACGAAAACAATAACTCAGACATGATTTAGTTAATATCTAACCTAGTTACCCATGGTTGAGTTATTTTAAGTACAAATTTCTAGTTCAAAATGAAGGAAACAAAGGGAACATATTTGCCTTACATAGTTACATAATGATAGTTATATATGATAATGAAACCTTGCTTGCCTTCAGATATGCAGGTCTAATTTTTTTTGAGACCAAAGCTTTTTTTTTTACCTTTTTTGTTTCAGCACTTTTATTGTTGTTGCATAATCACTGTTCCTGCTTCATTCCTAATTCTTTGTTCCGAGTTTAGAAGTCTAATCTAACCTTGATAAAGCATCCAAGTGTCATTGAGTCATCTCTTGGCACGCTGCCATTTTCTGTCCACTTTGCATGAATGTATGTACCACCCATCTGTAGTTGGCAACACCCACCAAGTGTGCATTTGTGGCGTGACTCCGCCTACCTATTGTTGACTCCGCCTGCTACATGTTTACTCACCCAATCACGAGCATTATAGAGGAGTATAGAGGGCGCTGTGTTTGCACACATATCTTGCTTGAGAGGTGGGAAAAATAATATACGCAGTAAGTAATTATATCTATACATCAGATAAAAAACGATGATAAGTAATTTTGTAAAAGGCATATTAACAAAAGCAATATTGGAATTTTATAACAATATGTAATAAATCAATAAAGAATCTTATTTTTATGGATATTATTTTATTTTTGTAAAGATTTATTGAGGTGTATCGTATAATTCAAGTGCTAATATTCTACATTGACTAACCTGTTATGTTGGTTTTGCTTCTAGATATTGCATGTCCCTTGTATACACAACTCTTGCATGCTTTCTAACCTGTCAATGTAACAAAATTGGAGAATATATTCACATTTATGTTGACAAATTTCAGTTTTTTTTACACAACTAGTTAGTCAGTTTATCACATGATGACACTCGTTACCTAAGTAATATATACACGATTCTTTCTATGACACACATTGGGTATTTAAAAAAGACTTTTCAAATGGTGATTTTGTAGTAGATTCTGATTTAAGTGTTAAGACATCGTGTGATTATTCTGTCATTTCGATATTGACTTACATTAAACTTACCAGAGAGATGTTATTCAGCTAGCAAAAGGCTTGTTTTATAACACTAGACTTGAATAATGTAAGTCAATATGAAATGATATGGCAACTTGTGTAAAACTGCACAGCAATGGTGAGATAATGTGGCAACAAAATTTCTTAAATAAATGACAGTTTTAAAGCACATTAAATGATTGAAAATCAACCTATAAACAGCTACCTTGTTCTCCAATTTTCTATATTCTTTTTTTCCTTTTCAAATATCTGATCCATAGTTTTAACTTGTAACCCTAATTATGCCTACTACTAAAACTTTGGCTTACTAATAACTTAACGTTTAAATTGATTTAAAATTAAGATGCATTGTCCAAGCACACATAAATTTTATACCATATGTTTTTGATTAGAATATGATGGTGATGTAAATCAGATAAAATTTGAAAAAAAAATAGAAAAACAAAATGAAAAGAAGGGAGCTTTTGATCTATCTAAAAGTCTGACAGAAATGTTTCAATTCAAGTTGAACAAAACTTTTTGGATTTGATATGATTTAGGGCAAAATTGATCATCATTTTATGAAGCATTTATCAAGCATTTCTCTATGTTCTTACCTTAAGCAAATACTATTCTGACTGATTTAGGCTTTTGAAGCCCCATTTTGCTCCTGACTATTGATGGTTGTTAACTTAGGCTACTGAAGCAAGGCATGAAACCACTATATTATGTGCATGAAAATATACAAGCTATGTTGCTTGATTGGATTTTCATAAGAGAATGCACAGCCATGCTGTTAACATTACATTTATGTTATGTTTTAGCATGTTGACAATATTTTCCTGTTAATAATTTCTTTATAATATTGTATCTTATATAACACAAAGGAAGTGGCTATCATTGATAAAAAGTTCTAGCCGTACGTGAGTCACGTACAACTAGCCAGGACACACTGTATTGTCTAGCCGTACGGCACTTTTCAAAATTATATGGAAGTCGAAAATGCATATGTTATTTTGTATCTTTAAACAAGGATTTTAATCAAGTCTCTGCGTTTGTCCTTGTTTGTTCACTTTAATAAAGATGCACCATCGTTTTGTAAAAAAAAATGAAAACGAACAAGCGTTGTATAATCTATCTTGATAAAAGTGTCAAAGTTGCATTTTTTAAGTTATAATGTCGTTGTTTTTCATGCTTACCATTTGTTGTTTTAAATTGCAAATGCAGTAGATAAATATCGAACATAAAAGCACAATCAATTAATTAGCCTTAATTAAAGCCTACCCAGTGGCTGACAATATAATTTTAGAATGCATTTCACGGAACATGCAGACTTTCCTTAATGATGGACAAACTTCTTTACTGTCACCGGTAATTGACACAATTATCAGAGCCCAATTTAACAACAATTATTTTCGGTGGTTTTTTTTTTAAAGGTGTCGGAAATTAAACTTAATGAAACAAAAAAGGATTATAATTAAAATTTTGTAAACTATTTAAATTGGTGTTATTTAAAATGCAAACAAATGCTATTTTTTTCTCGACATCTTGAGATGACAAAGATCGATAGCCAACAAGGCGATTAATCTCTAAAAAGTAAACATACGAAGACAATTGCTGTTTCTTGGTTAAAATCCTCACTTAAAGTCATAAAATAACATATGCATTTTCGACTTCCATTATAATTTTGAAAAGTGCCGTACGGCTAGCCAATACAGTGTGTCCTTGCTAGTCGTACGTGACTCACATACGGCTAGAACTTTAGGCTAGCCGTACGGGCCCGTACGGCTAGTCACTTCCTAACACAAAACAACTGGTGAAAATGGTTGAAAGCTGCAATTACCTTGTTAAACTATAATCAGATCTGGATAGGTTCTCACAATTTATACACATAGATGAATTATTATTGAATATTGTAAAATAATGTACGGAGTGTTAGTCATATATGGTTAGCTGATAAGTCATAAATCCACAATGTATTAGAAAATTGCATGAAAAATTTTGTGTGGATAGGTGAAATAAGGTCATATAGATTAAAGACTATAGTTTTTTGTGAGGTGAGACTTTAGTTAACTATCTGCTGATAGAAAATAGTATAAGTGTTTGTACTTCTGTATATTTGTCATGTATGTTACAGTTTAATGTGATATGTTACTGTATGTACTATACATGTATGTATGGATATTGCTTTCTGTGAGACATAGCCAGGACTTTTTAGCGATTTCAATGTTTGTTGATGTTCCAAATGCCTCCAATTTTAGCCCTGCTTAGGTCAATAGAAGGTTGGTTACCAAGTGGTTAAGGTCATTTACTTCAAACCACTTTCCCCTCACCACTGTGGGTTTGAATCCCACCAGGGACTTTAAAGAGCTATCCAGCTAGCTTATGGATTGTCAGTGGTTCTCTTAAGGTGCCTGTACATGTGTGAATAAATAATGTGAGATCTGCCTGCACAAGTTAAGCTAGAAAGTCCCCTTATGGTCCTTACAGTGTTAATGTGGTGTCCAAACACACATGCACACCAAAAAAAACGAAAACCAGAAAACAACAAATACTGCTCATGAGGAAGATCATCCAATAACAGGTGACTTGTTGAATCCTTGTACCAGGCAAACATTTGAGCCGCGCCATGACAAAACCAACATAGTGCTTTTGCGACCAGCATGGATCCAGACCAGCCTGCGCATCCGTGCTGCAGGATCCATGCTGTTCGCTTACCAATCCTATTACAAGTAGAGAAACTGATAGCGAACAGCATGGATCCTGATCAGACTGCGCGGATATGAGGCTGGTCTGGATCCATGCTGGTCGCAAACCCACTATGTTGGTTTTGTCATGACTTGGCTCATTTATCAGTTACAATTGATCTCAGACATTAAGTGTAATTTAGAAATCATGTGTGATTAGTAGTCTGACGCACTTGTGGGGAAATTTGTAATTATTGGTAAGAAATCCATAAAAGCCAGTAAGATGAAACAATTGAAAAAAATATGATTAAAAAACAAATAAAATGGATAAAAAACAGAAAAATAAACAAAAGAAATTTTTATTGTGGTCATCAGTTTTACCTCTTGTATGAATCAGCCAACATTTTGGACATATTTTGTCTTCTGTATGTGTACAAAGTGTAGGAGTTGTGATGTGTATGTGAACATACATAATTTATGACTGAAATCATTTGAAACATATGCAGTCAAAATGAGGTTTTTACTTTTTAAAGAGTGACCATTTATGAATATTCACAGATGGCTCTAAAAATAAAGCATTCTCATCTTTACTATACATGATTTAGTACTGAGACAGCATGAAATTTGTATGATTATTTGCATGGTTTCTATTTTTGCATGTCATATGTTTTTAAATAGAATTTTTGAATGGGGATTTTTTTAAATAAAGTGTTAAAAAATGTGATGTAAATGTAAATACTAGTAAGTAAACATAGTTGTAATTTTGTTTGAGATAGATGTATCTGCTTGTTTGATCTGTATATGTATTGTTGAGAAAAATGTTGCTATGTACATTATTTTGTACTGACTCTGCCTTAAGTGTTAATTAATTCTCAGAATTATAGAACTATTTCTTGTAGATTTCTTCTACAGTGTGGATTTATGTGTTGGCTTTATGCTTTATCTTGTGATGTCTCTATTAGCTTATGCTATTAACAGACCAATTACACATATGTTATTTAGAGACATAACACAGCACGTGTAAGATTGTAATTATGTTAATGTTTTTATTCTGATAAAAGGTTTGAAAGAATACAGTATATTGAATTGGATTTCATCAATGTTTTAAGGGGAGTTTGATTTTTAAAAGTCCACCCACAAAGAAATTCCCTGCCAGAAATATTTTAGAGTAATTTTACTTACTGGTTTGTCTTTCGGTCCTTCAGTTACCAATAACTTGCACTAATCTTTACCTTTGTGTGGGTTTAATGTCAATGGAGTCAAGGTCACCAAAGATAAATACAGTTAATTTTTGTTCACTCGAACTCTGACTGCTCTAATACCTACATTCGCTTGAACTCACAATCCGCAATATCTTTATATAAATATATTGTTCTACCATGGATTACTTGAACTCTCCAAACAGTCTCAAGTCCTATCAGCAGAAATATAATGAAATCACACCTTTTTGGTCAAAAATAAGACAACAACAAAAGTTGCTTGTTGACTTCCTTTACAAAATGTATTGGCAGTTGGTGTTGCATGTTTTTATAATCTTGTGATGGTGATTCAGGCAATTAAGATAAATTGATACAAAATAAGACATGTAATTCATTAACCTATTTGTTTGTTCTAATAATATTGTTTACCTTCTTCTTCAATGTCTTCGTAAAAATACGATCCTCTTTTTCATGATAATACCTTGGTTGGCGCAAACTACTGATCTTTTAAACTGTTTAGAACTGGCCCACTGAGTTCAAGCGAATGAAGTTTGAGTGAACATTCATTTTTCAACAAATGTGTAAAATGCATTCTTCGTGTTAATCTCAGATGGTCATAACCCTTTGAACACATATGCAGGTAATAAGGTCATCTTCACTGAGGCTAAAAATAGAAAATTTCCGAAGTTTTTGTGATGTATTTTATTTGAAACAAAATAGCAACAGGGAGCATCATGTTAGTGTAATGATATTCTTGTGAAGGGATTTGTAGAAAAGATAAATGGTAGCTTGGTAACACACTATTATTGAAGAGATTCTGAAAAGCTGTGATGATATGGTGGATGAAACTTTGCACTCTAGATACAACATTAATTCCAAAGAAAAAAAAACCTAAACATTACACGTATCTTTTGGACTTGATGGAAAACAATGTTTTAAGTGGTTATGTATTATTGTTTGATTGTGATTTAAATAGCTGATTATACAGCTTTAAAATGGTACTCCAGCACATTGTAATATTGTATGAATCTTTAATTGCAGATCTATGAAAAGAAATTACAGAAATACCAGAATAGCCTACAGAGTGTAGATGCAGGCCTGGCCGAGGGTTTACACAAACGCCCTCGACGAGCCTCAGGTGCTGAAACTGTGAAGACAGAGCTAGACAATCAGAATCGGCAATATATTGATCAAGTACTCTGGGCCAACAGGCAGCTACAGGAAATTAAGAATGTATTTTCTGAAGCTAATATTGATGTACAGGTATATTGAATTTGGTGTACAGCATCTTTGAAAAGACAATATTAACAGACAAAATTCTGACTTTAATCCATATATAATGTTGTTTTAACATGTTTCTTAAATTTATAATAATTGGTCAAATGAACCAAATGACTGTAATTTTACATTGTTTAGGAGGGAATTATTTGTTCACAATTTTTAGCTCAACTTTTTTGAAGGAAAAACTTTGAGGTTTTGCTACAGTTTTGTTGTCTCTGTTCCCCTTTCTGTTGCCAGCCAAAAAAATTTAACGTTTTACTTTATAATGGATTGTCTTTATACTTTGACAGACAATTATTTGGACAAGATTTTCAAGTAGACAAGACTGAACTTGACCTCTGCTCATAATAACCTTAAACTTTTAGTAATTTGCTTAAATTGTCCTAACTTTGTTATTTATCGACAGATTTATTTTGCAGATTTGATTCATACTTGGATAAAAGAACACATATGACGAAACAGACATGTTGAATTATTCTGATATGACCTTGACCTTAAATTGACCTTGACTGTCAAGGTCAAATTATTTAAATATCCTTAAATTGTCATAACTTTTAATTACTTACTGATTTAATTCATGCTTGGATAAAAGAACACCTAACAAAGGACATGTTGAATTATTTATATGACCTTGACATTTCATTGTCCTTGACCCTCAAGGTCAAATTATTTAGAATTCCTTAATTTCATTGTGATAACTTTATTTATTTATGGATTTGACACATATGACAAAATTTAATTACAAATACATGTATGAAAGAAATTTGTTTACAGGCTATTGTGAATTAATGCAATGCAACATTTTCTATTTTTTCAGTTCCCTGTGTTGGTAACTGACAAGGTACCTCTTCTGAGAACCTTCAGAGCAGAACTAACAAAACGTTCCTCGATGCTTGTGGATGAGGACATGCAGGAATACTTCCAACAACTTGCTGACTTTGAAGGCTATGGTGGACTTCAGGCTATGGGAAAAACTGGCGAGACTTTTGGTAGCCAGACGACAATTAGCGTGTCACGTCCAGAAAGCCATGTAACACCTTCAAGAAATGTGGTAGCCTCTGTAGCATCTCCAGTGAAATGGAGAATGACAACTCCACCCATACCAACTGAAAAATTGTCAAACAAAGTGGCGAGCATTTCTAGCCTAACTGAAAATAATGCTTTGGAAATTTCGGCACCTGGTCAAACATTGATAACTGTACAGCAAGGTTGTCTGGCACCACAAGGAACATATTTACATGTTCCTTCTATTTTGAATCCTCAGACAGGAAGAAAAGTGAATTTAGCTGAAGCTGTGAAAGTAGGTGTGTTTGATCCTAAAACTGGGACAATAACTGATCAGAGAATAAATAAAAAAATGAATCTTACGCAAGCTACTGCAAATAGGTATGTTTCTAATGACTTACAAAGACAATTAACCTCCACTTGTGGTATTTCAGACCCATTCTCAGGTCAGGAATGCACTCTTCTTGAAGCTATGCAAAAAGACTTATTTGACCCATGCAAAAACTCTGTTAAAGACCCAAGTTCGGGAAAATTCATACCTATACAGGAAGCTGTGGCTCGAGGGCTTTTATCTAGTGTAGACGCTGAAAATTTAGTAGGTGAAGGTGTTACAGTGACTTTCATTACCCAATCACAAGCTGTGTTCACAAATGATGACCTTGCATCAACCACTATGAGACTAGGATTAGCAGACATTGTTGAAAATGGTTTATACATTCCTCAATCTGGTAAAATTCTAAATCCAACTTCTGGAAGAGAATTAACTGTCCTTGAGGCAGTTGAGCAGGGATTAATCAATCCAACAAAAAAGGAAATAAAGGACGCAAAAACTGGGAAGTTATTATCGCTATCTGAAGCAGTTAACAATGGTGTGATAGACCCACAATCTGGATCTTATATTAACAAGTCAAGTGGACAGAAACTTGCTCTCGATGATGCATATCAAAGAAAATTGATTAATAAGCCAACAGTGTTATCTTCTGCAATACGCGAAGGTGCTGTTATGGAAAACGGCAAAGTTATAGACCCGCAAACTGGACGCGTTATCTCCTTGAAGGAAGCAGTTGACATTGGTTTAATTGATTCTGACTCAAAAACAATTGTTGATACTAAAACAGGAGATGTGTTATCTTTAAGTGAAGCATTTGATAAGAGATTACTAGATCAACAGGGCTTTGTTCATCCTGATAAATCAATCAAGAAAGAAACTCTCACAGAATCTGTTGATAAAGGACATATAAAGTTTGTTAAAGAGGACTTAAATATTAGTAAAAGGTGTGTGAAAGACACTCGTAGTGGGACAATTATTTCAGTGCCTCAAGCTATCAAACAAGGAATAATTACAAGCAATGGTGATTTTGTTGATACGTCATCAGGCAGGAGAATTTTGTTAAAGGCTGCAGCTGGACAAGGATTTATAGATAAGGATGTTGCTGAAGTTCTTTTGAAAGACATATCAATGAAAGATGCAAGTGGTCGTAACATTTCTGTTCTCAAAGCCATACAAATAGGTTTGATAACTCCAGAAAATGCTGAAATAAGAGATCCAAGATCAAGAAAGACATTAAGTTTGCAACAAGCAGCAAAAGAAGGCATTGTATCAACAGATGATGCCATAACTGTTTTAGAACTACTTAGTCCAATCATTGCTCAGACAACAGTCACAACACGTTTGCAGCCTGGTCAACAGGAAGCAGGAATCCGCTCAATATCTGTATCCGACGCTGTTGCTAGAGGTTTACTAAATGAACAAACTGGAACATTCCGTGACCCTAACACTGGTGCTTTAATGCCTGTACAAACTGCAATTGAACAAGGATTATTGAAATTAACATCAGAGTGGCCTTCCAATGGGATGAATATGGATGATACAGATGGTGAAACATCAAAGTCCGATGTAGATAGATGGATGAAAGAAATTCACACAAACCCTGAAATGACTGAACAATTAAGAAATACTGGAAAAGCTACTGTTGAATCAAAATTGATGAAAAAACTCGGAGATCAGAACTATTCTTTTACTCAAACTGTTGTAACAAAACCAAAAATAACTGAAAATGTTGTGTCTGAAACTAAACATTTTAAAGTGAAATCTGTAGTAGATCCAAGAACTAAAACTGAAATTGGAGTTAATGAAGCAATACATAGAGGACTTTTAGATATGAATAAAGGGTTATTTATTCACCCAGTAACTGATGAAAAAATGTCAATTGAAACTGCTCTCTCTAGGGGATTTGTACGTGGTATTGAAACATCTGAACCATCGGCCAATACTTTAAAAGAAACAAAATCATTCTCATTAACTGGTGTTATACATCCTAAAACAGGTAAAAAAATATCAATAAGTCAAGCAGTGAAAGAAGGTATTCTTAACTTGGATAAAGGGCTTTATAATGGTGTAGATAGCAGAGGAAAAAAGATTGTAATGAAAATAAGTGAAGCTGTTGATAAAGGACTTGTTATCGCTGATGACGATAGTTCTAAATCTGGTTCAAGTCAGTACTTACAGGAAACAAAAACTTACCAATTAAAGAGTGTTATAAACCCTATTACGCGTGAAAGACTTGAAGTTGCAGAAGCAATAAAACAAGGACTACTAGATGAACATAGAGGTATTTACAATCATCCTCAAACTGGTGAAAGATTAAGTATTCCTGAAGCAATAGAAAGAAAATTGATTGATGCTGAGTTAATGTCAGTAGTGTCTAATGCCGAAGGTGAAGGAAGTAAAATAATAACCACAAAAATGACAACGTTAATGGTGAAGTTTGTGATAGATCCAAGAACTGGTGAATCTATTTCGGTTGGCAAAGCTCTTGAAGAAGGTATTCTGGATAGTTCCCTTGAAAGATACACTAATCCTGTAACAGGTGAAGTTCTAACATTAAATGAGGCAATAGATCGTAAGCTTGTCATTGCTCAGCCTGCTGCCATTGAAGGGTCAAGGTCAAGTTCTACAGAGAGTATACATATAGATGCTGAAGAAGAAATTGTTGAATCCAGTTTGACTGAAGAAATCTCATCAGAAACAGTGACTTTTAGTATAAATAGTGTAATTGACCCAAGAACCATGGAAATGATGTCATATGATGAAGCAATTAAATATGGTGTTCTTGATATAAACAAGGGAACATATAGGAACCCAATGACTGGAGAAACTACACCTATTACTGTAGCACTTGAAAAAGGATTAATTCATGGTGAAGTTACCTGTAAAACTAGAGAGGATGATTTAATGCACAGTAGTGTAGACACCGGTGGATTGTCTTTCCCTGTGAAGAAAATTACTTCTGTTGTTGATCAGAGAGATAATAATGATATTTCTCTAGACAAAGCTATAAAAGATGGAATTATAGACATTGAAAAAGGAACTTATTTTGATGTTAATACCATCCAGAATATTCCATTAGAACTCGCTCTCAAAAAGGGTTATATCAAACTTTCCAAAGCGACCGATGCAGCTGATATTGAAAGAATGAGAAAAGAATCTGAGAGGAAAGAATCTGAACGTGAAAAAAGACATATGTCAACAGAAAATGGCTTAGATACACAGGTTGATATGAAAATGGAAAAATTTGGTGTCACTAGTGATAGTAAAGAAGAGAGTGTATTTGCTGATGAAGTTTTAAACTACAGAACTGATATTGAAAACCATGCCGATGATAAAGATGGTCGGGCACCAATGGAATTTCATCAGCAACAAGGTGTTCGTACATGGAAACAAAAAGAAATGGCTGTAGTTGGCAATATTCCTGAGCCAGACAGTCCAAGATCTGAATCGCCTATGGAACTTGAACACTTTGAATTAACAGACGGAATGTCTTTCCAGTCAGCATTGAAACTTGGTCTTATTGATGTAAAAACAGGAAAAATAAGAGATCCAGAGACAGGTAGATTTATATCTATTAATGAAGCAATTGACAAAGACATTATTGATCCAAATAAACATGCAATGGTTGATATTCTTACTGGGAAAGAATTGACATTAAAACAATGTATGGATAAGGGTGTTATTGATCCAAGAACTGGCAAAATTAATGAAAAGAAAGCAAAAGCAGAGAAAGTACATCTGAGACCTGACGTTGATGTTAAACAAACTAAAGGAACACCATTGAACTTGTTAGACTGTGTAGCTTCAGGTTTATATGACTCTGATACTGGTATGTTTACAGATCCGAAAACACAGAGATCTTACACTCTGAGGGAAGCTATTGCTCAAAACATAGTAGATGGAAATTTAGTTTCAATTCTTGATCAGCAAACAGGTGAAAAAATACCACTAGTTTCAGCAGTACGCCAAGATCTAATTGATGGAGTAACTGCTGAAGTGATAGTTTCCGATAAAGATGACCGAGTATCTCTGTTACAAGCAATACAACAAGGTCTTGTTGAAAATATGTTTGATAAAGAATCTGGTATGTTGTATGATACATTAACAGGCAATGTTGTAAGTTTAGACAAAGCTCTTACTGATGGTCAAATAAGATCAGATGAAGCTAAAGTGATAGACTCAAGTACAGGTGAAATAGTATCGCTCGATGCTGCTATGAGAAAAGGACTTGTAGATGTAAGAACTGGGGCCGTTACTGACAAAGTAACTGGAAAGAAAATGTCTCCACAAGAGGCTTTGAAATTGGGATTGCTGGCCGTAGTTGGTGCACCAGTACTTGCCGGTAAAGCAGTATATGATGCCATTAAAGATCAGACTGAAAAAAGTCAAAGTCTTAAATCACCACTTCAGAAATCTCCTACAAGACTGAAGTCAGATTCTGACAGCCCAAGATCTCCACTGAGAATTAAGTCTGAGACTGGTAGCCCTGTACAGCAAAGTCCTCCAAGACATGTGAATGGACAGACACCTATGAATGGCGATGTATATCTTCCACATACTGAGAATTTCCAAGAACAAATGATGCAACCAAGGACAACAATAGTGTATGCTAAACCAGGTGACATCATTAGACCTTCACCACCGCAGCAGTTGTTCTCCGAAGTATCACCTAGTGCTGATGAGTACCACCCTGCAGACAGATATACTGGGGTAAGTCAAGTTCATATATTTCTTGTTTTCTGTGAATCTTTATTTTTCACCTCTTTCTTTTTCTATGCAGGGTTTGGAATTTTTCATGGATATTTTTAAGTTTCTATCTTTTCTAATTCATTACCACCTTCTTATAAATAATGTTTCCAAACTTCTCATTTTTGCTTATTTGAAAAATGCAAAAGTATTTGAAAATTCAAAATATCCATGGAAAATTGTGGCTAGGCAGTCATTTATGTAATCTGAGTAGAATTAAACAAGTGTGAAAGTGTGTGTTTGTGTGAAAGTTTAACATTTTCAGGAACAAGGTTTCTACAGGGATGGCATTTGTTACTTCTAAGGTTTTTCTAATAACCCCTAACACCACATTATCTTTTGACAGCTTGCTAACAGTGATATTGTCCCTGGTGAACTACTAACATCAACAACTACAATCAAAGAAACAAGAGAAGAAACACTGAATTTGCCATCAACTTTAAAAGCCAAAGATGTTATTATTGATTGGTCAGCTGGGAAAGTTATAAAAAGAGCTACAGGTGAGGTAATGAGTGTGGCAGAAGCTGTACAGAAAGGCTTCATTAATTCTGAGACTGTGGAAAAGCTTGCAGAAACCGGCATCAAGGAACGACCGGATATAGATATCGACTGGGAGAAGGGAACCATTCAAGATAAAGAAAGTAAAGTAACAATGTCAATTGATGAAGCTGTTACACAACAATATATTGAAAAAGACACAGGTGATGTTCTGAAACTTATATGTGGAGAATGGAAAGAAACTGAAGTTAGCCTGAAACAAGGAGGAGATACACTAATCACAAAACTAACATCTGATATAAGAAAGGAAGATGAAGAAGTCCAATCTTCCAAAACCACTAAATTAGTTTCAAGTTCGCCAGTTAGTGCAAGTACACCAAGAAAGAAAATTATGACTTTGAATGAATGCATGAGATCAGAAACATTTGATGCTTCCAGATTTATAGAATCAATTCAAACAGGTTCCTTAAACACTGATGAATCATATTTGGTGAATCCACAAAGTGGACAAGTAATCACACTTACTGAAGCAATCCAGACAAATGTATTTGATATTAACACAGGGCACATTGTAAATATTGACACTGAAGAAAGATACAGTCTCAACGAAGCTTACATTCAAGGTTTTATCCCACCTCCAGGAGAGAGTATTACAAGAACAATGCAATCAGGCTTCGTAACAAACCATTTCCAATACCTTGATGATCAATCTGACAAACATATTCACACTGCTATACAAACTAATTTAAAAACATCTTTAACTGAGCCAATGGAAAAGCCAAAGGGTATGACATTTAGACAAGCTGTAGAAAGTGGCCTTGTTGATGAAGATGCTGGAACCTTTTGTAATCCAATGAATGGTGATATTATGTCAATTGCAATGGCAATAGAATATGGTTGGATTTCTGAATCTGGAGAAACTGTTAGAATTGCACCAGAAAGAAAGTATGAGAAAACAATAGTAGTAAACCAAACGGCACCTTCAGATGAATTGAAAAGATTATCATTTACACAAGCTTTGGACCAAGGGTTTATTGACCTAGGCAAAAGCCAGTACACTGAGCCAACTACGGGGAATAGAATGTCTATTCTAGATGCCATAAGAGGTCAGATATTGGATACAACAACGGAAGAAGAAACTTTTGTTACAGAAAATATGACTTTGAATTCAGCTTTAGAGTCTGGGGCATTTGATGAAACAACTGGTTTGTTTACAGAAACAAAAACTGGCCAGAAACTCACTCTTGCTGAAGCATTGACAAGAGGTCATATAGATGGAGACTCATCTATGTATGATGTGGAATCTGGTAAAATATACACTTTAAATGAAGCAATTGCAAAAGGAAAAATAGACGCTGTAACAGGTCAGTACATAGAAACATCCTCAAAGAAAAGTTCACTGAAGACCGCAGCGAAGAAAGGTTTTATTGCTTTAATAGGAGCACCTTACCTTGCTGTCAAAGCTGCAACAGGAAAAAGAACTTCACCTGATGATTCTGTAGATATGAGCACTTTGAAAAGAAAAGATAAGTCTGAAACTAGAGATGGGAAGAAATGTACTACAATGGATGAACCAGTAACAATTGAAGCTACAAAGTTCAGTGTTCTAGGTCCAACAACTCTTGAAGTTACTCAGGTCAGAGAGTTAACGTCTGTAACTGCTAAAGACTCGGACATGATGAACTTCATGGAAGCTGTTTCCAGTGGATATTTGAACCCAGATACTGGCATGTTCCAAAATCCAGATACTGGCTTGTACATGAATTTACAAAAAGCTGTGCAAGCTGGACATATTCATCCTGATTCTGTGAAAATAAAAGCAAAATCTGGGAAATTTGTCAATTTACAAGAGGCATTAGATACAGGTGCAATAGATAACACTGGCCACGCCCTTCAAGATGGTGAATACAAAAATCTTGAAGACATGTTACAAGATGGTAAACTACAAGAGACAATTCCTGAAGTACATGCAGCATCCAGTTTAGTGATGAAAACCACTGACAAGATTAATGTTGAATCGGTGTTAGACCCTAGGAATAACATTCTTTGTAGTCTCAGTATGGCCCTTGATTCAGGTTTAATTAATCCACATGATGGTACATACACAAACCCCAAAACTGGAGAAGTGCTAAATATATTGGAAGCTGTAAATTTTGGATACATCCAGGGTCAAGTTATTGACAGCATTACAATGAAGGAAGGGTTATCAAAAGAAGGCTTTAATGCAGAAGTGACATTTTCTGAAAAGAAAAAGGTTAAAGTAGCAGCTGTATTAGATACAGAAACAGGAGATAAACTGTCACTGCATGAAGCAATAAGAAAAGGAATAATTGATGAGTCGGAAGGAAAGTATAGAGATGTGAAAACGGGTCAAAGTATGGCAATTCTTGATGCTATGGACCAGAATTATGTGACTGCTAGTGAAATTGATGCTAATATGGAAACATCAGAGAGTTACAGGAAAACGTCAGAGAATACTTTCACTCAGACAAAGTCTTTAGATATCACAACTGTAATTGACCCATATACAAATGAAGAGATGTCGATTCCCTTAGCTGTAGAAAAAGGGGTCTTAAATATTGAAGCTGGTATCTTAAGAAATACAAGAACTGGAACTGAAATGACAATATCTGATGCCATAAAGAAAGGATATGTGAAAGGGTCACAGACTTCTAGAAAAAGTGGAATCTTTTCTGACACTTTGCCCAAACGGTATGTGCATGAAAAAGAAACTGTTCATCTGAAATCTGTATATGATCAAGATCAAGGGAGATTTATACCTGTTAAACAAGCCATCCAGAAGGGGATTATTGACGAAACTATGGGTTTATACATATTAGAAGATGGTTCTACAATGCCAATTAGTAGGGCTATTGATGAAAGACTTATACAGGTTGGTGATAGTGATTCCCACGGTGATGAGCCTGGGTTTATCCAGGAAAAGAAGTCTTACACGATCCAAACGGTACTTGATCCTTCCACAGGTAAAAGAATAACACCATCAGTAGCAATAGATAAAGGGTTACTTAATCTATCTGCAGGGATTTTTTATAACTCTGTGACTAGGGAAGAACTCACCATTCCTGAAGCTGTAAGCAGAGGCTATGTTGAGGCAGATACAACTTCTCATCTTTCACCATCAATGCCAGTTTTGAAACCTACAAGTGTTCAAGTGGAAATGGGCAGAAAATCATTTACTGTGAAGTCAGTTTTGGACCCTAGAACAAAAGAAGAAATGTCTGTAACAGAAGCTGTGTCACAAGGTGTTTTAGACCAATCTATGTGTAAGTACCTGGATAAAAGGACAGGGCAGACGCTTTCGCTAAGAGATGCAATACAGAGAGGACTTGTTATTTGTGAAGAGGTAAAAGATTTTCCCATTAAGACAGATGTTTATATGGAAAGTATAACAGTGAAATCAATCATAGACCCTTTAAGTGGAAAGGAGTATGGATTGCAAAAAGCTGTGCAAAAAGGTTTATTTGATCCAGATAGAGGTTTAGTACATAACAGACTGTCTGACAAGATGATAACATTAGATGATGCTGTTAAGTTAGGTTTGGCAAGAGTAGAACAACGGTCAGGAGTAACAGAAGAGGAGATTGTGAAAGGAATAATTGTTGAGAAGGTTATAGATCCAATGACAGGACAGGATCTTACTGTAAATGAAGCAAAAAGGAGAGGAATTCTTGATTCTGATTCCGGTCATTATGTTGATCACAAAACCCACACAAAAATAAGTGTGGAGGAGGCACTTGAAACTGAATTAATCAAAGGTAGAAAAACATATGGATCTACAGGAAAATTGGAAAGAGACAAGAAAGATCAAAAGCAGATAGTAATATCACAAGTTTTGGACACTAGAACTGGAGCCGAGGTTACTGTAGATGAAGCAGTACGTAAAGGACTCATTAACAAAGAAGTAACTACATATATTGATCCAAGGACTGGTAAGAAGTTTCTGATAGAAGATGCAATGAAAAAAGGTCTTGTTTCTGGTACAGTCTCTGTAACTGAAGCATCAAAGACTAAAGTCAGCTCACCAACAACAAGTATAACCTATGATATAGTAAGTGTTACTAATACAGCCACTCGGGAGAAAATGACTGTTACTAAGGCAATGAAGGAAGGTATCTTGGCACCATCTGGAATGTTTGTTGATACAAAGAGTGGTAGAGTGATGCCTGTGTCAGATGCTATTAGAGAAGGTTTAGTTGATACAAAAATACAAGAAGACAAAAAGAAACACCACAAGTATGATAAGTTTTATAAAATAGTTGCACCAGGTACAGAACTCCATGTCATAACATTCACACAAGCATTAAAAAACAATTTCATCAATGGTGTTGAAGGAACATTTACAAATCCTTTCAATGGTAAATATATGTCAGTTGATGAGGCAATTCTTTCAGAAGTTCTAGTGTCAGATGAAGGAAAACCATTCAAATACAAAGCACCAAAGAAAGGGGATACAAGCTGCTCATTTCAAAATGCGTTTAAAAGTGGACTTATTGATCTACAAACTGGACTGTTCTGGGATGCTAAAAAAGGAAAATCATATGAAGTTGAGGAAGCATTAAAGAAAGGAACTCTATGTCCATTGTCTACTTCTACTTTAAATAGTGAAAATCTAGTTCTGCATGGAGCAGGAGAACATGAAAAGCCTATACAACAATTAAAAACTGTTACTGAACATAATACAGAAATAAAGCCTATATATAAAGAATCAGTTGAACATAATGCAGAAATTAAGCCTATATATAAGGAATCAAGTGAGACAGAAAAAGTTATTGTGATAAAACATGATTCACCTTCGCCAATAAATGAGGAGGCCGGTATGGTTGATATAGCTACAGTCTTAGACACTGCCTCTGGGGAAAAATTAAATGTTTCTAAGGCAATGAAAAGGGGTATTCTTGCACCGTCTGGAATGTTTGTTGATACAAAAAATGGACGAGTCATGCCTGTTACAGAAGCCATTGAAGAAGGGTTTGTTGAAACAGAGAAAGGAGATAAGAAAAAGCATCACAAACATGATAAGTTTTATAATATTGTTGCACCAGGCACGGAACTCCATGTCATAACATTCACACAAGCATTGAAAAACAATTTCATCAATGGTGTTGAAGGAACATTTACAAATCCTTTCAATGGTAAATATATGTCAGTTGATGAGGCAATTCTGTCAGAAGTTCTAGTATCTGATGAAGGAAAACCATTCAAATACAAGGCACCAAAGAAAGATAGAGTAAGTTATACTTTTCAACAAGCATTTAAAAGTGGACTTATTGATCCACACACAGGGCTTTTTTGGGATGTAAAGAAAGGAAAATCATATGAAGTAGAGGAAGCATTGAAGAAAGGATATCTCTCTCCACTTACAAATTCACCAGGAGATGTTGGTGGGTCTGTCTTTATCGTTAAAGGTGGTATTGTTAAACCTTTAACTACATCCCAAATTGTAATTGAAGAAGAATTGGCAGCTTCACCCTGTGGAAAAGAAAGAAATGTGTACAAAATGGAAACTGCTATGGAAGGAAATGTAGTTACATCAATTACTACAAAAGAAGATCTAGATATGGTTGATACAGCTATAAACGGGCATTATAATCAATTAGAAAACAACACGGAACCAATACTTTATCGCTCCTCAAGTCCTGATGCTCTCGACAAGTTAACTATTGAAAAGCATTCTCTAATGGATGAATCAGAAACATCTGATATGCCTATTACCCTGACGGAAGCTATAACTGCTGGCCTTGTAGATAACACAACTGGAGAATACATAGATCCTGGTACAGGTGATGTACTGTCTGTAGATGAAGCAGTGATTTGTGGATTTTTAGAAATGGATAGACCAGAACATACTTCAAATGTAATGGTTGAAGAAAATATTAAGTCACCAATATCCATAACAGAGGCATTAGCTGAGGGAAGTATTGACACAGAAACAGGAAGATTTACTTGTCCATCTGGTGATAAAATATCTCTTCAAAAAGCTATACAGTTTGGATATGTTCAAGCCAAATTGTCTGATGATGATAATGATGATGCAGATGATGAGGAAAGTGAAATGGATACAAGTCCTTCAAAACAGCCAGTTGACCAATATGTTACCATTTCAATAGGAGCACCATTTTCACCTAAGCACAAAGAAGTATTCAGAGAAGGAAAGATGATATCTAAAACTGCAACAGAAGTTGTTGTTTCTGAAGGATCTACTTCCTACATTACCAGACCTGGATTTTTCATTGACTCCACTGGAAAGGTTGTTAATTCAGTCACTGGTGAAAGGATGTCCATTCAAGATGCAATGCTTAGTGGGATAGCAGACATAGAAGCCACAGAAGGCAGTGGGCAAGTGAAATTGGTTGGCTCTCACTTTGTGCCCCCAAGCTTGGATGTGGTAGATACTGAGTCTGTGGTGAGAATAACTGACATACACACATAATAACTGTGTAGCATGAATGTTGTTGTGAAAGTTGCACAAACTGAAATTATTTACCGATTTCAACTGTTTCTTGTGAAACCCTTTAATTTTGGAGATAATATTCGATAGATTTTTATGAAAAAGGTGCTGTAATCATAGCATGCTAAGAAAAATTCTAAATTAAAACATTTATGTAGAAATAAAAAGAGAATGAATTAAGCTAAATGATTTCAGTTTGTGGAGTTGTTGTGGTTGTGGGATATGAAGCTATGTAAAGTTATATTTTTATGTTTACAATTTTATGAAGGAATTAACTTTGCCTTATATTGGTTTAAAAATGATTTGTTGGAGTATACTTAGAGCAAGAATTATAGTATTTGTTGTTAAATGTTTAATTTCTTTTCATCCATTCTTGTTTTGTCCAGCAGTGTACAAAGGAAAAATGTATATTTTTTTTTTATTTTTAAAATGTCAAGTATTCATGCAGGTTTTCTTTCAATAAGATCTTGCATTAAACCTTTACAACTGCTTGATTTATTTGTACTGATTTATATTTTGTATAAATGTCTTAAAGTAAAGCAGTTACATAGACTCTGAAAAAATGTCTACAGGTAAAGCTGTTAAAGAGACATAGTAAAAAATTCTTAAAGTAAACCAGTTATAGGGGAAAAAAGTTATTTGATTATTTGTTTTACTGTAAAATGAACTAATCAAATATTAAGAGTGTGAAACTTACTAAAAAAATTAGGGTTTTATGCTCTACGCTTTTTGTAACATAATGGGATAATATATCTGTTTTTAAACAGTTTGCTATTCTGAATACAATAAGCAATTATGTTAATACAACATTTTTTGTTTATTGGTTGTACTTTACACATCTCTATTCCTTTCCTCATTCCTCCTATCACTATAACTTAACCATACATCTGTTTGCATAGAATACAATTTAATTATCAATTAGCAGTAGTTGAAATCTTTGTCTTTAAAAATAAACAAATAAACAACAAGATATAAGTATATTTTGAAATATCCAAATATGATTTACTGAAGTTTTCAAGAAATGAAGTCACACTTTTAAATTAGTAAAAATTCAAGTAAATTGATTTCAGCAACATTTTCTTACAAATAATTATTAGCTATGTTAATACAGTAACCTTCCTCCAACATCATGATAATAGTTTTATAATTGCTTTGGTGTTGAAGCATTTACATTTACTTCGATAAACAGTTTTCAGGTGTACATGTAACATTGTCAAATCTTGTTCTTGATTATAACAATTACATGATAATGATATGTTGAACTAATGTTCCAATTATTCAGTATAATTGCATGGTCAATTTTGAAATTAAGATTTGAGCTTGCATTGTAGAAAGTTCTAAACATTGCTGAAATTGTCATATTTTTCAGAATATTTCCCAGTCTGTCTCCTTGGCATTATTAGATGTCATTGACCCTCAGTTCTTGAAGGGCAATTCTCAGTTGCTAGGTGATGGTTCATCTGTTCCTGGTGATGGCAAGGACACTTTAATATCTGTAAATTCTTTAGATCAAAGTTTTGATTCATGTGATGGTGTTAAGTCTTTAAAACCAGTTTCAGATCTTGACACAAGCTTTACTGATTCCGTTAATTCCATTCCTGTTAAAAATAAAGTTCTTAAAGTCGCAAATGGATGCGAAATAAACTTAGGGAAGTATATGTTACCTGGACATTCTGATTCAGACTCTGATGATGACAGTAAAAAAATAGATTTTACAAAAACTGAAGTTGTAATGTACACTGAGAGCTTAGTGGAAGAATTTTGGGATAGTTCAAAAGAAAAATGGATTCATCCAAGAACTGGTCAATTCATACATATGCAAGAAGCTATTGATTGTGGTATACTCTGTCCAGAGGTCATACAGGTTAAACAGGCCAATGGTCAAACATTAAATTTACAGAAAGCTATAAACTCCGGACAAATTAATGTCCATACTGGTAAAACTATCAATTTAAAGACTGCTCTCACCTGGCCATTTCATGTTGCTATTGCTAAAGGTCTTATTAAGATAAATGACAATGAACCTATGGAAAAATGTGACATGTACACTGAGCTTGGACCTGGACTTGTCACACTAATAGCGCGTAAAGAAGTACTTAGGGATACCAAAGTCTTAGATAAAAGACTTGACCAGTGGAAAGACATTCCAAAATCAGTAGATGCCTTCATATTTGATACAGAATGGGGAAAAGTAAAAGATAATATGACTGGTAAATGGTTATCATGGGATGAAGCCAAACTAGCAGGATTAAGTCTTGATCCAAGAGTTGGTGAGCAAAGCTCTGTTTCGGAAGAAGAAATTATTCAGTTGTCAGAGGTAGACAAACATATTGTGAATTTGACTGAAATGGTGGATGAGAAAGGGTCGAAAGAATATGGAGGTCATATACTATTTAATCAAAACCCATCTAAAACTGTAACAAGTCGTAGACCGTCTGTTGATTTTAATGAAAAACAATTGCCCAAAATAGCACAAAGAAGATGTAGCTTAGCTACTGAGACAAAAGCTCAAACTGCCACCTTTCCAATCATGTTAGATGAAGCAATCAAGCAAAAGCTGTATAACCCAGTGACAAATAAACTCCATAATCCATCAACCAATGCTGATGTTCCATTGGAAATTGCCCTACAGAAAGGACTTATTAATCCAGAGTCATTAATTAGAGATCCTGTTAGTAGAGATATTCTGTCACTCCATGAGGCAATTGATAAGAGAATTATTGATTTAGAATCTGGGAAAATGATTGATGCAAATGAACAAGCAATAGCATTAAATTTTGCTTTTAACACTGGACTTATTATGAGGTCGCAGTCCCCTTTAAAGTTGTCAATGTCAGAAATATTAGATGAAGGTTTGTTTGATGAAGAATTAGGGACATTTTTAAATCCGGATACAAATCAAGAAATAACATTTGGAGAAGCGGTGAATACTGGGTTGTTAGATAAAGAACTGGTTAGAGTAAGAAATACTGAAACAGGGAAAGTTGTTAAGTTTGATGAAGCTTTAGAAAATGGTTTAATTTATTTTGACTCTGGCATATGTGTTGACATTGCAAATAAAGAAAAGATTCAAATTCCAGATAGTATAGAAAGGGGCGTTCTTATAGACATAGCTAATCAGCCTAAAATGAGCTTGCAAAATGCTATTGAAGAAGAAGTTTTTCAATTTGCATCAGGTACATTTCGTGATAATGATTTGGGTATAGATGTCTGCTTAGGTGATGCGATAGAAAGTGGGCTTTTAGATTCTGACTCAGTACTAGTCAGAGATCCAAAGTCATTGACTGTTTTGACTATTGATGCAGCAATGGCAGAAGGCATAGTAAATCCAGTGACTGGCTGGTATTCAAATAATTGTATAGAAATGGGGTTTGGTGATGCAGTTGAAAAAGGACTGGTTCTTTATAATGCCTCACATGGTGTTTTGCCATGTAGTGTCCTAGAGGCTATCAGATTTAATATATATGATCCCAAAGGTAGAACTTTTATTGATCCAAAAACTGGTGAAGTTCTCACCCTAGAAAAAGCTATAGAAACAAATTTAATTGATCCCAGAAGGACTATGGTCAAAGACACATCTACTGGTCGATTCTTATCATTAACAAATGCAGAATATTTAGGGTTAGTTGATATGAAAAGATCTGAAATAACAAATTTGAAAGAAAATGAACAATTTGAGCTCAAGATAGCAAAGGAGACTGGTCTTCTTAGACGTTCTGCTAGTGAAGAATGTCTCACTTTGAAAACTGCAATAAAAAAGGGTTTAGTTGACGAGAGTGGTAAAGTACAGGACACTCTATCAAAAAAGAAAATCAATCTACCTGACGCAATATTAGTTAGAATCATAGACCATACTCCAACACTGGTTAAAGATGTTAAAAAGGACAGTTTTATCCCCCTACTTGATGCTATTAAAAAGGGTCTTATTGATGGGGAATCAGGTACATTTATTGATACAGAAACTAACAAAACAATGACTTTACTGGATGCAACTGAAACTGGCAATATTATTGAAGTCCCTGCCCCAGGTTTAACACTTGCCGAAATTGTCCAACATGGACTATATAAGGAAGATATAGGTCGTTTTCTGGATGTGAGAACTGGAAAGATGATTAACTTACAAGAAGGAATTGAACAAAAGTTAATTGATCCAAGCAGACCACAGGTTGTTGTCCCTGGATTAGGATTGTTTACATTGAAAGAAGCATTTGAATATGGATACTTAGATGATACATTAGGTTCTTACATAGTGGGAGGTAGAGCTATTTCCCTCACTGAAGCAGTTGACAAATTTTTGGTTGTTACGGTAGGAAGTAAGAGAAGGAATAAATCAATGTCTGAATCATATTGTGAAGATACTGAGGATGGTAAAACTTGGAATGATTTACTTGTCAAACATCCAAGTGATAGAGTGTTCATGTCGGTTGAAGAGGCAGTAGATCATGGCTATATTGACATACAAACAGAGTCATTCTGCGATCCAAATACAGGAATGGTTATACCAGTAAATGATGCAATCAAAAGGGGAGAAATTGTTGATGCTAGGAACCCTAAATTTGGATTAGCTTCTGCATTTAGTCATGGAATATTTGATCCAATTAATAGCACTATTTTAGATCCCAGAAATGATAAAGAAATATCTTTAAATGAAGCCATTAAGTCTGGTCTGATTGATACTTGTAGAACAAGAGTAAAAGATTTGGAAACAGGTCATTTTATTCCGTTAAAACAAGCATTAAAGAAAGGTATTGTTAGTAGTAAGACCGGGTCACTTCTTGAGAAGAGACAGAAGAAGTCTTTTCCAGTAGAGTTTGCTGTAAGGGAAAAGATGATAGTTGACTTTACGAAATCAAACTTTACAGTACCAGAAGGTATTGAATTTGGCATGATAACACATGATGGTTTAATGGTTGAAGACTTAAACTCTGGTAACTATCTCTCATTTGATGATGCAGTTGATAGAGGTATTATTGACATCCATAACACATCAGTCAAGCAAACGGAGGATGCAAGAGAAATAACGTTAGCTGAGGCCATTGAGCAAAATGTAGTGGATGAAAATAGGGGTCAATTAAAATTGAAAACTGGAAGAAGAATGTCACTTGCAGAGGCTGTCTCTAAAAGTTATATTCAGGAGCGAAAAGAAGTTGAATTCTTCATAGATAGTGAGAGTGAACTAACAATGGAGGGAAGCTTGACTGTGCCATCAGAACCAGAGACAGAAATATCTTTAAATAGGGTATTAAGTGCATTGTATAAAGCAGACTCTGTAAGTAGTTTCGGTGAAAGTAGAAGTGATTCTGTAAGCAGTCCAATTAGGTTTGATGAAGCACTAAAGTTTGGATTCCTTGATCTTGAAAATGGGGAATTTACTGATTATCTCACAGACCGTAAAATGAGTATATCACAAGCAGTAGAGGAGGGCAGATTGAGTGTAAAGAAAGTTACATTTTATGATGAAGATAATAAATTGACAGTACCATTAAAGTTTGCATTAGAAAAGAACTTATTATTTCAAGCTTCAAAAAATGATGATAAAGTCAGTGGATTCAATGGTTTACAGAACAAAAAAGGAATTACATTCCAGGATGCATTAAATAGGGGTTTGTTAATGATGCAGACAACAGTGCAAAATAATGTTGACTTTGATGCATTAAGTGTTAAAAGCGACACTTTTTCTGAAATGGTTGTTAAGAATAAACAGTTAGACTGGTTGTCTTCCACCAAAGCTGTTTCATCATCTCTTGATTCATTAATCCAGAATGTTAAAGAAGACCAGTCTGGGTTTAGAGTTGGAAGTTTATTTGATGCCATTGAAAAAGGGCTGTATGATAAGAAGAGAGGCTTAATAACTGATAATTTCTCTAATAAGTCAATGAAAATAAAGGAAGCTGTAGATTCAGGGCTTATTAATTCAAAAGCTAAGGAAATTGTTGATCCAAGATCAGGTGAACGTATAAGCCTTGAAGAAGCAGTAGAACAGAATATTATAGATGCTGACAAGGGAATGTACAAAAACCCAATAACAAACATTGAAGTGTCCTTAGAATCTGCCAAAGATGCAGAATTTATTGTCAAAAGTGAAGATCTTTTACATTCCAAAAGCTCAGTAGAAATATATGTAGAAGAAATTTTATCAAATGAAGAGACAAGAGGCAAAAACAAGTTACAAGATGCCTTTTCTACTGGTGTTTTGAATAGATCTAAGTCACAAGTGATTGACCCAGATACTGTGAAGCCAATTACTATTAGAAGAGCTGGAAGCTTGGGCATGATTGATGTGAAAACTGGAGAATTTAAAAACCATCAAACTGGGGAGTCTTGCTCATTAGCTGATGCTGTGCAAAAAGGGTACATACTGAGTCCAAAGGGTTTAAGTCTTTATAGTGCTGTAAATCAGGGCCTATATTGCGAAGAAAAGGGACTATTCAAAGATCCTGGATCAGGAAAGGAGTTAACTCTTTCTGAAATGATAAATAATGATATAATCACTGATGGATGTATGGAAATAAGGGATATTTCTCATGAAGGATCTCTTGTGAAAATGAAAGAAGCAATAAAAAGAGGTATAATTGATGCTGAAAAGGGAGAATATGTCTCTAAAAATTTGAAATTGAATTTCAAGGAGGCTATGTCAGCAGGATTAATTATAAGTAATATTCCAAGGGAGGGTCTGCGTGAAAGTAGTAACAACGTTCAAACATTGATTGGAACTAAACCAGATCAGATTTGGAAAGAAAGAATACCACACAGAGAAATGCTCAAAGATGGCCCTGTTGTTAATTGTCTTGCTAAGGGTGTGAAGAAATCTGAAGACAAGGTAACTAGCTCAACATCTAGCATGGAAACCAACTCTTCTGGATATGAGACAAATGTTTCTCAACCATTGAACTACCAGGAAGATGATTTGAAATTTGCAGTTGAAATAGATCAGTTGAAGTCCAAACAAGTTTATCTTGATGTCAAAGATGACGTTATTACAGATCTTACTAAGCCTAAAGAAGAAAACTTTTCAGTAAAAATAAACAAAAATGAGGTAAATGAAATGAAAAATGGTGAAAGTCCACCATGTACTGAAAACAGTGATAACAAAAACTTAAACAAACTTGTAGCTAAAAAGTCAAAAGTACTAAAAGATATTGAAAGTAAACATAATGCTAATGAGACAATGCCAAAAGATTCAGACACATTGAAAAATAGTGAACAATCTGAACATCTACAAACACCAACAGAACTAAGCAATTTCCCAAATGATTCTGACAAACTTAGTAAAGAAAGTAATGTACAAAATGAGAAATATAGCAAAGGCAAGGACAATTCTAATAAAGATAAGGAAAATGCTATTAAAGATCGGGCAGAAGATGATATAATAGAAAACATCAATAATTTTCATGATAACAACAAGTCTGAGACTGACAAATTAATAAGAAATCTTAAAATATCACAAGTTTGTAATGTAGATCAGGAAATGAACTTGCCATCACCAGTCCAAGGTCTTAAATCAGTTGTCTCCCCTGTGAGGTCTACAGAGTTCACCTTCCATGCTGGTCTCCCACAGTCTGTGATTGAAGAACGCCAGGTATGAATCTGGAATGGCCTTGATGCAAGTCTTGTTGGTTAAAATTGGAATGCCCTTTTGTTTGTAATGACGTTTTTTCCTAATCTAGAAAGTTTTCCTTAAGTGTTTGATCAACTGAGAATGGTTTTTGTGCATCATAGAAAAAAGTCTTCAAGTTTTCGAAGACAGTTAACTTTGCCTGGCATGAATTGTTCAAAGCTTGTTCTAGTTCCTCGTGGCATGGTTTTTCCTTGTAATTGTTTAGGAGAATGATAAATAATTTCCATTCAAAAACACTGACCTTTCAAATTCAATGATATGATGGTTTTCGCTGTGTTTGTTTCATTGTGCATCTTTGATTGATAAAATGTGCTGCATCTAGAATGTGATTAATTACTAACTAACTCAATCTTTTTACAGTGGTATAAAAGTCTTAAAGTGAGCAAACAACTGTTTGTATATTGGTAGTTGTATGATTGTTTCTCATGAAAATTTAGAAAAGTTTTAGTTCTTGTATTCTTTTCCCTACCTGTCTTTTTGGATTATAACCAAAGATACCAACACACATAACATTTGATATAGCATGGTTACTTATTAACAATAAAGTGTCATATCAGAATAAGAAAAAGATTTTATTGACTTTGAAGTTTTATAGATAATCCTGTAATGACTCTTTTTTTTTCTGGGCACACTTCTTACAATGCCAGACTTCTTATCAAATAATCCTGTAATGACTCTTTTTTTTTTCTGGGCACACTTCTTACAATGCCAGACTCGTCTCTCATCAAATTGTCAAAATGATGTCATAGTCATTGCAATGCAACTTTCATTAGTCAACTCTTTTATTAGGAGCTAACCATTACAAGCATAACAAACCTTAAATGAAATAAAAATAAATGTTGTGATAAAAGCAGGTTATATTAAATACAAAATAATAATTTTAAATAATATTGATATAATAAACATCATTTATCACATCATGTTGTGTGTTAACTTACTAAACACCTAGTGAAATTACTTTCTGTCACTAACTCTCTTCTTCTTTGCTGTGATTCTTTCTCAAGTACTGTAGTTTGACTTTTAGTGAATAATCCGTATGATGAAATAAATAACAAAGACTAGTGATAATAACTTGTAATGCATGTTATTCTTGTAGAAACCACCATGGAATGCTGAATTTGCATGATATTCTTGGATGCATACAAAATTATTGCACTCTGAATATTCTTCATTTTTGCTGTGCCGACCCCTTCTTAAAAGTTACTCAATTGTGATTTGTAGATAATTAACAATTAGCCTGCTGGTGGGGGAATGAATCTACCCATGCAAACAGTGCAGACCAAGATCAGCTGACATCTATGTGCTCTCTGATCATGGTCTGCACTGGTTGCTAGCCAGTTGGTACATATTTTGACATTTTCCCTACAAATGATGAATGGTTTATTCCAGATTGAAAGATGGACAAGTCCATTTATGATATATGGCATGGTAAGGGTTAATGAGAAAGACTGAATTTTTGTCTTGCCTGCTTAACAGAAACCTGAATATAAGGTTATATAAGTTACAAGGTTAAATTTATATTTAGTTGAAAGATTTATTGCTTTGTTAAAGAAGACCAGCTATTGAGTTATATTTTAATCTACGTATGTAACATTTGTAACTAAAATATATTCAAGAAGTGTAAAAAAAAGTAGTGGTCAGTTTCATATTGAAGAAAAATATAATTCATGGTCATTCACATTATTTTGATCAGTTTTTCAAAAAATAGTAACCTAAGGAACATTGTTTTAAATTTTGAATCAATAGGTACAAATGTAGCAGCTTTTAAAGTCAAGTATTTGCATTTATTTATGTTTTAAGCTGGAGAAATACAACTTTTGCTTTGTGTAATTTATTTGCACTTTTTAATAAGTTTCAAAACATTATGGGATTACTCTGTTATGCTTGTATAAACAGCTGGGTGTTTGGGTTGCTAAATTGTTATGTTTTTTTGTTTTAATTGTTGCTTTCCATTGTAAATTTACATTACATGCAACATCCTACCATGCAGTTTCAGTGTTCCATGGTTTTCCTACTTCCTATTTTTGTAAATTGAGATTTGGAGACCAGTCTTTAAAATAAAGCTTTGCTATTGGTCGATTTCATTTCAAATTTGAAATCAACCAATGAGATGCCTGAATTTTGATGCTGGTAGCCAAACTCTTTTTACCAAATGACTTTAATTGTATGAAAGATAAGTGTGAGAAAGTGTAGTTTTAATATGATCATATTATTAATGTAATTTATAATTTGCTTTCAAGTATCAATCCGCATTTATTCATATCCATTTAAGTAGGATTTGTACTCTTTAACATGATGATCTTGTTTTATATTGTTTCCCTTTTTCAGGTGGTCTTAGAACTTCGATTAAAAAAATAACTTGAATATGTCATGATTTCAACATTCAGTTAGTGATTAAAACTAAAATGTACCAAATTAATGGCAAAAGATGATATATCATTTACATGTTTTGATAATTATTGTTAATAACTACAGTTTAGTTACACAGGTACATACAGAATTGGGGTATAACACTGGACTAGATTTTCTTGATGTTCCCATTTTAATTCCAGATATTTAGCTACTTTTAGTGATGTAGATCTTATGATTTAATAATTAAGTTGCTACATTAGTTTAAAATAAACTTTTCACAAAGTGTGAAATTTAGTTGTAGCACAATTATTATAGAAAAAAAAGTTTAATGCAAGATACATATATATCTATAAATACAGTTCAATAATATGAGAATATTTTGTTAGAGAGGATATAAAAATAGTACTATTTTGTATTTCAACTATTATAAATCTATCACATTTGCATCAAGTCTCCATGATATTTTGGAAACTTCAAAATATTTTATAAAGCAAACTATGCTGTTCAGGAATATAGTTAATTGGCAAAGTAGGCAAAAGAAGATGGCAAAGTCATTGTAGCTTTTAAATCATGATATGGTGTGTTATGAACAGATTCCATGCTGTTTGAGACTCTAACTTGAGTCTTTTAATGCTAGTGGCAATATTGACTTGTCTATACCACCAGTACCAGGCTAGCCTGCACATCCGTGCACTCAGTACAGTTGGTTTCTGTCAATTTTCATATTGTTTCTCATTTTCACCATTATTCTGCTGGAACCAAAAGTGATTTAGCCCTGTAAAAGTGATTTATAATAATGTCAACCAATCTTCACTTTTGTGCAGTCTGATGACGCTGTATACTGCAGGCTGACAACCTTGATATTCCAAAAACCGATAATGGACAGGTCCAAAATGAAAGCTGGATAAACCTATTTTAAGAAATAAATAAATTCTTTAATCCCTTAAAGTAGTGATAGATTGTTGAATTTCAAAGCAGAACAGACTAGGGCAATATGATTTAAATTGTATATTTTATTTTTGTGAGTTTGCTCATTGACTTTCATGCCCCCATCCTCAAAGAATATTTCTGATTATCTTAGATAACCTTGCATGTTACCTCTAAAACCATGAAGAATGTTTAGTTGTCCTAACAAAAGTTACAAATGGTACTTTTTAATATACAAATACTGGCTAGACAAACAAAACCTATATATTTTCATTAAAAACCATTGATGATATTTAAGAGTATCTGTAAAGTATTTACTAGTGATTATTTCAAGTATAAACTAGTGCTTTCAGATTCTTTCATGTGAGGAAGCTATCCAGATAGCTTATGGAACGTCTGTGGTTCTACTCAGGTGCCCGTTCGTGCCTGAAATAATGCATTTAAAGGGTGGCACCTGAGGTCTTTCTCCACCAGTAAAGCTGGAACATCGCTATATGACCTATACTATGTCAGTGTAAAACCCAATCAAACAAACAAACAATTAACTAGTGCTAGTATACAGAATGCCAGTATTGTCAAATCTGACCTGTCTTCATCATGTCATCTGACTCAATTATCATAATGTTGATCATGTCTAATATTAATAATTTTGACTTGGAAAAAAAATGCCACCAATTAACATTGAAAAATCTAAAGCAAGACAATGACCTGTCAATTGTTATATGAATTTAACAGAGAAAAAAAGAAATTAAAACACAAGTTGCATGAATTGTTGGTATATGTGGCATGCTAGTATAAAAACTGATTACAGTTGGTGATAATTTACTTTGTGTGTTCAAATCCATATTGTTTTATAACCTAGATGTGTTTATATAAGTGTATAATGCGTTATTTATTACATGGCCATTGGTAAGAATTTAAGGCCATACTATATTAGATATATTAGATATAAATAAAACAATATTGTATGTTTTTATCTAAACAAAGTATGCCTTCATTAATAACCAAGATAATCGGAAGAAAAGATTATTGTAAACATTAACTTGTATCCCTTTTTTTCTCTGATCTTTATGAATAATTGTATAATTTATCCATTTCTGTTTCTGCTAATTAGCCAGGTACTGAACATTTATTTGCTATTTACCACAAAATAAAACCATAATGATATATTAGCTGGAAACTCCGCTACATTCATTATCTGTATATTAAAATAATCTGTAACAAAATGAAAATTTATGTTTACTGGTAAATACTCTTTATATACATTGAGAAAAGTTCATAGGTGTTAGACAGGGAGGCATATTTTGGGTCCTTTTTAAACCATTGATGTTTTCATTTATCGTGAATTTCAGCATGCAGTTTTTTGTGCATTTTGTGGAGATTGAAGTTATTATTATTGATATTTGAATATTTCCTATTCTAATGTATAGAGTGGTCATTGTAAATATTGTAAATATGTATATTTCCTTATATATATGATATAATTCATGAAAAAATCTTTTTTGCTTAGAAAATAACAATTTTACCAAGGTTTTATCTATTAGTCTCCTTTAGGTTTATATCACTCTGAACAGCCAGCACAAGGATGAAGTTGCTATAATAATATGGCACTTGTTAAATTTTCATTGAATACTTGTTGAAAATGTTTACTTGGAAAGAGATTTTACATAATATGAAACCAATTTGTTTGTATTTAAAGAACATTTTATGAAAATACTGATCAAAAAGAAACCCAAAAGATTTATTTTCATAATAGTGTTTTTGAAATAAAAGCTCGGACCTGAAATAATGCAAAAGAAGAGCACCAAGGTCTTCTTACACCATTAAAACTGGAAATGACCATGACAGTATTGAGGTGACTTAAAACAATGACAGCAAAAATAGATATAAAGAAAAAGCAATAAAGAATACAATTTAAATGGGATGCTTTAGACAGGTGGCATTGCTTGAAATTTTCTAATTTGCTTTTTAGTGCTGGGGCTTTAATTTGTTTTTTCAGCTTCCACCATATTTTAGAGAACAGAAATTTCTGTGTAACATGGAAAGGTCATATTGTACCCTGGATATATATTTTCTAGAAGTGGCATATGAATAAGAACAGAAATTCTGCTTGCTGCTGTGTTTGTTATTGACTTCCATTGCTGGCTTATAAACATTTTAAAATAAAACAAAAATTGACAAAATTTAAGAAATCAAAACTGATGTTTTCATGTTTTATATTTATATAATTTCATAGTAAAACTGAAATCAACGGTGAGATTTAGTGTAAATTTTCTTCTTCTTTTTTGGATTTATCAATTAGCATGAATACTATCAATAAGTATACTTATTTGATTGTATAAATATATTCAAATATACTATTACAGTTTCTACTTAACTAAAAAAATCCTAATCAAAACCAAAAAGTAAAAAAAAATAATAGATTGTATAATTTCATTAAATTATACTATCTAAACTTTTGTAGAAAATTTAGTTGTCATTATTGCTGCATCTCACCTTGACTTCAGTATATTTAAAGTCTTAATTAACCCTTGTCATGCTAGTAGAGATAACGGCTTGTCACTGTCTTTCATCCAGCATAGGCCAGCCTACATTATCCATTCAGTCCATATAGACTCAGTTCTGTTAACTGACTGTATTATCATATTAAGATAAAATTCCAAGTTTTAACCCTTAACCTGCTGAAACTGTCAAAGAGATTAGCCATTGGCACCAGTTAAGAGCCAGGCCAGCCTGAAAACCTGTACAGTGTGATAAAGGCTGTATACTGTTGACTGACCCAACTTTATATTATCCTCTAAAAATGGAAGCTGGACTGGTCCATTAAGTTCAGCAGGGTTGATTTCCAAATATTTTTACAAATATAATTAACAGGACAAATATATTATACAACATTAGCATGAAAAGGGTTAATGAAAGCCTAATCAGTACTTTTTACTTTCAGATGTTGTTGTCTTTTTTTTCTTTTAAATAGTAATACATGTAGTATTATAAAACTACATATTTCCTTAGAATTAAAATTGCCATATAAAATCACTAGATGAATTAGGCTGATCCATTGCTTATATAATAATATAGAATATTCAATTCATTCATTCCTTCACAGCTTTCCTCGTCCTTTTTAAAAATGGATAAAAAATTGTTAAACACTATATGGTTTAAAAGATATTGTAGTAAACTTATAAATAGAGCTTATTTGATGCAGGATTATAAGAAAAGAATTATTACATAACTCTAAATTGGAAAATACATGCCCAGCATTTCAAGAAGTATTCTTGGTTGATCTATAACATTATATACATGTAGACAGAAAATTGTCAAATTGAAATATCAAATTTAGTACACATATTTTGTAAATTGGAGCAGAAGATGAAATTTCTGATGTTAAGTAGTTGATGTCTTGCTGAAACATTTAATGAAACATTTTCTAAGAAAAGTAATAAATGGTTTAGTAACTTCTGGCTGTATTGTCTGATTTTCTCTCAAAGAAAGAAAGAAGAAAGATGCTTAATTAACAAATGATTGCTGTATTTTGTTTATTATGAGACAATAATTTGGGAGTTGGTTAATAACTTGTATATTGCATGTGTTTCTTTGTTTTCCTCTATCTAGCAACTGTCTGACTCGTATGACAAGTTGGTACAAGATCTGCACAATGAACTCAACTGGGTGTCCGATGTTGAACAACTACTTAAAGATGACCAGCCAGTCAGTGAAGAGGCATACAAAGCACAAAGTCAGAGAGAAGCTTTGAAGGTAAAACCTGTTTTTCTGTTGTTGTTTTTCCTGAGACATTAGAAATACTATAAGGTGTTAATTTGTTCTCTGACTTATTTAGAAAGTTAAATCTTTACAACTATATCTTATTTCATATTCCATATACAGATTATTTTTTTCAGAACCTCAAAACAATTGAATTGATGAAGCTTAACAAGTTGCAGGGGAAATATTTGAAAGAGTTGCATCCAAGAAATTAAAAACAAACAAAAAAACCCCAAACTTCTTAAGGTTAAAATGTCTGTCAGTTTGAGCATGTAATTATATTTAGATGTTTTATTTCAGGCACTTCATGATGATGTATTACAACATCAGCAGCCAATCAGATCACTTGTTTATCAGTCCGAGCAGCTGGTTGAACACCATCAAGAGGAGCTAACTCCAGAACAAGTTACAGAGTTACAGAACCTTGAATCCCAGATCAAAACTGCATTTGCAAAGGTAGATGATTATATATGGTCATATAATGTTGATATTATGTACATGAACAAAAGTGTTTGTAAAAAAATGACCAAAAGTGTTTTTTTTTTAAAAAATGACAACTGTTTTACTGAGAAGAAATGATAGTGTTTTGATAGGCACATTTTAGAATATTCAATTTTCTGTGTTCAGGTACAAAAAACATGTGAATCTCGTGTAAAACATCTTTCGGCTGCCACAGATGAGCTCACAAAGTTTGAAACAGAGTTACACAAATTTAACAAATGGCTCGAGGTAACAGAGAAAGAGCTAGAGAGACAAACAGAAGCAGTTGAGGTGTTTGACAACATCAGTCGTGTGAAGGAACAACATAAGGTTTGTGAAACTTTGATTTATATATATGACTGTATTAGATTTCAATGCTATTAAATGTTTGGTGCCTATGTCAGCAAGAGGTCTCACAGCTTGTAATCTTTACAGTCATACTATTGGCTTTTCATTGTAGGTATGTGATTTTGAAATACCTTGTATTTACAACGGACAGTTTAACATTTAATATAGTTTTACAGAATGATGTAAAAAGCAGGATGTTAAATATGTACAACAATGAGTGGCACATATTGTTCTAATTTGCAAGCTACAAATGGTATACAAAATGTATAAAGTTTTTTGATAATTTTGATAAATTGTTGTTGTTTTTTTTTACAAGAATTTGTTATTGCATGAAGCAGCAATGTACTTCAAATATTTGTTTTAACATCTCATCTTTATATTAGTATTAGCAAAGATTGACCATATTTATTTCTGAAGTGTTGGCATAGCAGAAAACTCGAGATAAAGTGATTTACTTCTTTATTATTTTACAAAATGGTACTATTCAGCAGAAATCTTATTCAAAGGTTATGTATAACATATTGTTATACACAAATTTTTCTTTTAATAGACAGAAAAATAAATTTTTAAATGTTGTTATTTTATGTACAGGACTTACAGTCTGATATTGTTGCCCATGCTGCTGACTTACGATATCTGTCTTATCCAGTGAAAAACTACATGGAAGAATCAAAGGTTTGTACTTTCTGTAAACAATCTATTATATAATATGATTTAATATAGTAACAATATGAGATTTGATGTTGCACTTCAGTTACTAGACTTGATTTTAACAGTATTTTCCTCAGTCCCCTCAGCAGGACCTTTAAATCTATTGATTTCATTAAGAACATATTTAATGATTAAATGTTTTACTTTTCTCCATTTAAAGATTGATGTTATTGATGTTATCTGCTGAGATTATAAAACACTATTCTTATTTACAGGCACATAAACTTGAACTTGATGCTTACAAAGCTGACAGACAGAAGCCAAGTAGATTGAGTAGAACAAGTTGGATTGCTATGGATAACAAGGAGGTTGAAGTAGTGCTTGAGAAACAGAAGGAGGCTGACAAAGAATATCATGATCTCAAAGCTAAGTGCAATAAGTTTGGTGACAAGTTGTCTCATTTGGTCAGCAAGCAGAAAGCTTTTAATGACTCCACATGGACAATGTTGTCCTGGTTGACAGATACTGAAGAGAAATTGAGTCTAACAAGGCAAGAAGCTTCTGCACCTGAACCAGAGGCGCTAAGAGACCATCTTGAGAAAATGAAAACATTGGGTAACGATGCCATTGCCCATAAAAATCAGATGGCTGAACTTGAAAAGTGTGGTAGAGAGGTTATAGGTCAGATGAGAGAGTTAGGTATAGGAGGTGAACAGGTGGAAAAAATTCAAGAAATTATTAATGATATTTCAGATCGTCATGAAAGTGTCTCAGAAGAAATTAATGAGCGTGCCAACGATCTGCAAACCGCAGTCACAAAATCTCAAGGTGTTCAGGATGCTGTTGATCAACTACTTACATGGTTGAAGGAGACAGATCGTAAACTTGAACAGCAGAAACCTGTAAGTCTGAACCAGGATAAGTTAAATGAACAAGCACAACAGTTAAGCATTATTGAAACTGATATAGAAAGTCATAAGCCTAGTGTAGACTCAGTGAAACAAGCAGCTAGTGAACTCATTAAAACATGTGATCTTGATATGGCTAAATCTCTTGAAGGAAAGATTAGTGATATTGGTTCGAAATTTCTGGATGTACAAAAGAAATGTAGAGCAACCTCTAGAGAAGCTAGGGACGTTGCAGAAAAATTGGATAAGTTTAATGATAATCTAGATCTACTTAAAACATGGGTTCAGGTAAATTCTGAAGGGCTAGAATCATCTGAATGGAATAAGAGACCTATTGATCAGTTGAAATTGAAGGTAGATGGGGTAAAAATGGAAAAAGAACGCCAGCTGCAAGCATTGGAACAGTTACAGTCTCTTGGACATGAGCTTGTTGAAGATCCAAGAACAGGCGATACTGCAGCCATTAAAATGGCTTTGTCTAATATTGATGCAGGATGGACAAGGTTTGAGGAATGTCTAACCGAACGAGACTCTGAAGCAAGCTTGAAAGAAAGCAAAGAAAGTGATTATGAGAGAATAAAACAGGAAGTGGTTCGTTGGTTGACTGGTATGGAGACTGATGTTGATTCATTTGAACCAGTCGCTGTTGACATGGATGTTGTTGCTAAACAAATTGAAGAATTACAGGTAAATTGTGATTAGTTTTAGTTTCTTATATTTTATAAAGAAACAAATATTCAATTTTGTGAGCTTAGGATTTTAAAATTTATTTTTGAAAAAAAAATTACACATGTTTGATTCAATGTGAAGGACAAAATATTTAATGCTTAAAGTAATATCAATATTACATGGAGGTTTCATTTAATTTCATAAATTTTGATTTGTATAAAGTCTTTTTCAAAATCAATTAAGATTGAATATTAAAAGTATTTATGAATAACAATGATTGTAAAAAATGTTACTAATAATTAATTGCACTTGACACTTTTTTCAGCCCATGATTCAAGAATACTACGAGTTCTCACCAAAAATGGATGAGTTGAATGAAGTAGGTCAGGTGTATGAAGCCATTCAATCTGGAGACTCGAGACCTAAGAGCCCAATGAGATTCAGTAAGCTAGATAAACTTTGTTAAGTTGCTCATGTGTGTAACATTAATGATTTGAATGCTGTGTGCATCTTACACATCTGCATTACTAATATGGGTGAATAAGTTCAAGTCTCAAGAGCAATGTTAAGACAGGGTTATTTGTCAGACAGGAGATAAAGTTATGGAAATGAATTCATCCCTCAGCTTGGAATCAGGATATTATGTACTTCTGCAAAATTTCAAACACTGTTCTTCTGGTAATGAAGCGTCCTACAGGGTTGTCATTAAAGTCAAATCTTAGAAAACAGTCTTTGACAGGTATGATAAAACTAAAATGTTGGTCTCAAAGTCAAAAATAAAATAAACCATCCCAGAAATTTTTTAATGACAACCCTGGTTTTGTCACTATATCTTATGACATGATTTCACCTTGGTGGGTAGTTTTGACTTTTTTCCAGAACACTTATGGTTTGGATTGGTTTGAAATATTGGAAGAGGCGGGCATGAATTATTGCTGACTTTAACCAGTTTGTCAGGCATGAGTTGAAAGTGACCACATTCTTTGTTAAATTTGTTTCTTTTTCTTTTTTTGTTGATGATAAATATTTTGATATTATTTTGTTACATTTTAGAGATTTTTTAAGTACATGTGTTTTGAAATGAATTCATCTCATCATATTGAAAGTAAATGTCCAAGAATGAAGTCACTTTTAACTCACCTTTCAAAATATGATTGTTATGATATTTTCTTTGCATTCACTTAACATTAGGATGTTATTCACAAAAGATGTAAATAAGGTCAGAGGGCATTGAGTACTTGTATTTTTTTTTGTTTTATTAAAAATTTGCCCTTTCCTTCCTTTTTAATGTCCCATATAGATATTTGTTTAATGTCCCCTTCAAATATTTTGTGTTAGATATTAGAATGTAGAATCTTATCTTATTGAGTTCTTGATATTGTTTTATTAGGCTGTGTATATTTTAGATTGAGATTTAGATTAAAACTTAACCTGAAAGAATGTTTAACCACTTTCTGACCTTATTTGCCTCATGTTGTATGATTAAAGAGTAGTTCTGCATGAATTCTTGATTTTCCCGCCATTTTCTAGGAAGCAGACGTATCAGTAGTATGATGTCGCCACGGTTACGAAGCCCTTCACCTACAATGGGTCAGTTTTCTTTCACCAATGATATTACAAGCCCGATGTCAGCATCGAGTGATTCTAGTGGTGTTGGGAGTAGAAAAAGCAGCTCTGATTTCCTACATTTAGACGGTGCGAGGGTTATTTCCCCATTTACCTTTTTGCTATATGCTATTATGTACATGTTATATATATAATGCCATTTTTCCTTTCCTGGTGAACTTTTCCTGGTACCTGTATTGTTATATCTGATTTACTTTTCCTTATCATTCCTTATCATAAGTCCTGATATTTAAAGATTATATGTATAAATGAAATATTTACCTTCGTTTGTGGTTTGATTTTTAACCTTTTTATCAGACTAACACTGTGGTTGATGAATATATTATATTTATTGACTAGTACACCAGTCAAGTTATATTTATTTTATGAACAATCACATGTTTGAAATAAAACTATCTTCTGTATATATTCAAAGCATGTAACATACCTTTAGTCAAATGTAATTCTTAGTTCAATCTAAATGAAATTTTGATACTCACACATGCATGATTTTATAATACAACTTTGTTTTGGTTAAAATAGTTCAAGATGTTTTGTACATGTAGGTTTGAAAACCATTATAATGTTTAGTTGGTATTCTCAAATAAATCTTAGTATATATTCCGTAGTTTCAAATAAATATATGTTCCTTAGAATCATATAAGTATGTTTGATTCATGTATTGTTGACAATAGAAAACTTATATCTGGAACATGTTCTTAATCAAGCAGACTTATCAGAGACACAGCAGGATTTGGTAGACATGAACCAGCGGTACGAGATGCTGGAAGAACGTCTTCTTGATCGACAACAGGAGCTGCAAGGCATGCTGGGAAGTGTGAAATCTTTCTTGCAAGACTTGGCCGACATTTTGAGCTGGTTGGATGTAAAAGAGAAAGATCTTGAAGGCTCTGTTGCTATAGCAACCAGTGAAAAAGAAGCCAAAAGGAGGCTTAAGGAACATGAGGTATAATGGGGTTTTATTTTGCTTTTTGAATTTTTTGTGATTTGTTGGCTTTGTTGCCTCTACTTAGATGCCCGCTGATGGCTGAAATAATATACAACAGGGCACCTAAGATTTTCTCCACCAGTTAAGCAGAAAAGTGACCAATAGACCTTTACTTTTACATTATCACTATTACAAATTGATATAAATTTAAATATTTAGTCAGAAGATGCATTACTTTCTTTTATAAACATAAATTACAGAAAATAATCTTTTGATTTGAAAGTTATTATTTTAACTCAGTTTATTTCAACTCTAAGACTTTGCATTTGAAACTATAATCAGTCATCAAAATAACATGTATAATGTTGAAACAGAGAGGCCATGCTGAGGTGTTGAGTAAAGAGACCTTGGTTGATGACATCAGAAAGAAAGGCCAGGATTTAATGAAGCGTAAACGTGGAGTACCTGGTATAGATATGGTCCAACAGCAACTTGTTGACCTAGGTAAATACATGCTGGAAACATTTTACTTAAATTTTCGAAATATAAAATTTTTCTCTCTTGATATTTGATACAGGTGTCAGCTTAAACTGTATATATTGATATTAGTTAATATTTATTACAATAAGTAAGTTTAATTCATTTATGACCAAAGTACATAGTTGAACTCTTAATTGACAGCTTCTCTCAAATTTATTCTGTTACTGTGGCGATGAACATGGTGTGAAAGCATTATATAAACAAAACAGGTTTCAAACCATAGCAATATAGAAAAAAAAACAATGTTAAAGAATACAGAAACAAAAAACCTGTATTACTACTTTACTTAGAATTTATTGAAGTTTGATGTTGTACTAAGCTATAAGCTTATAGACACACTCTTAATTCTGTTCCTGGATATGACCAGTATTGAGCAATGAGTGTTCTTTGCTCTAGGTAACAATTACTTGCCTCTGATGGATTTGAACCTGCTTAGCTTGAAATTCTTAGATTTCTTGTCAGACATGTTAACCACTTGGCCATTCTGTCACTTTAACCTATAATATTATTGTTAATATAGATGTCAAGATCAGTGTCTGATTTTATTTGTTTCAGATGAGAAATGGTTGGGTGTAAAGGTATCGTCAGAACAGCAGAGAAAGTTGTTAGAGGATATTGTAGCTGACCTGAAGACATACAAAGATGCCGGTGTTCATCTACAGAAGTGGATTGCACAGAAAGAGAAGATGGTAGCCGTACTTGGTCCAGTGGCTACAGAACCTTCAATGATTAAAAACCAGCTTGAGCAAGTCAAGGTATGAAGTATTTTACTTGTCCAAAAATTCTTGAAATTGTAAAAAAAAAATAAAATTTTTTGAATAATTTGTGTAAATATCTTTTCTTAAGTGTCAGGCCTGATCATTGCTTTTATAGTTTGTAATGAACTCTTTGGTACTCATTTCTACTTTTGTCTCAATAGGTGTTACAAGAAGAACTCCGAGGCCAGGAACCACTGTACGACAAATTCATCCAGTCAGGAAATGCTGTACATGACAAATGTATCCAGAATCTAAAGATGCTGCTCACATCACTGAAAAAATGACAGCCATTAGTAAAATGTGGGAAAGATTGAGTGACAAACTCTCCGAACGTGAAAAGAGCTTAAACTCGGTCGAAGGTCTCAGTCAAGAGTTCAGTGATACTCTACAAGATCTAAGTGGTTGGATGTCGGACTATATGACCACATTAGATAACCTTCCACCTGTCACTACAACTCCAGAAAAACATGTAGAGCATTTGAGAGAAATAAAGGTAAGCAGTGTAAAGAAGAAAATCTTTTTTAATCTGTTGTGGAAAACTTTATGTTAAGATACATTTAAATACATCCTTGGGGGTTGTTGATTACTATAATCCGTATAATCTAAAGAGAAAAAAAGAAGTTTCACAAGAAATTATATAATATCAATTTACAGGAACTAGAAGCAGAAAGAAAGAGGCAGATACCATTGTTGGAGAAAACCAAAGAACTTGCTAAGAAACTTAGTGACAACACCAAAGATGCCAACACAAAATTTGAAATAAAAAATAAAATCGCCAGTGTAGAGAAACCAATGGTTGAGGCAGAGAAGAAGTTGCAGATGAGGAGTAATGAGGTGTCTAAGATGAGCGAGCAGGGCGACAAGTTCCGAGGCTCATGCCAGGACCTCATGGCTCTTCTAGAAGACCTTAAAGACAAACAAGCACATATGGAGCCCCTGTCTGGTGATGCCAACATCCTGAAGAAACAGGCACAACAAAATAAGGTATTACTCGAAGCATTGTTATATTTGTCCTGCATAGCATTTAGTTTAGAAAATTTTGCCATATAAATCTGTTAAATGCTTTATATATATATTTTATGTCTTACAAATATTTTGAATCATGAGATAAATTCATTTACCATATATGTCATTTATTAGGGTATTCCGTATCATTTATGGGTGTTAAATTTAATGAGGCACTTTATTGTAAGACTTTACTTGTGCAGTGTGCTCAAAGAATTGAGAATTTTGCCTAAACTGTTAAACCATTATTCATAAAATCTATATATAAACAGTCCAATGTCTTTACATTTATAAAAAATATAACATGCAAAAATCAGTTATAAATCGTGAACTGACAAAAATATTTCTATAACTGTATATTCATTTTCAGGACTTCTTGAGAGATTTGAACAACTTGGCACCAGAAATCAAAGATGTTGCTGACAAAGCAAAGCAGTTTGGATCCAGCTCCTCCCCTGCCATGAAATCATTGGTTGATACTGTGAAAACCATTCAGGATCAATGGGAGGGGCTAAGAGATGCAGCCAATGACAGGGAGGATCAGCTTGAGACCAGTCTGAAACATGCCCAGAATTTCCAGGCTCAACTTGACAAGATGGGACTGTGGTTACAGCTGACTGAGGATAAAATGGACGGTTTGACACCAGACACAACCGATCAAGATAGCGTTGCCAAGAAACTGAAGGAGGCCCAGGCTCTACGTGGAGATGTCCTCAAATTCTCCTATGATCAGGAGTTGTTGAATCGTGAGGGGCAGTCTCTGATGGACGCTGTTGAAAGTGATAAAGGTTTGGTGAAAGTTAGACTGGAGGACTTAAACCAGAGATGGGATAATATAAATGAAGGTAAAATACGAAATGATGTATGGGTCTCTTGGATCTTCTTTTTTCAAAATTTTCAAAGTTTGCCAACAAATCTTTGGCATATTTGCTAGTTTTAATGTTAATTTTTAGGACATATGATAATTTTAGTGAAAATTCTTAAATGGTCAACCAGACTTGATGGTTTTTTGTTTTTTTTTAAACGGTCTTAAAAAGTTAAGGGTTTAATTAAATATAACCATAGGGAGCACATGCAAGTTTTGCCAATTAAACATCAATTACATAAATATTTAAAAAAGTACTCACGATATGGTTTCCCTCTAAACTGATCGTAAAAAGCATCTGTTAACATGTAATTAATTCTATCTGATCTTTCAAATTCAAGATTTCTACTTATTTCAGGCCTAGGTGAACGCATCCAGAGTTTGGAAGACCTTAGTGGTAAACTTACTGACTTTGATGAATGCACTAGAGATTTGAACTCAACACTGAAAAAACTTGAGGACAAGCTAGAGTCCCATAACAGACTGGGCTCGTCTGCCAAGGACCCAAAACACCAGGATAAAATTAGGGTGAGTAGCATACATTGGATTAAAAAAGAGTCTCCTTATATTGTTTGTATGGTTGACATTGATTTAGAATGCACCAGAAGACGGATGTATATCCTTCGTTTTATTTACTTGTCCATGATTACTTGCCTTTCACCGCTGTATGTTCGAGGGGCTCCAGCCTCTTCAGATCCTTCATGTGAGAATGATATCCAGCTAGCATACAAAATGTCTGTGGTTCTATACAGGTGCCTGTTTGTGCCTGATATCACAGTTATTATCGGAGGATTTATTTATTTACCATGAATAATTTACAAAGTTGTCATAATGAGAAATTATTGTGATGTAGCACTGTTAAATACGTGTATGTTTTTGAAATTTGACCTGTTATAAAGAAATGTTAATATTTTTTACAATAATAGAGTCTTCAAGATGATGTCAAAGCCTTGAACTCCCAGCTTGATTATGTGGAGGGGGTCTTGCAGGGTATGGATGATGGTGAGGGTGGCCTGCCCGCTGGCAAGGTACGAGAGGTACAAAACGCAAAACAGAAACAAGCTGACCTTCAGCATCAGTTACAGGAGTTGATACAAGACATGGAGGCGGGCACTCAAATCGTGGACCAGTTCAAGGTCAGAAACATGAAATTTGATACTAATAGAGTCAGACAAATTTCACATTGTATCTTGCCATAATCATTCTTGAATGATGTAATTATAAAAGTATATAATATCTGTAAAAGGTAAATCTAACATAGCTAATAAATTATTGATAGCTTTTGTTCTTTGAGATAGAGATTTCCTATGTAAGAATTGAATCATTTGCTACTAGGGTATTTTGATATAGATAGTTAGGAATTTATGTGCATAGGCAGTAGTTAGGAATTTATGTGCATAGACAGGCCATTATTTGTTTTAGGGCTGTAAGGGTTAACTTATATGTTACAGGGTGCTATTAAGAGAACTGGATCGCATGTGTCTCAGCTAGAATCCGAGCTGATGAACATGAGTCCAGTTGCACGTGATGAGGGTACACTGAGGATGCAAGAACGTCAAATTGAGGTATGATTTCTTAGATTTACAGTTATATTGAATGTAACACTGCTGAATTTGTGTAATGGACTTGACCTACTTCAAACTTGAAACAGTCCATTTGTAGTTTTAAGGATTTTAAGCTCAAAATATTAAAATTAAGCAAAAACCACTAAATGTGTGAAATGGACTTTCCATGTTTCAAACCAGCCAAGTCCTTTCATTTTAAGGAAAAATTCAAAATACGTACTGAATAAAAAGTGAAGAGAGCAAACCATGGTGAAGTGACAGGGATGGTGAACTTGGTTGGCAATTGTCACATTGGTAGATTCTGTAGCCGCCAGCAGTCCGAGAAATAAATGTAACTTGGTTGTCAAACTAGTGTTTAGCCCAACTAAAAGAAAAACTGTGATGATCTATTTTACTCACTTTATTTAAAACATAACAGTTATATTTCTATGGAAATGTGAGTGAATAAAGTTAGTTTTCTGTATTTCCATTTTATTTTAGGACTTTATATCCCGTGTTAATGACATCGACAACATGCTTGAAGACCTTGAAAATCAATATGAGACTCTGAAAGCAGACGGCTTTGTTACTGCATCAGACGGTCTTAAAGGACAGGTATTTAGTGACAATGTTTTAGTTTTATTGGTTTTATGGTCAGAAAATAGATTCATTTAAATATTAAAAGAACAGTAATGCACAAATACAGAAGCATTGATTTATTTAGATAATTAGATTTTTTTTGTAGAACTTGATCCTACTGAAATTAAAAGACTGTGGCAAATAATTAACAAGTGATTAAAGTATTAAGTTTGTTAGGTTTTTTATGTTCATTTTATGTCTCTCTTCATAGCTGGATATATTAAGGAACCAACAAGAACATTTACGAGAAGTATCGGATGAAAGAAAAGCCGAGATCCAGACTGTATCCCAAGCTCTCGAAGCAGTCACAGATAATCTTAGAAGAATGAGAACCAGTATAGACCGGGCGGCAGACGAACTTGAGATGCATGAACCGATTGGAAGTGACGTAAATGCTATAAAACGTCTACAAGATGAACTTAAGGTGAGCAGTAGTTGTGTATTCATATAATTATTGTAGACCTTTTTCTTTTACATAAATCATAAGTATACATATATATTCTTCATAGGTTTATTGTACATTTAGTTAAAAGTTTTTTTCTGCCGCAATTTTAGAATATTTTCGGTTCACCAATTTCTTTTTATATTTATAAGAGTTTTACAGACATACATGTATGGATTTGGAATTTTTATGTTGTATACATTAATCAGTTATCATTTAATACAGTGTCATATACTGATATTATATTTTATTTAATTAAGAAGAAATGGGTGAATTTTGTGTTAGATTTTTATTAGCTTGACTGTAAAATTAGTTTTCTTGCATTTTTTAACAAAATTATAAGAAAAGTCTTCATTAACAGTGTATGATTTTTTACATAGTCATTACTTGTATTTATATAGAACATAGCTAATTTCATATATATGTTTTTTACTTATTATTTAAAGATTATATATGCATCATGCTAATTGATGCTATTTTAACAAAAGTGCTAAATTGAGGGCTGAAATACCAGTAATTGTTGCACTGAAGTTCATTTTGATTTCACCTAATTTATTAGGCCCAGTGTTAAATTAAAAAAGTTTGTAAGTTTTTTTTAAATGTTTTTTTTTACCATAGTAATAAATAAAAAATATACAAAAGTAAATTTAACATTTTCATAATTATATTCTTTAAACAGCGGATGAAGGTAACACAGGAATGGTTTTGTGCAACTTGAAACACTCTTTGACCTAATTTATGTGTTGTCATGCTAATTTTGCTGCTTAAGGATCCAGTTTTTACTGCTTATTGCCTTAGTTTTTTACGAGTAAAATTGATTGGGGGAGATGCTAGTATTTAGTCTGTTGGTGGGATACAAATCTATATCCCTTTCTTTCCTTATCAGAATAACCTCATTTTCACTTCCCTTATCTTTTATATCTTTGCTTTTTTTTCATCTTTCTGGTTAGTGTATTTCTTTCATATTTTTAAATCGCTTTAGCATTCTTAAATTTCCTTGAATAGAATTATAGTTATCAAATATAACTGACAATACATACACAGTTTCTGATACAGAGCCTCTGTAGCTGAGTGGTTAAGGTCCCGGACATTAATATACTTGTCCAGTACTGCTGAGAGTTTGAATCCGACTCGTTTCATGGGATTCTATTGTTCTGAAGCTATCCAGATAGCTATTGAAGTTTGATGGTTCTACTCAAGTGCCAATGCATGCTTAAAATAATGTGCAGTAGGGCATCACTTTGCGATGCAATGTGCAGGAAAGTTTCAATTTGACCTTGACTGCATTGGTTTGATTTAAACTTCGACCTAGTAAAACAAGTATACAATAACATACCTGTAGAATAGAATTTTCGTGAACTTTGACCCCCTGGGAGAAAAGCAACCTACTAGCATCTCAATGTGACAACTAAATGGCTAAACAATCCTAGTAATTTTCAATGCTATCTTGCTTTTAGTCTGGGTAATAGATTGTATTTTAACCCTTAGAAGTGTGTGGTTGATTTTTATTAGATTTTATTATTTTGAAAGAGGAAAACATTAGTTATGCTTTGCAGTTGAAGGCTATCTGTTTCATTTACATATTTCTTCAAAGCAAGAGACCAGTTTTAAGACTCAAGCATTTGATTGGTTGATTATATGAGTTTATTTTTATCATTGACCAATAGCAGCAATTGTTGCATTTGACATTATGAGACAAACATTGGTATTGGTCAGTTTTCGAATATGAGCTCAGAATTGCTAGAGTTTTTGTATTCTGGTCTCTGAATCTATGGCATTGTTGGCATAGTTTGTCTAGATTGATAATATAGTACAATACACAATTTATGTAAATTAAAGCACATTCTTATATGCGGAAATAGATAGGCTTTTCTTTTTAGTCATATACAATGGAAAATGCATGCATGCCCTGTTTTAATAAAAACTGCTGTATGCACTTTGTAATGTAAAGACAAGTTCTGTTGATAATTTTGTAACTGCAGCCTAAATTTATACAATTTTTAGTCTAAAAGTACTTTTCTCTTTTCTTCATAATTATTATTATACAAATTTCTGCTTCTTCTTGAAATGCTATCAATTGTAAGGAAGTGTTTTTTTCCAGAATACACTTGAATACTAAAAGTTCACTTTGTGTCTATCAAGTTTCATTTTATTTTTTCACTTCCACTATAAAATTTAGTGTGATTTCCTTTTACTTGTGCTACTGCTATTATGATGATGATTATTATAGATAAAAAGTTGAGTTGTTTTATGATCAACAAAATAAGGAGATGTCAAACTTTTACAATATTAAAGTAACACTATAGGCGATTTGAATTTAGAAAATAGTGATGCAAACTTGCACCTTTCTAAATTTTGGTTTGTTTATTATGGAAATTTGGTGTGATTTGAACTCCAGTTACAAGTGAATGTTCTTATAGAATTTTGTAGAAACTAGAGAAGAACTGGTTAAATTAGCCCTATGTATTATCTAGATAATGATTTTGCATGCACAGTGCTACTAAATATGGGTAATTCAGCTGAAGGTCAAGTACAATATTACTATATATAAGGGTAGGAGTTAACTCTACAAATATGTGTCCTTGACCAAGTGGTTAAGGTTGTGGACTTCAAACCACGTGCCTCTCACTACTGTAGGTACGAGCTGTGCAAGAGTCTTAGGTTTTTATTCATGTTTGAAATATCTACTCTGTTCAACAGTGTTGCCTGTTTGTGCCTGAAATAATGCACAGAGGGGCACCTGAGGTCTTCTTCCACCAGTAAAGCTGGAACGTCGCCATATTACCTATAATGTGTCGGTGTGATTTAAAACCCAATCAAAGAAATTTATAGAAATACAAACATGCTGTTAGGTTATGATCAATATAATGTGAGATGAAGCATTTGTTAGAACCAGTATTTTAGATAAAAAAAATGTGTGTGCTGTGTTTATAGAACACAAAAGTACAAGGAAAAAATATGTAGATCTATCTATGAATTGTTCTTAATAACATTTTTGTGAAAACATAATATATAAAAAAAATTCTAGTTACTGTATTTTACCTATAGAGCTCATGTACACATTCCAAGGATTCATATAGATTTTAATATTTTAATCCTAACAGTACAGAAACCTAAAGCGTTTACCATCAGTAAAGAACTTGATAACCTATTACTTCCTACAGTTTAACCAGGTTCTTTACTTATTGGCAGATCATCATTCTGTCAAATTTTACAAAATTGATGGACTGCTTCAAAATGAAAGCTGGAAAAATTCATGAAGATATTTAGTAGAGGAACAGATTAATGGATGATAAAGCTCTAGGAGCTGATGAGATTAACTAATAAAAGAGACATTGCTGTATATTGAATTTAGTGGGGAAAATATTGTAGTGTCTTTCGCTTACTTAAATTGCATATTTTGTGGGGTTTAAGCATGGTAAATATGGTAATATTAATTATTTGGTTATGCTTAGAAAGAAATATTGTAGTTGTCAGGGGGATTGGAAGCATGGTTATATGACAAGGGATATAGATAAGGGGCTTAATGTAAGCTATATGTATATGAGAATGAGTGCTTAATAGGTAAAATATGGTAAAAAGAAATATGCTCCAAGAAAAATGTATAAGAAAAATCCTTAAATATTTTCAGCAATTCCAACATGGTGTATTTGATAATTTATCGAAACGAGTTCAGGGTGTTACAATGGAGGCGCAGCAACTTATCCAGGGGGCAGCACCTGGAGTGGACACATCTAGTGTGGAGGCAGACCAAGAAAGTCTGATGGATAAATGGAACAGCCTCAATACCAAGGTAAAAAAGACTGTTACTCTTATTGTATGAAGCTGAGTGATTGAATTATTTGTATTTTCAAATCCAGTCAGATTCCTTCATTAGAGTAAGCTATCCAGAGAGCTTACATAAGGTTAATGGCTGAAAGTTACAAAGATGTCACAAAACATTTAATTCAGAGATATTGGTGAAGTATTTCTTTTAAGTATTTGCGGAATTTTTAGTAAGGGTGGTAATATGGTAAAAAAAACATTAAATCAGTTTTCATTTTAAAATTGTACACCCAATTAGAATTTTGTTAAAAGAAATTATTATTATTGAACTATGATATTCATGTATTTATTATTCCATTTCATCTCAGGTTTCAGAAAGAGACCGTAACCTGGACAACGCTATCCTCCAATCTGGAAAATTCAATGATGCATTGAAAAATCTCAGTGATTGGATGAAAGAGACAGAAGATCTGGTAGCCAATCAGAAATCTCCCTCACCAGATTATAAAGTTGCCAAAGCACAGCTACAGGAACAAAAAGTAAGTGAACATTACTTGTGACAATGTGAAAATAGAATAATGACAAAAATATTTGACATCTCTGTGTACTTTTATCTTCAGAATGAATTCTATATTAGAATTTTATATAGTATTTATGAATATAACTAAATTTATGATTTATTTCCAGTTCTTGCTTAAAATGCTGGATGACAGAGCACCAACTGTGAAATCAGTGAAAGATTCTGGGGAAAACTTACAGAAGACACTTGAATCAAGGGAGCGTAAAGCCATTCAGAGCCAGATAGGGCAACTTGACAAACGCTGGGATGAACTCAATTACCAGGCAGGTCAGAGGTCAAAGGTACTTGAAGATATTATCGGTATTGCCCATGAGTTCCAAGAAGTACGTGAACCACTAATTGGCTGGTTAGACTTGGCTGAGAAAAAGTTTGCAAGCCTTGAACCAACAGCAATGGATACCAGTGGTATTGAAAATATAATCAAGAGTCTAGAAGACATGGAGCAGGAAGTGAAGCAGAAGGATGAACTCATCAAGAAGCTTGCAGCTGTTGGCAAAGAACTCCAGAATCACTGTAAAGGTAAAAATCCTGAAATATAGGGGCTTTTATAGTATAACAACATTGAAATATTTAGAAACATTTTATCTTTGTTATGATTGATGAACATGATCATTTTATATATAGATTCGTGAAAGTGTATAATTTGTTTTCTTTAAAATGTGAAAACTATTTATCGTAGTTTAAATTTATTGAACCAGATTTGTTATCATAGGAAATTTTTTTTTATTTCTATTTAAAATTTTTTATTTTATTTTAGGTGATGATGTGAAAAATGTTCAAAGAAAAATTGATGATGTTCAGTCAAGATTTGCTGAGCTCAGCGACAAGTTATCTGACACACTAGAGCAGATGGAAGAAGCTCTCCCATTGGCTAAGAATTTCAATGATGCCCATTCCAAATTCATTGATTGGTTGGTAAAAATGGAACCAAAATCAAGGCTTAAAGATACAAATGAGCCTGAAGAACAAGTTATGGTAAGTACACAGACTGTCTTGGAAGAGGACCTGTGTGAATATCTCTGTATTATAAGTTTATGGTTTACAGACCTCAAATTTAGGAAGTACAGTTAAGTAAATGAGCTATCTACCACAATTTCTGCAGAAAAAAATTCAGGTGGAAAAATCGGCTTTAACATTACTCACCGGTACGCATTTCACCACCATCTCATCTAAATCATTCATTGTTTAGTGAATATAAGTTTTCAAAGTAATCACTTGGGATTTTGTATGTGAAGTGAATATGTTGAATGAAAAATGTTACTCATTAATTGATATATTCATATTCTAGCAACTTCTGGAAGAGGTCAAGGCCATTGAACCAATTTTGGAGATCATGAACAATGATGGGAACCAGTTAGCAGAGCTCGCACCAGGTGATGCCGGGTTCAAGGTGGAGGATACCCTTGCTAAAAATCTGAAGAGATTTGAAGCCGTGAACGAGGCCATTCAGAACAAGGCAGATAAATATAGAGCCTCAAAACTGAAAAATGCTGAGGTAAAAACATTTTTAATATTTTCAAGCTATCAATACTATTAGCTTATTTGGGACTAGGAGGAGGCCACTAACACCTAGACATAAAGTTTTCTTACTTTTATTTATAAGTGTGGCTTGGTAATCATGTGAGGAATCTGTCAAGGTAGATTAACATATGGAAGTGGGATAGTCCTATTTAGTTGCTTATCTGGGTTTTAAATGAACAGAGGACTCCCTTCAACATAAAACTTAACAAGAAAAAATGAAATTAGGTTTTTTTACATTGTCCTGTACATATTCAATACAGAAATAAATTTGTTGAGTATACAATTAAGAATTATACATGTATCAAATTAGAGGACACAGGGTAGACTTATTATGGTATTAAAGCTGAATATGAGCTTCACTGTGGTATCATCCGGTGAAAAATTATCTTTTTATGAATGTTTCAGCAATTATTGATGTATTTTAAGGTTATGTGTACAATAGAAGATCTACAAGAGTGGTTTGAGGATGAAGAAAAGGCCCTTACAGCATGTGAACCAATCAGCTGTGAGCCAGCAAAATTACAGAAACAATTAGCCAATCAGAAGGTATAATCAATTGTTATTACTCATATGAAGAAAATCATGTACATGTATGTGATAATGTTTCTTAAGAAAGCAAATACCTGTTATAATAAAAAAAATCAAGAAAATAGGAGGGATCACTTAGTTAATCAAATTAACTGAAGCACAATTTAAGAATTTTGAGAAAATACATTTATAGAATATCATACATGAAATTAACAACTGTTGGGTGGTGAATATCGATTTAAGCTAAGCACTCAAAAACTGACTGTAAAAAAAAATGTTTGGGTATTTTGACAATTTATTACCATCCTATGTCAAATTGCCATAAATTCAGCTGGCTTACTTGTTAAGGTCAGGGATATATGCATGTAGTTCCTTGTCATTTGAGTTATTGTGATTTAACTTTCAGGCAATGAATGATGACATCAACGCACAAAAGGTAAAAGCCCGAGACACGATAGCAGCCGGTAAACGTTTGATTCGCGAGGGTTCAATGGATGACGATGGAACATTCAATAATAAGATGGAGGCTCTAAAACAGAAGAGTGACACGGTGGCGAAGCTTGGCAGTGATCGGTTAGTACAGCTGGAGCAGGCCATGCCGTTGTCAAGGACGTTTGTAGAGACTCACCAGGACCTTCTGAAATGGTTCCAAGAAGTTGAACCTGCCATTGCCGAGTTAGAGGTCATGTCCATAAACCAGGAAACTGTTAAGAAACAACAAGATAGGGTCAAGGTCAGTGATCTGAATGTAGAATTAAGTGTATGTACAAAGTAACAGGAACATAATAATTGAATGTTGTCAGAAATTAAAGATAACCGAATAGGAGAGTATAATTATCAATTACTAAGAGATGAAATAACATAAAAATCATAAATGATGTTTATTTTTGTTTTTTTTGAATTCGTATTATTTTCTTTCACATATTTGTTGTTCTATAAACTATTGTCTTTAAGAATTGTTAAACTGAACTTATCCTTTATATCTAGTAGATATAATCAGATATATATACCTTCTGAAATTTGTATCTAGGTGTTAAAACAAGATCTACAGGATAATAAACCACTTGTTGACAAGTTGAACAAAACCGGCCTTGCCTTGACTAAACTGTCCTTGAAACCGGATGACATTGAGCTGGTGCAGAATACAATGGATGATGATAACAAGAGAGTTGAGGAGATCCGACGTGCTGTCCGTGATCGTTCTATGTCCATAGACGAGGCTCTTCAACAATCTGCCGAGGTAAATTAGTTTATTATGTCTGTTATTACTACTTATTTGTAAGACAGTGATAATTAATTTTGTGTTAAGAATAAAATTTTGTAAAAATATTCGTTTTTGTGTAAACGTCTTTCAAATTACATATCTAATGAAAAGAAAAGATAGGATATCTTGTTAAAAACTGCTTAAAGAGTCAAGCCAAGGGAAAAAAGGTAGAGTTGTGGTTTGGCGCAAATTGTCTACTTTGTAAAATTGTTTTGAAGATTTCTCTTACTGTTGAAGATGAACATTATAAGCCCTAGTGCTACAAGTGTACTAATAACTATATGTAATATTATTATATAATTACAGTTCACAGATAAATTAGAGAACATGTTAGAGACTTTGACCACTACAGAAGAAATGGTCACCAATGCCCAGGCTATATCAGCTCATCCAGATAAAATACGTGAACAAATGGCTGATAATAGTGTAAGTTAAACGTTCTTAGAGACTAACAAATTATGATGTTTGAAGTGTACTAGAAGCAGAGTGATTGTATCTTTGAAACATTTTTTGGGGTCTCGATGTGCAAGTGGTTAAGGTCGCTGGCACTCCACCTGCTTGAGACCTTGGTGGCTTTTTCATGTCAGGACACTTCGTCTGACTAGCTAACAGAATGTTGGGTGATTTTTCTAAGGTTTCAACTCGCACTTAAAATGATGCTTGGAAAAGTCAGTCTAAAGGTCTTTGGCTGCATGTAAAGCTTAAACATCACCATGTGGCCGTTAATGTGTGGTTTAAAACTCTTATCACTGATAAAAAATATCACATTTGTTAAATAAATGGAAGTATTCAATAGTTGTAAACAACAAATGACTTATGACCATTTTTCATGATGTGAAATAACTTAATATTTATGATGGTTTCTAGACATAAACATAAGATTATGTTTGTCACCTCTCTCTTTTATTTTTTTTTGTATACAGACTTTGATTGAAGACATGCAGATGAGATTATCTGCCCTTGAATCAGTACAAAACGCAGCAGAAGAACTGATCAAACAAGCATCTAACTCCCAAGATGATGCTGTCAAAGGTATGTTTCACCTTGTTATCTAGGGAAAAGTATGTAATGTCTTTCTATCTTGTGATATTTTGTTTATTAAATCTTTTTACATAGAGAAAAAGGTTCATATTCAAAATGGCCTGCAAAATAAAGTTAAAAAACAATTTGTTAGTTCAAATGAAATGAAAGTTTTGTGACTATGTTAAGGAAATCATTTGATGAAACGTGTTGGGTACCTATATTGATACATATCTTACTAATAAATATTTTGTTCCACACAGATGTAAAATCTAAACTACTTGACCTTGTTAACTTGTATGAGAAAATCAATGACGGGGCAAACACTCGTAACATTGAGCTTGAAGATACGATTGAAGTTGCCGATAAATTCTGGGATGATCTTAACTCACTACAGCGTACCCTCAAAGACCTGTCAGACACATTAGCCAATCAGGAGCCTCCTGCATTAGAGCCGTCAATCATCCGTGAACAACAAGATACTCTGGAGGTAATTAACGTTTAAATTGCGATATTAGAGGAATTTCTTCATGTTATATTAGAATAAAAACATGCACACAACACACTAACCATGAAGTGATAATAGTAATGTTTAGTTTTTCCCTGTATCCTCAAATCATTAAAATACAGAATTTAGTCAATGAATTGAATGTAAATGCATTGATATCCTTTAAGGCAAACCTTTACTGGTAATTCTATTATTCTATTCTATTATAATAATAAAAATCATTATTACTTTTCAGGCACTCCGTGATGACATTGAAGCCAGTCAGTTTGATCTTGATGAAGTACATGAGACCGGGGAACAGCTCCTTAAATTATGTGGGGAACCAGATCGACCAGAAGTACAAAAACACATTGATGAGCTGGACAATAACCTACTCTCTATTACTGGAGAGTTTGATAAAAGGTCAAGGACTTTGGAAGAAGCCCTAGAGAAATCCATGCACTTCCAAGATGAACTTATGGTAAAAAGAGATTTGTAATATATCAGTATTGTATCAAAACAGTTTACCAATGGCAAAATTTTAAAATTAAGATTGTGGACTTTGTTGGTTTTAAATTGACCAATGACATAGTTCTATTTGGAGGTTATAAACCATTACAACATTTAGATAAAAGCATTCATTTAGCATCTGTTTACATTTCTTGAAAATATTTCTGAAGAAAGAAACTGTTCTAAAGTATATTTAATGAGTTCAAGAAAAGCAGAAATGAAAAAGAAAGTTTCATTGTGTAAAATGCAATAGTTTTTATGTTGTTTTTGTTTTGTTTTTCAGAAAAGTCTTGTATGGCTACAGAAACGTGAGGACAGATTGAAGGAATTGACCCCTGTGGCTGGAGATTTCAACACCATAAAAGACCAATGGAATGAGGTTAAGGTAAGTGTCAAAAGTCTTGTGCACAATATATTCTAATATACAATGTTCAGAAAGTCATTTAGTCTGCACCCTGTCAGATGTATTCATTGTTTTAGTCCAACAAGCATTTTTAAGGTATTTACGGTCCACATAAATTTCATTAAAAATATTGAATACATGTATGTGAAAAACATTATATCATAATTTTATTGTGATTAAATAAGCAATCATTCATATCTTTAATATATTTTTATCAATTTCAGGCATTCAAGCTGGAGGTTGACCCGAAGCATGCTGATATTGAGTCCCTAAACCAGAAGGCCAAGGACCTTACAAAGGACGCGAGCCCCGACCAGTCTGTGTTTGTTAAAGAACCAGTCTCAGCTGTAAACAAGAGATGGGATGGTCTTTTGTCCGGAATCAGTGACAGGTATTTATTAATACATACATGTATCAAGTATTTCACCTGTTTTTAGGAAAAGGAAATAATGATGTATTTAAGTAATAAACTTGTTTCAAAGGAAGGACAAATTGAATTTATAGCAAATTGTGTATTTTTGTACCTTTATCTGATACATATTAAGTTGGGCATGTATGTTTTCATTAGTCTGGAAATGAAGGTGCTTCATTCATTAAATCATTTGATTAGTTTTATGAATCGAGAAAAATCAATTTTCTTTAGAATGAATAATTTCAATTAACTTTGATAATATGTATAATCAAGAATTTTTTTATTTTTTTCAGACAACGGGACTTACAGCTGGCCATGTTGAATGCTGGTCAAATTGACCATGCTACAACTGAGTTATTGGCCTGGATGGACAAAACTGACCAGACCCTTGATGAAAATAAACCTGTGTATGGAGACAGGAAGCTGGTGGAAATAGAGCTGGCCAAACATAAGGTATATAACTGTTTATATAAAGTATTTTGGCAAACTGAAGCAAGCTGAATAGGGGATGGAAATTAAGTCATATGGTCATGTTTCCAAAAACTGTGAAAATATTTACATTCTAGAAATAAGTTTTCCTAACTAGAGTTTGGAAGCAATTCTAAACCAATGAGAGTTTTAAAAAAGTGAAAAATTTCAAGTCAGATTTTGGGGATGCTCGTTTACATGCAATTATAATACCTTTTGTAAAGTATTGAAGATAGAAGGTTCTGGTACTTTTAATTTTTATTAAAGCTGATATTTTCAATGTGAAGTTATTGAAATAAATACACTTATCAGTTTCAACTCTCTGTATTTCCATATTTTCTACCCCAGGTGCTACAAAATGATATCAGTGCTCACGAACCAAGTGTGAAGTCTATAAAAGAGGCGTGCCTTAAGTCTCTAGGTGCAGATAGGTCATCTACTGGTAGACGTAAACTAGATGACCTTAATCGACTCTGGAACACGGTACAAGAGAAGAGTCATAGCCGTCAACAAGAACTGGAAGAGGCCCTGAAAGAGGTAAGTTTATATAATAATGAAAATCTGTATAAACTGTACAAATGTTGATGTAACAATTTCACCTATAACAGTACTGGGCATTTAATTGCTTAGATTTTAAGATAGTTTTTGTTAGTCCTATTCACTTTTATGAATTTTTTTTTTGGTTTGAACCATTCAGTTTTATGAAAATGTCTTCTTTGTGCTTTTAATTTATATTGCTGTTTGATTTTATGAGAATTTCCTATTTTGGGTGATAGATATCTTTGAATATTGATTGATTTTATGTAAATTACTTGCGGTACAAATTCAGCATCTACAGCTTAACGTTTGATTTGTTTGTTGTTGTTGTTTCTTTAGGCAAAGGGCTTTTCTGAAGAAATGGAGAAAGTTCTGGTGCGCTTGGGACAGATTGAGGGCATGCTTATTACATCCCGCCCAGTGGGAGGTCTTCCAGAAACTGCAAGGGACCAATTAGAGAGATTCATGGTAAGTGGGAGGAGCTTGGGTTAGAAATAATTTGCATATGATAGTATTTATATCTATATATTTCTCTATATGTATAGTTATTGTAAAGGTATATTTCACTCTATTTATAGTAACATAGATTCTTATTAATTCAAATGCTTAAGATTTATTTAAGTTATATCTGGAATTGAATGTTTTGTGTGCATTGTATATCTAATATATCTGATTTAACTTAAACTTGAGTAAAATTGAAATGATAAAATTTTAATTACTTATAAAAGGTAGTTAAACTATTCTTTTCAATTTGAAATTTTCATTAAAGTATAGATCGTCTATTTAAACTGAAATATGTCATTGACATAGCTTTATAAGGATTTCACTTTCAAATGATTTGGCATACTTCCATTTATTAACTAGCCTCCAGAAGGAGAATTTTGTAAAATGATATATAATTACCAAGAGCTATTACTACATTAATGTATACATCTGTTATTAATGTTGTCATCTGCTAGCTTACATAATTTAGCATTTTCTGCTTGTCTGTTCCGAAGTAAAGTCGAGTTATTATGATCACTGCATCATCGTTTTCATTTTTGAGCAAGACATGTAGCCAAGTTTTCAAACATTTTACAAGTTATCAACATGAAAGCTGTTTAAACTATCTTATAATGACAAGTTGCAGTTGTTGAACAAGGAGCTTAATTCTGAAAGCTACATTTTTGGAGTTTTGCCCTTTTATAACTTAATTTTGTCAAAATTGGTTTTGGCCTGTAAGATGAGCGTTAACTCCGCATGCTCTTTTTTTATGCACATATTTGCATTTTTTTTCTCAAAACATTAGAATAAAAAATGTTTTACGGAAATATTCATACATGTACATATATCAGAAATTTCCACGTTGTGGATTTGAACTTCCTGAATTTCGCTTAATAGAAACAAGATTTACAATCTTTTTGGATAATCCATTTGAAAAGAAAGTGAAATACTACTTATGATTTATTTGGACTCTGTTGAGTCAAACAAGTTAAAACAGTTTTACAATAAAAGATAGATGTTTGTAGCATGATTTTTAGTATTTTTTTTTACTTTCTTAGAAATAGCATAGATATATATCTATAAAAAAAATTTGACATAATTAAATTTTTACTTTTAGGAAAAAAAAAAAGAGGTGGTTTTTGCCTCTGACTCAAAACTTCTGATGTTTCTGAACCTCATCTTAATAATATTTGTTGTAGCATCTTTCGTACATGTATATATATTTATAGTTGTAACCATAGTGATCTATGCATGGTATTTTGATGTTATATTCTTTACCTATACAATCCAGAGTGATAAAAATGGGGTATGCATAATTATTTATTTAACCATAGTAGCACCTATTTATGTTTTTATGGTTTCGGGAATGTAGTTTTGTTACCATGGTAATCAATAATAGTCTCATAGTATTAATTTCTTTCCCGCAAATGTTCCCCAATTTTCAGCATGTTCACGACGTGTCCGAGCAGGATATCACAAAAATCTGCGAAGAATATCAGCGAGTAGGTCGCCCAATTTCCTATAGTGCATCATGGGTGAATTGGCTGGTAAGCTCCGCCCACTTTTCAGGACAAGCATGCACGAGTGCACTCACACTGTGTTGATCCCTTGAAATAACCCCCTCATCTCTTTACCTCAGTAAATGTCAACTTTTTAATGATGTGGAAAAATTCATTTCAGATGTGTCATGTAAACTAGTCTATAATTATGTTCTTACATTTACTCAATCATCATTGTGTATTATTTTTTAACATAAATACACTTATATGACCTATGACCTGCATGTGTGATTTCAATATAAATCAGATGTCATACAAGTCATAACCCATCTAGCAATAAATGTTCATCATCAAAATTGGAATGACCTATAGCAAAAGAAATTGTTTAAATCTCTTCAGTTAAAAGTGGACTATTCCAAATTTGAAACTGAGCAAGTCCATTTCAAGTTCAACAGGATTTGGGGAAGAGGGTTGACATTTTCTGAATAGAGCAATTTTGTTTTCTGCATTCACAACATTTCTCCTGAAATTGAGTAGTTTAAAACCTATTAATTATTTTTCATGTAATTGTTGCTGTAGATTATATATGTTAATTTTCATCCTTTGTTGTAGATACCTGCTTTATATGTTGTATCTTATGTGCTGTAGGATTTTGTTTGATAAAACATGTGTTATTTTTAGAACTTATAGAAAATTATCACTTTGAACCCTTAGCCTGCTCAGATTCTCCCCATGTGATTTTCCCTAACAGTGATGAATGGTAGTGCCCAGATTGAGAGATGGACAAGTCCATTTAAGATATATAGCAGGTTAAGGGTTAATATCGGTTGGAATAATGACTTACTCATGCCATCAGCATAAAGTCAGGTCAGCCTGTGTAACTTTATACAATTGTCTGACCAGACTCTATACAGTTCTCTGACCAATGGTAGCAGTATCCCTGATAGTATCCATATTCCAAGCTGGACAAGTCTATTATACAAATTTAGTTTAACCTTTAATAAAAATGTTCTAACAGGTACAAAATTTAAATCAGTCATACCAATGTATGGAATAAAGTTTTTTATAAATAAAGTATATTTTGAATGTTAAATCATTGGAACTGTGCAACTTGTTTAAACATCATTCACTGATCTCACACAATCTGTATAGTTAATTATTCCTTTAGATGTATGCTTATTTGACTCTCCTGGTCATTTCAGCCTTATCTTTAAACATTGGTTAAAAATAATTTTTACAAGCAAAATTAAGCAAAATTGTTACTGAAAAAATAGCCATTCAACAGTTGTTTAGTATTAAGCCAAATTTTTTTAACAATCTAAATAATCAAAAAGCGAGATAAGATTCTATGACCCATTTTTATGTGTCAAAGATAAGATTTCTTGTCTTATTTGAAACCATCATAGTACATTATCTTCACTAACCTTTTGAAGTGGATTTTAGAAGTGATTAATATATATATACATGTACATTTTTTGTAATAATGTGGTTCTGTGACTATTATTACTTGTCAGTGAGTTAACCAAAATGGAGGTGAATTTCTTTGTTTACTAACTAAAACAAGGTCAAAGGTTGCCGTGAAAGAAATATCGAATCCTCTGATTGGTTGATATTAAGTTAGAAATTGGTCATTGGCAAATCAAATTTCTGCATTTAAAGCTAAGAACTTAAGTGGCATTTTTAGTTAAGCATGTTGATCCTTTATTATTATTATCATTCTCTCCTTTTTAAATCGTTATTGAATTTACATTATTTTAGATATAAAACTTGATATAGTGTCAAAGAAACAAAGGCATATTTAAACTTTGGAGAAGTTGATTAGTTCAGTGAATTGCTGGGCCAGATTGTTTTATTCGTCAAACAAAACTTATTGAACAAATTTTTTGAAAGTCATGAATGGTATGCAACATTTTCCATAACAAAAACAGAGGGGAAGAAAAGAATTCTGATAGAAACCTGCTTTACCCTACCATTCTTTTTACTTCTCTCATTTTTAAACCCTTTCCTTAAATTATATATACATGTTTATCAACAAATTTCTTAAATATTTCATTTTGTGAAAGGTTTACTCATAGCAATGTTATATTGCTATTTAAGCTTAACCTGATATATTTTTTTCTTGTGGCTAATTATATTATATATCTAGACAGCTTTACCCTAATTTGTCCTATTTTTCTTTTTATTACTTTTTAAAAAAAAAACAAGTTTGTAACTATAGTTATTTCGTTTTTGTGATATATCTAGTAAGATGCTTATGTAAAATATTAGCTTTGTTACGTAATCCAGAAATTTATGCTTTGAACTTTCATATTAGATTTGTCAGCTGCATGTTTCAGCTTTTGTAGAAGTTTAAAATATATATAAAGCACAATTTTTTATTTATTTGGAGTAAAGAGCAGTTATTTTAAAGTTGCATATTTTCATTTTTCTCATTGTGACCTTTACAGGAAGTGCATAATGAGCTACAGGACATGGAACCAGTGATTGCTAGGCTCCAGTCTGATGGTTCCCACCTGATACGTAAGAGCCAGGATCCAGCATCCTCAAATATCAAACAGAACATGCAGTTACTGCAGCAGACGTGGGAACATGTCAAGACAAGATCTGCTGACAGAAAGGTAATATACATTAATGTATACACATGATGTGAATAATAATGTAACTAACTGTGGAACAAAAACAGAACGTTAGAAAATTTTTAGTTGCAGATGATAGTGCAAAATAGCAGTTGAATATTTTCATAGAGAACATAAATTTGTATAAAGTATATTATTTTCGTGCAGAGGCACTGTTTGTAAAATTTCTTTAAAAAAAAAACAACCATGACAGTACAAAAACAATGTGTTTTTAGATCTTCAGTTTTTAAAACTTTGATGAGCTAGAAACTAATTTATTTTGTTTGCCCATTATTATTTCATTGTCGTCTGCTTTTTTCCAGGGAAAATTAGAGCAAGCCGTAAGCCAGGCCAATAATTTCCATGGTGATCTGAATACTTTCATCGCATGGTTGACCGACACTGAGAAGACGCTGAACAATATGAAACCAGTGAGCAGAGTTATTGCCCATGTCTCGGACCAGATTAAAGATCAGAAGGTATGACTAGTGCATGTATTTGAAATTACAAATTGACTTATATTAGAGAGATTGTTGGGCAAAGGTATAACTTCTATGTCTGCTTTTTTAGACTTACCATTCTTGCATATTAGCCTGGTGTTTCAGCAGGTTTTACCCATGCTGGAAATTTCATCTTGCAAGCCTCGTTACTGCCCAATGGAAGGGTTCCCTTGGGACAGATATTCCGATCCGAACCATATCATATGACAGATATTCGGAGTATAGATGACATACAAGGAGATATGACCCAGATATCTTTGTTAACAATATGCTTTATTAGTAACCATAGGCTTACTAATATTTGCAACCTCTTGATTCGCTCAGGTGGGAGAGCCTTATTTCCACAGACAGTTCCAAGGCTTCACAACATGTTTATTATAATGATTCGTTTGATAACAGTAACTTTCATGTCATTTGCTTTCAATGACATTTTCAGACATTTTAATTGAACTTTTGTGAAGCAAGCAAAGCAAACACATTTCACACGTTGTTGTTTTTTATTTCAGACATTACAAAAGGATATAGCTGTCAATCGTGAGTCTATGATAAAACTTGACAAGACTGGTACCCACCTGAAATACTTCAGCCAGAAACAAGACGTTGTTCTCATTAAGAACTTGCTGTCGAGTGTACAGCAGCGCTGGGAGAAGATTGTGTCACGCAGCGCAGAGAGGACACGACATTTAGAGAGAGGCTACAAAGAAGCTGAACAGGTAAAGCATCACGAGTTCTTTAATGTTATTGCAATGATTTGGGGAAAATAATATTTTCCATTATAGAAAGTGATATATGAGAATGGATTATATTGTCACCTTAGTGCAATAACTGTTTAACTTGTATTAGATTTAGAAGGACTTAATCTGTTAAAGCACTAAGGTGAGGAATATATATGTTTAAACTAACAAGGTAAAATTGCATGAACAACAAGACTTTAATGTATACTTTTGTAATGAATAGATCATAATGAATCATATAATTACTTTGATAAAGCAATTTCAAAAATTGTATATTTTTATACAAATTTCATTTCAAAGTATATGAATGAAAAGGATTTATTATTTTATTTTTTGTTCAATATTTCAGTTTAACGAGATGTTGAAGGATTTAATGGGTTGGTTGAATGAGGCAGATCAAATGTTGAGTACGGACCATTCTGTAGGCAATGATCCCATCAAGATTAAAGGACAAATTGCCAAACACAAGGTTTGTTTCTTAACTTTTTATGCCAAAAGATAATTGAGAAACATTTTGTAAAATTTATGTCCAAAGTACATGTAAATAAGATTCTTTGAAGGTATTCTTGCAATTTAAAAAAAAAAGAAGACATATTAAGGTATAACATTTTATTGATTGTAAAAATTTCATGCGCAGGAGTTCCAGAAAAGTCTTGGAGCAAAGCAACCTGTGTATGACAATGTAAACCGAGCAGGACGTACCTTGAAGGAGCGATCCCCGGAGGAAGATATGCCTGTATTGAATGAAATGTTACATCAACTTAAAGTGAAGTGGAATGCCATCTGCGGAAAATCTGTGGACAGGTATAATCCATTTAAGTCTCACCAATCTCTTAATTAAAAAATTGTTTTATGCTTTAAAGATTCCAATGTAAAGCTGGAATTTCAAATTTTTAACTACTATGAAAATATTTTTACAGAGGCTTAAATCATATCTGACGTCAAATTACTAATTCAGAAAGACATAAGAGTGCCTTTTGGCTGGCAAGTGATTTAGGTTCGTGGGTTTTCTTCACTATAAGTTTAATACATGCTGCCGATGAGCCAAAATATATGTAGCTAGCTTAGAGAGAGTGTCAGTAGTTCTACAGAGGTGCCAGCTTGTGCCTGAAATATTGCACATACCAAGCCATATATTGATAAAAAATGGTTAAATATATATTAATTTTATTTTGATTTTAGACAAAGGAAGCTTGAAGAAGCTCTACTTTTCTCTGGTCAGTTTAATGATGCATTACAAGCATTGCTTGACTGGTTAGCTAAAGTAGAACCAGGTTTGGGTGAGGACCAGATGGTTCACGGAGATATTGACACAGTCAACAATCTCGTAGAGGAACATAAGGTAATGTATATATCTTGTTCCATTTAAAAAGTGGTCTTAAAGCGATGAATACAAGTTTCAAGAACTTGTCTTAAAATGGAGCTTGAATTAAGATGTTGAGAATAATTTTCTGAAAGGCATCTTACGTTTTAATGTACCATAAAAAAAACAAAAATGGAAATAACTATGTGACTAAATTGGTGTTAGAGTAACTTCCAACTGAACCTAAAGTTTTTTAAGATGTTGACTTTCAAAAAAGGGCACTTCAAATGAATACAAAAGTTGATTCTAAAGATGAAAATTAACAAATTTAAGGTTAAAATATATGTTTCTTGAAAAAGTATAGGGAATAATTATCAATGCAAAGTTGTATTATTTTATTGTTTTGTTTATTTTCCTTATCAGGCCTTCCAACAAGAGTTAGGCGCCCGGGCAAACAATGTGTCATTTGTACGTAAACGAGCTCGTGAGCTGTTGGAGAAATCTGATGAGGACACGTCACAACAACAAGCTCAGCTGATAGAGCTATCAACAATGTGGGATCGTGTCTGTAAACTCAGTGTTAACAAACAAGAGAGGCTGGAACAAGCTCAGAAACTGGTATACTTTACTTGATGATGTGATCTTTTATTGAGAAATATTTATTGAATTAAGAAATATTTAGCTTTTATGGAATAGACTTTATTGAATTATTCAAAACTTGGCTACCTAATGTATGGAATAGAATATTGAACTGTACAATTTTTTGATCAGGTTTAATTGATTTTCACTCGAATTAAAAATAAATTATAGCAATTTTATGTTAAATATACATCATTTCGTGTAACAAAGTGCATTGTAAATGGGATGCTATGATGTATTGACATGAAGTGACAAATGCATGACTTAATTTGGACATGTGACATAATTGTGAACTTTTATCATAGGCTGAAGACTTCCACAAGAAGGCACAGGGCCTGATAGCATGGCTAGCATCAGCAGAACGACAACTTCGTTACAAAGGTCCGCTTCCTGACGAGGAAAGTGAGATTATCAAACAGATTGAGGAACACAAAACTTTTGAGGAGGAATTCTTACGACAAGAGGGAATATTGAGGGAGACCCTGAATATAGGACAAGATATCATGAAACGATGTCACCCGGATGCCGTATCTACCCTCAAACACTGGCTGTCTGTTCTAAAGGCTAGATGGGAAGAGGTTAGAGAATGAAATTATAATATTGTAGTAAAATAGTTGGGATTAATATATTTGTTATACATTCAAGATTCAATATTTTTGGATGTTTGATACTTTTTGAAGTGACCTTACCATGGTTAGTTAAGTTTAAAATCTTTAGAGAGCAACTTTAACTGCGTGAGTTTTGTCTGTCATACATGTACATGTATATACATGTAAAGTGGTGAATGCTGAAGTATTTATATTGCAAGTGTCATGTTTTTTTTTTAAATAATTTCTATTATTCAGAACAGGTTACATCCTGTCAATACTTAACATAAATAAATATTTTAAACCAAAACTAGAATCATGAAAGTCAATCAACATTACCTGAGACAAGTGTGTATATTTTATTTTGTTTACTATAGGTGAGCAACTGGAGCCGACAGAGAGGAACTAGGTTAAGAGATGGCCTGGCTACACATAGAAAGAACGCCCAGTTGTTAGAGGAGTTAATAGCTTGGTTAAATCACGCAGAGAATAAACTGTTCAATGACAACGCTGAACCTATTCCTGACGATGTTGACATCATCACACAGTTGATGAGGGAACATTCTGTAAATATAACTTTAATATTCTATTTCAAGTTAAAAATAGTAAATTTGATATACCATTTACTCTCTTGACCAAAATTTAGAATCATGTTGACTTTCAGATTTTTTTTCGAATCAAAATACATTGCTAATGATCACATTTAAAACTATTTTCGATGCTGTCTTGATAATAAGACTGTAGCTGATCAGTGAATGATGCAACTTGTTAAAGGGCGGCGTTATAAGTTTTTATGAAGAAGATTTTGTATTTTGGTTTAAAGCATATTTTTGAAATATTAGGAAGCTTTTTCAGCTAGCTTATTGAGAAGGTGGTTCTGTTCAGGTACCTGAAATGATACAGGGAGGTTTGCCTTTACTAGTATAAATTTAAGCTAAAAGTTGCTGCATGCTCAGTGTATTGACTTGAAACCCAACAAACAATGTGACAAAATGTATAAAATGGCTATGAATGTATGATTGCAGGATTTTCAAAATGAGATGTCATTAAAACAACCAGAAATTGACCAGGTTACCAAGGGTGACCGTAGACAGAGAACCGGATCTGTGGCTGGTGAACAGGTCTCTCACATTCCCATGTACAAAGGTCTGTCAGGCAGACGTACACCTACTCCAGTCAAATATGGCACACCAAGGTATGATCACAAATATATTAAATTGGTTTGTTACCCCTACTCTATACACTTTTATTTGATGACCCTAAATTTGCTTTGTATAATTTTTGTCCGTATAAAAAAAAAATAAAAGATGACAGGACACAAATTCTTATATAATTCTGCTAAACATAATTATTACAAAAGGCCAGTTAAGCTGATAACACAAATTTTATAATATTGATGATATTCTTATATGGTATTTGCTAAATTAAATCTAATGTAAGAATTTTCTATCTAGACGTGGTCGTGATGATGATGGTAGACGGACACCAGAGATGCACTTTAGGAATCCACGTGTAGGAGCGTTATACAATAAATGGCGTCAAGTTTGGCTTTCAGCCATGGAAAGACAAAGACGCTTGCAGGAGGCTCTTGACTACCTCAATGAGGTAAATTTGATTTTATTAGCTAAGTTAATAAGTTTGTTTAACTTTTTCTTTGCCTGTTTAGTCAGTTCTTTGGTTTTAAAGACTATGTTAAAATAAATTTGTCTGCTGACTTAATCAATGTTTGTTACAGTTGGAGAGAATGAAAAACTTCAAATTTGATGACTGGAGAAAACGTTACCTCACCTGGATGCATCATAACAAGTCACGAATCATGGACTTCTTCCGTAGACAAGATCGTGATCGTGATGGGAAAGTCACGAGGGCAGAGTTCATTGAGGGAATTATGATGTCACGTAAGTTTATATTGTGTTTTTGAAATAGAAATTTATATATGTTCCAAGTAAGTTTGAAGATTGGGCATTGTAATGACTGATTGTACATTCTGGTAGAAAGATAAGTTATACTACTTTTATGTATTTTTGTATTGCTGACATTTCTTGATTGACTCTTATAGTTTGTCCTTCTACTTCATCTACTTGTTGTTTCTCATTGCACCTTCATTTATCAACAGAAGTATTTGCTATTTGGCATGTTGGTACCTCCCATGGAACTTTACCCTTGAATAAAAAGAATTTCAGGTTGATAAGTTCAAGGTCACTGAGACTAAAAATAGATTTTCCTCATAATGAGGCCATGTGTTCAGCTTTGTATTTGGAGAATAGCACTAGTGTTACTTGTCATCTGTACAGTGATGATGTCATGTTTCAACATTTGAATGGATTACAGGTTTCCAGACGACACCTATGGAAATGGAAGCTGTTGCTAATATCTTTGATCGGGATGGAGATGGCTACATAGATTATAATGAGTTTGTCTCGGCACTTCGGCCCAACAGAGATGTAAGTTTTTATATTGTTTTCAAATCCAGTTCCATTTTATCTTTGGTAGAGTTTTACATCTTGAATTGAATGAATTTAAGGTATTTAAAATTTCATTGACTTTTATTTTTGTTCCAATTATTATTATTATTATTGGAAATATGGGTTTTCACTATTTTTATTTCTTTTTTTTTACTTGGGAGGGAAAAAGGGGATGTGACAGTTTTTCAATGTTTTGATAATGTTTTAGCTAGATTTATAGATGTAGGAGTTAGTTCTTGTGTGAAATACTTCTATAGTAACAATCTTTTTCTCTTAGTTACTGTTTCAAATCACTGGCTTTACTTTGTCAATTTTCATAGGCAAAAATATCATTGACAAATATTTCACTTGGATATTAATTAAAAGAGTAAACATTTCTCTTTTTTTAATATAATTTACCATGCTTTAATGGGCCATTTTGTTGATTTATCTTATGTTTTGCAGTGAAATACTAAGATTTAAATCTTTGAAAATATTGAGATAGAAAAATGGTATCCCACCGTTAGCAGTGAGATAACATATAATATTTTACTGTTATAAAGCAGTGTAATGTCAAAATTTGGTGACCATTTTGTACATTGAAAGGTTTAATAAATACAGATCTCTCAAGATTCCACTGATGTCATAGTGATGTCATAGTGATGTCATACAAGTGGCCCAAATTTCGATTATGACTTTCAAACTTTAGATACAAAAACTGTGAAACACAAGATGAAACAAAGAAAATTTGTTAGTATTTACAAATATTCTTATTACGGGCCCACATTTTGACGGGAAATATACATATATATACTCTAGTCACACTGGTAATAGGGGCTATTTACACAATTGTTTATCTGTAAGAAAATATAATAATATACTTGTGTTTGTGATATGATAATTGTATTGTCTGTATTAATGTTAATTATCTCTTTCTTTAATCAAACATTATTGTTTTAAAATCTCAGGAATTTATGCATTTACTAATAAAGAATATCTATCCCATATTGGCATTATAATGCATGACATTTTTTTTTCAATGTTTTTACTGTTGTCAAATTTTATGTATATCTTTATTTAATGCTTAAAATTTTGTTTGTTAAGAGAGGAATGAAACACTCCCAACCATTGACTTGATTTGGAGTCATCTGTTTCACAATTTTGGTTAAGTCCAATGCAAAGTTTTATGGGTGTTTCATTTCTTTCTTTTCAGTCGTTTTATATTTATATAATTACATTTTCACCCCTATATTTATGAATGGGTTAAACTGATATATTTATCAGGGAGATTCCATTACAAAATTAAAGGGATGAAAATGTTAAAATGGAATGTGCTAGTGGTACATTGGTATCTGCTATGCATAGAATAATTTTGGCTGTTGATGTATTGCTATTTTTAGGCTTGCCTTAATCATATTTCATGTTTTATGTTATATATTATGATGTTATAATGCTATCTTAATTTTTACACCAAAAATAATCCAGAGTGAAAATTTAGACCAAATCAAGCCACAGACACGAGTAAGATTAATCTCTCCTATAACTATTATGAATGAATTGTATGTTCATCTGTCTGTCTGAACTTACCTTGGGATGACTTGTCATGCATTTAGATACTGAAAATTGTAAACAACTCTTTTTTTTCAAAAGCTTAATGTCTGATCACTAAAGGAAACTTTTTCTTGCGGATCTTGACAGAATTCTAAATGAATGATCTCTACAAAAAACAAATTGATGATCTTCACAGAAAACCAAATTTATGTTCTCCATACAAAACATAATTTATGATCTACAAAAAAAGTTATGATCTCCACAAAATAAAAAAACCAACATCATTTATGATCTCTACAGAAATCCAAATTTATGATGTGAAATATAGCATGTTCATGGGGGTCTTAAACAAATTTTGGTTTCCCTTTTTTTCAGAAATCAAAATTTTACATATTTGAAAAGGGAAACCAGATTTGTTCTCCTTTGTCAAATAGTCTTTTGGAAATGCAAAGAAATATTATGCTTCAAAACTTGAAATAAATCTTCACACCATGTATCTCTCTTCACAGAAAACTAAAGGCACAAACAAAAAGGTAAAGGTTTCAAAGTTAACCAATTTAACAGATTGTCATGGAAACTGGTCCTCGTGGTTTCCAGAAATCATTGATTTTATTTTTACTATGTTTGAGAATTTTTTTGCATTATTTATGCCTTTCACTATAGATGGGCAAAAAGCTACCACTGCCAAAAGCCAATTGTTTATCTATACAATGTATTTAACAGGTGGCCAAAGGAGTCCCTAAGTTGATTTGATTATTTGAGCAAAAGGCTTCTAATCCATGACGGATGATTTTTTACAAAAATAGCTAAATGTTGGTTTTTCAAAGAGTGAAAAAACAACACTTTATCAAAAATCAGTGGAATTTTGTCCTGTTATTAGAATCGACCACAGCCTTTTGTCCTGCTAAAATCCACCAAAGGCCTACTTTTGTCCGCCTGTTTCAACCAATGAACAAGTATGCTTTTGAGCAGTGGAGCTTTTGTCCTACATCAGTCCCTGCCTGCTTTAGCACATTCATTTTTTGCATGACTATTTTTGTTCTGCATGTCTTTAAGGTAGACAGTTGTTTAGTTATTCAATTAGGTTAGAATTTGATTTGCAAACAGTGATAAAAGTGATTGTATGTTGTAAGAATATGTTGTGAATTAGCTAAAACTAACTATGGTAATAAGCTCAACTGTTAACCTTCTGACACGGAAGTGATTCAGCCTTTATCACGGGTATATGACTCAGGTCAGCATGTATATCTATACAGTCTGACTAGATGTTATTCTTGTGGTCAATAACATTTTGTATTTTGATATTGAAATTTCTAATACTACTGGTTGGGGACCACCAAAAAAAAATCAAAACACCCAAGCTTTTATCCGAATGAAATCACGTCATGTACATATCTGTCCGGACACATGGTACTGTAGTGTAAACAATTAAGGTAATTTTGATACCCTCCTTGTCGAGCCTCATATATAAGTGTCAATACAATCAGAAATAAACAAACTAGTTTGTTAGTTAGGAGAAGAACCTAGCTGAACTGTGTCAAATTTTTTGGTCTCTAGGTTAAAAATTATGCAATCTGTATGGAAAAATGTTTCAAAAGTGTCCGGTTGATGGTCTCCCACCAGTAGCAATGGGCTGTTCCAGATTCAAAGTCGGGCAAGTCCATTTCTAGAATTCAGTAGGGTAAAGGTCATGCAGCATCCTGTAGGTCAAGATGTGTAATTTACAGGTTAACCCTTTGCAAGCTGACCAAAAATTATCATTTGCACTGTCTTCTGCTTGATAGTGATATTTGATTAAATTTCCTATAAATTAAGTGGAAATATTGTCTGTAGAAAAGCATAAGAAAGGCAAAGAAAAGAAAACAGTGAAGCAAAACTTATGTTGTTCTGTGATGTGTCAATGTATTAGATCATTTCCCCTTCTGCTTTAGCTTTTGTTTTTAATACTCAAATATTCCGAGGGAACAAAGGTCATCAAAGTACATGTATAAAGAATATCTGAATATCTTTATAATATAAAGAATAATATATCACATAATAGCACTGTATTCACAAATAAATTTCAAAACACCCTTTTACACTCTTTCTTGTAGACTTAAAATACACATTTTCACTTCATGTAGTTTCATTTAAAAACCCTTAAACCCTTGACCTGCTGGGGCTGAAAATGACCAGCCTAAATTGCCACCAGTATAGAGCCAGTCCAGCCTGTACTTACATGTACATCATGCAGTCTGACATGAGGCACTATACAGTTGATGGCTCTTTATTTGTATTTAATATTGTTCCAAATTGAAAGTTTCTACAAATTCAGCAGGTAATGCTAGTTTATGTGATATTTTCATACTTTGTCATTGATATCAACAAGTTTGATATGTGAAAAATGATGTAGATACATATATGAAATAAATAGAAAATTAATCATTTGTAGTCACTCCTTTTAGTTCTTTCCATAGCATGTAGAAACTCTTTAATAGATGGTAGAAATTCTGTGATTATGCCGCATTAATATATTCACTCCCTGCTATACCCTGCAGATTCTATATAAAAAAAAATAATCATCATCATTTACAATCTATTTCATCTATAGTATTTCAATATTGAACTAAGTAGAAAATGTTTTAATAGATTTATTACTCATTCATTTCTTAGGAAATAGATAGCCAAAGGGCCATTTCTATTACTATAGTCGTGTTATTTCAGAGGAAATTTTCAAAGGATTTTTAAGTGCATGCAAATTGTTTCATAACAAAGTTCATTTTATATAAGGTTGATAAGGTTATTATGTTCTTTAATTGAGAAAAGGTATTTTGTTTTGCCCTTGCTTAATAACTGAAGGAGCCATTAGATTTATAGATGATTTTCTGCCTTTATTGACTGTATAAAATAGATCTATTTTGTTCTAGACATCAGTTTGTTCAAAATCAGGTTTACTCTTCACAAAAGAGAAAAAATTATGGTTTCAATGCAAATATCATTGAATTACTGTAGTCCAAGTTAAAGGAGTGTAGACTGAAGGAGGGGAATTAGGGTGATGGTATTTCTGTTTTATGAACAAACTGTGCTGTATAGTACTGTAAAATTGAAAAAAAAAATTATAAGAATGCTTCTGTTTGCAATAGATGTTTTTTTTCCAATAAATAGCATTTAAGTTCTGTTCTTTCAAGGATTTGTTCTTTAAGTTGTCAAAAAAGAGGTTTGTTTCTTTACAAATTGCTTCCTGTTGCCTTAAAAAAAACTTTGATTCTATAAAATGCTTCATTTTTGCCAAAACAAAAAAAACTTTGTTTTATAAACTGCTTCATGTTGCCAAGAAAAGCTTTATATCTATACAATGCTTTGTGTTGCCTCGAAAAAAAAACTGTTTCTATAAAAAGCTTCATTTTGCCAAGATGCTTTGTTTTTTTGCTGTGTTTTGTTAGTCAGTATATGTTGTCTTGTCTAGATGTATTATAAATGTTGTTGTAAATTAAAGATGTTATTTCTTTTTATGCCCTTTTTAATGTGATCACAAACTTATTTTCTCCCATATTTCATTTTTTTAAAGCAAGTTCAATTGATTTATAATGAAAAATGTATACACCAAAGTTGGAATAAATATGGGTTTCTTTTGTGGGTGTGGGGAATATAAAATAATGTACATGGAAAATTCAATTTCAAATTATAAAGATTTTTTTTGTTTTGAAATTGCCAGGTTTCTTTTTTGAATATGAAAACAGCACAAGGTTGTAGAACTATTTTACAGAATCATTTACAGATTTTTGAAGCAACTTTGGAGCGTACATTGGCAACTTTGGATTTTTCTTTATTGTTGAACTTGATTTTTATTGTGTTACTTTTTGCTATGTTTTCAGCCGGAACCAGTCAATGATTCAGAACTTATTCATGACGAGGTTAAACGCCAAGTACACAAGTGTACCTGTGTCAAACAGTATAGAATACATAAGATAGGGGAAGGAAAATACAGGGTATGTTTTCTGAATATGTTGTGTTAAAACAGTTTTTTAAGAAAGTGCATTTGGCTTTAGTATAACTGTACTTCATTCAAGAGTTTTTGAATTCTTTCTTTATAAATATTTTGTGTGTAACTATTGTCCATTGTTAATATGAAAATTGCACATTAAAAATATTATCTCACTTCTAAATAGGTATTATACTTTATGTATTTATATGTTTTTAGTTTGGAGATTCTCAGAAGTTGCGATTGGTTCGAATCTTGCGCAGTACAGTGATGGTGCGTGTTGGCGGAGGTTGGATGGCTCTTGATGAGTTCCTGGTGAAGAATGATCCTTGCCGAGGTATAGTCACTTTCTATTCAATAATACCATATAATGATAGTGTTTTCATGAGTTTTACCTATTTCATCCCCTTTTCTTTGAAGTAGACTGTGCCATTTCCAAGAAAAGGGACAGTCTATTACAAGTTAGGGGTGGAAAAGGTATTTAGCAATGTTAGATTTTCTTGCTGATACCCAATCACGAGCTTGAAACTAAAATTTAGGAAATTATGCTTTAAAGCTTGAAATAAATGCTGATTTCTTGTAACTTTTGTACATGTAATTCTACAGTGAGATTTGTATACATTATGCCTCAAATTATTTCTATTGTTTTAAAGTAAAATCAGGCAAGCTACCTGCTTAAGTTTAGCGAAAGGTCTTCTTAGTTGATGCTGGAATTTTCTAAGCTTAATTAAAATAAAGAATAATGTAAAGTATACAAAAAACAAGGCCGTATGAAAATTACTTTACTGTGTACATTTAGGACCAATCAGGGAGACTCTTATAGAAGTCAAAGAACCCAAAGTGCCAAAATCGTACAAAACAAGGCTGGGACCAGCCGGTCTTGGTGATTACTAGATATTGTTATCAGAAGCTGCTCACATATATTTCAGTTATTTTGACACATATTCTGTATCACTGAATGCAGAAATACCATTCATACTTGTTTAGTTTTACGCTGTAGTAAACATTTCATGTAAAAATTTATTTCAAACGAAATCTGCGATATAAGGCATGGATTCTTACTGAATTACTCCCCTTTAGGAACATGCAGAAGTGTTTCTGCATGGCTGAAAATGTTTTAAATATCAAGCTGTGAGAATAGTTGAGCAAGCTGTCCTGGTAGCAGAGAGTGGTTTAGTTATGTCTCACTTTGGGGTGTTTATGACAGCTAAATATATTTGTTTTCCAAATCTAGATTTGAGACACAACCTATGTGCACATTACAACTCTCAAAATAGATCTACTGGCTATTAATTGTCTTATGTTAAAGATCAAAAAAATTTATCTTATATCTGTTATATGTCTAAAATCACTGCTAAAATACATATAATGTCTTTGATGTGTACTGTATTTATTTACTAGTATTTCACTTCTAAAAACAGATTTGATGTCTTTGATATGTCTAAATATAAATATCTTTTCTAAAAATAAGATTCACATGTCTCTTGTTCTTGTACCTGTCTTATAGCACGAGAATTAGGTATGCACAAAATATGTAAAACATCTGTGTTCCTGTGCCGTCAAAACAAATGCTAACATGTTACTATTTGTGTGCCAGAATTTAGTTTTTCTCTGTGCAATTTCTCGCAAGTTTCGGCAGTTATGTTTTAAGTTTGTGTCCTTTACAAAAGCGCTTCAGTAAAATAGATGTCGGCATTTCACTGCAAGAAAAGCTTGTATCACATTAATCAAATAAATTAAAGTTTCGTGTAATTGTAAACAATTACCTGTTTTGCAAAGATTCCAAACAAAAATTTTAATTTTTGGTTTGGTTGTTTTTGTTGTTTTTTTTCTAAAAATATAATACTAAATTTCTTTGGAATTCTTAGAGTCAAAGTAGTTTCAAAGCTATTAATAGGGAATAACTCAGCTTTTGCTTCATATATGCCGTGTAATCAAGCCACATACACACTTTGTTCTGTCTGCACACAAGACCCTAAACAGACTTACATAATGACTGAATATAATTATGTAATCCTATATTTAGTAACAAACTCTATAAATAGTTATAGCACATACCATATTTCTAACAATACCTTATCTATCCATTCTGGAAATATGTATTATATGAATAAGAAATGATACTGATGATGAAGTCCATCACAAATATCTAAATGGGTACACAGTGTCTTAATCTGAGAGAGAAAAATCCATAGATATATTCCGTAGAATTACATTTATGTTATATGAAACCATTTCTTTATTTTTGGCATGAAATGTATTTTTAAGCCATATTTACTATATTTTTAAGCCATATTTTCTTAAACTATGCATTCATTGCTTAAGTGTTTGTTATTTGTGTTACACAATTTATGCATACGGTAAAATCAGATTTTTTTGTTGATTTTTGTTTCAAGATTTTGAAAATTTTGCAACAGTATCCTGCCATGAAGGATTTTCAAAGGAAAGAATAGGTGTCATTTAAAAAGCAAAAAATATACAAATTAAAAATCTGATTTTGCAGTCAAAAGGCATAATTTATAAAAAAAAACAATTTAAACAAATGATTACATTGACATGCTTACATAGACTGGCCAATTCTGCTAATTTTAGCAGAAGAAGGTATAAGACTGTCTGGTGTACAGGGATGTGAAAGATGTATATACCCGTAGTGTTAAACCACAAGGCGGTTTTACGTTGGGAGTTCAGCTTTTATGTTTTTTAATGCTTTGGGCTCTTAGTTGAGAGATTAATTTTGTTTGGAGCGTTTAGATTTGGAATGAGGTGCCCTTATTATTTTGATATTCAATATATATATGCTGCAGATACATTGTAACTATATGTTGTTTTAATTGTTTCATATATCAGAAATAGTGTTTAAAATGATCATCATTATTGAAAATTTAAATTCAGATGTCTGAATTGAAAAATTAATTTTATAGATGGTTTTAGAGTAATACAGAATAATTTATGTTACCATGTGACATACTCTCATGTTTATTGATTCCTCAAACTAAATTATAAACTGTTCCAAATTTGAAGCTGGGTAAATCCATTACATAAATTGTTACAGGTTAAGGGTATAATGGTGTAAAGCTATATTTATCTGTGTGTAAATCAGCAGAATTATTGTTGGTACTGTAAAAAAAAGAATGGTACTTAAATTTAAAGAAAGATGTTTGTAAATTTTGCTAATGGAAGCAACACAGAATCATAGCTAAAACCTACTTCATAAAACAGAATAATTTTAGTACTTTTAGTCTACTTACAATTGCATGACACTGTTATCAATTTCTTTTTGAAAACAATTCTATAGATTTGAAAACAGTTTTTCGAAATTTCATACTGTTATATATCATTAATGAGTTTTGGTTTACATGTATAAATATACGGTACATATATATTTTTATATATATCACAAGTTATATAGCTTTACACCCTTAAACACAAAAAATCCATCAATAATTTTAAGTGGAGTTTGACTTTAACAATCAGATGAAATTATTTCAAACTTTCAACATAAGTCTTTTGAACTTTTTTTAAAACATTCAACAAGAGTCAATGTGCATTCTTTTAAATTTAAATTCTACTTTTGTCAAAAATTGAGTTGTATTTTGCATATTGCATTTTAAGCCAAAATTTGTCAGATATTTTTTAATCATTTTTTCACTATCATTTTTTTTGTCATAAAGTATGGAAAACATTGTTTTCATATCTTACCAATCATTTATATGTTCATGCAATCATAGACCATGGAAAACTGTTCCTGACTCATTTTAACGTGTGTTATGAGAGTGAGTATGAATATCAGAGTTTTAGAAAAAGTAGTCTGAGGCTGCTGGTTCTAGTTAGAACCAGTCTGCATCTTCAGATGAACGTTTTTTTATTATTATTTTCATTCTCTATTGTTTTTGTGCAGCTTTTTTGTTGTTTGTAAACATGGAAGTATGAATGTGTTTTCATTGTAATTTTCTATTGTCTTTATTATTGTATGGTTAATAAGGCATCACATTACCAACAATTTTATACTGAATTTGACTCATGTCTAAAAAATAAAATCCATGGCTGTACAGTTTCTCAATTAGTTTTTTTTTCAGCATATTTAAGCATAGTTTAGGGCTTTGAATGAATGATTTGCATAAGAATGAGTTTCATTCTTCTTTCCTGGTTATAGATAATTTAAGTTCTTATATCAAGATATTGCTTAACGACTGCTTTTTTGCATTGCTTGATGAAGGAATCATATATACATCATTAAATACATCATTATGAAAGGTCATTCTGTAAGATGTAAATTTAGAGCTAAGAATTGTTCTAGAAGTCGTGCCAAACATTGCTCTTGATGCTCCTTACTGTAATGTTTGCCCATGTTTTCACAATTCCTCACTGCCTTTTATCATTTTTTGTACCATTAATACTAGTATAAGTGCCTGTGTTATTCAAGTTGTTTTTTGTAACCTCTATTTTTTTTTTTAAAAATTCAAAACCAAATGACTGATGGACAGTTTTTGTGTTCATATGTTATTGTAGCTATGTATGTACAACAAGGCATGTTTTCACTGGGCAGGATTGTCCTATACCGGACAACTATTGGCAGTTATTGTTAGATGTTTAGAAGTCACAATTTAGCTCGGACGTTTAGCTTTTTTATTGTGTATACATATATGTTTTATTTTCTGACACAGTTGGCGTGTGGAGACGGAACCGTTTTCGATTCAAATACCGTACAGCATTATCGCAGGGTTGTAAAAACAATTTATATTTTAGGAATGACTGTTGTGTCCCTTGCTCCTTGTATCATTGAACGAAAAAATATTCAGTTGACAGCTTGACTATATATCGACTGAGTTGCTGTTTATTATTAACTCATCATGTTGTATTTTGATAGTTTGATGGACATGTGTTTGCTAGTGGTCGATTATCATATGTTTTGAATTTGTGTATGCAATCATGCACCACTCATGGAATAAATAAAATTTAATATAATAAGGGAGAAGTTAATATGATCAGTATGTTGTTGTTGGGAGGGGGGGGGTCTTTAAAAAGCTCTAGGTTGAAAGACGAGGGGTAAGGTAACTTTACATGTGGAAATTGTTGGAAAAATTATTTAGAAGTACATGTACCTAAGGAGAGAGATAGAGATAAGTAGACAAGGTACTGTTTGATGGGCTGACTAACTTCTGAATTTATATTGTGTTAAATATTTCTAGATAAGTAGGACTATTCCATGTAGAAAAATTGAGCAGTTTGGAGATTAACATTCAGAATATTTTCTTCTCCCTTTTGTCATTATGGTCTGCTCTAAAGAAATGTCAATTTAGGCTAATACTTGAGCTATTTCACCCATGTTGTTATGATAAATTATATACAACCTGTTCATTTCACATGACTAATTCCATGTACCCACTATCTTCATTGATATATTAAAACTGTGTAGAAATATGCTATAATTAATATGATAATTAATATGATTAATAAAAACGCTAATGGTCCTTTAACCTCCATAAATTAATACCTCTAACATTTTATGATTGTCAAATAATGAGACTCACTCTGTTCTGTGCCCTTTGTTTATAATCTGTTGTAAGAGTTACAGCCCCTGAATTGAGCCTTTGATTTAACCAATGCCAAAGTGGTTTGAATTGCCTGTTGCTAATTGCTAAATGTTCCCAAAAGTGATTTGCTACTTTTTGTCTTTTAGGAATGAACTTATACATGTCAGTATAACAACCTCAAAATTGGAGTTTTTGAGTTGAAAAAAAGGGTTTTCTGAACATATACTCTTCTCATTTTAATTTGATCGATTGAACAAAAACACACACATACTGGTTGATACTTATCAAATAAAATTATTAATCCAAAGGGATTTATTGTTTTGTAATATATGATTTAAAAATAAAACCCATATCTTTATGAATTAAATGAAAATTACAGTTCAAGAAAATCCTTAAGTTTAAAAACCATTTGAATGTTACTATTTTTATCATCATTTCTTGAATGTTTCAATTTCACGTTATATTAGCACAGTTCTCAGGAATTTCTTGTTTCAGAATGTTGGTTGTTTTTATTATGCTCATTATTATGAATTTTGTTATTATTTACAAATCATTGTATGCTAGATAAATGTTGTCAAGTGTAAATTTTGTTTGCTGCAGTTTTTTTTATGGACAAAATAATGCATTGTGGGAAATACTTCAATGATGCTTTGATTTACTTTGTCAAAGGTTAAATATCGTATAGAATGTTATTTCAACACTGTGCCATGGTTAAAATATCTGCAGATTTTGTATGCTCCATGGTTCACATTAATATTTTGCAATGTCCTCTTGGATTTTAACCATGGCAAAGCTAGGATTGTTAATAAACTTTAGTTTGGATAGCATAAATATATTGTTGAATTATAAAGAATAGGCAAGATCAAAGTATTTCCCAAAATGTGAATTATACAGTAATTATGTGCAGGCATATTCTACTACATGATAATTATTTTACATAATATTTAAATTTTTTGCAAGTTAATGTGAGTTTTCAAGGTCATTTAAGGTCATTGAGATATATTGTGACTGAATTAATTTTATCTTATTTTAAAGAATAAGCACTCTGTAATACTGAATAAATAGGCATCTATTAATAGTTTAAACAAGTTTGTTAATACATTTCTTTATCATTTGTGAATCTTTTTAGAAATTATATTAAGAAATCTTTTAAACTTCACTTTTTAGAAAAATTTATACTATGTTTTTATATAGAAATGCAAATGTATATTAATTATATTTTTTTTATATCATTTTACAGCGAAAGGTCGCACAAATACAGAGCTACGTGAGCAGTTCACACTAGCAAAGGGTGTGAGTCAGTCAATGGCAGGGTTCACGTCTAAGTCTCCAAGTGGTAGTTCGTACTCGGGAAGTTCAACTTACTCTGGTGCAACATCACCATGGAGCGCTCGGTCGCCTAGCAACGCTAGTGGACCTGTTATCAAGGTTAATAAATAAATGTTTTATTAATTAAAGGTCAATAGAGTAACAAGATATTGTGTTATTTATTTTGGAAGGAAAGATATACTTGAAGAGACTACTGTATAAATATATAGATATAAATTAAATGTCTCAGATTTTTTTTTTTTATGGATTTTTTTTTTTTAAATTAAAGTTTTTGTTTAATTTAAACTACAGTGTTGTCACTGAAATTATAGGTATAATACTGCAATCCTGTTTGATACAAAATAATTTCAAATACTAATGAGGCATAAATAAAATAAAGATACCTGTAGTCATTATGTAGACAATAATTAAAAAGTGTTTAAAGTGTATAAGTTTATGTATTAATGCTCTCAGAGGAGGAAGTCTAGACCACAGTGTCTTGCTTCACATCCTTCCCATCCTAAAACATACTGGGTAAGTCACATGTTGTCTATAAGTTACACGTATTTTTGATATATACTCAGTCTCTATGATTTAAAACTACAGATCTGTTATAGATATTGGCAAGAGCTATTTTATACTGCAAGCTTGCTTTTAATGGCAGAAGTTGAATGCTGCATAGTTTTGTTTATGATAAGTTTGTAAGTTTAGAAAAAGATAAAATCCGTTCGGTGTAAAATTTCTTTATTCACTTTTCTTACATCTTCATTTAATTTTGATAAATCCATAGCTATGCATTGCAAAAACCCAGGGAAATGAAATTTTTTGAGCAACCATTTCAGATGGGTTAAGGGCAGATATATAAAAATCACCCCTTCAAGCTATAAGTTTGAATCATAAAAGATAGCTTTTGTGCAAGTTTTTCAAAACATCATTTGTATACAATAATGGTCATCATATTTTGCAAATTTGTATAAAATATAAAAATTGTGAGGGATATTAACTCATTGTCAGATATTCATTTGTCATAACAGATCCATCCACCTCCACTTTTACTTTAAACCCTTAACCTAAAGGAACTGAAAGTGACCAGTAAAGGGCCAGGCACGCCTGCACATCCATGCAGTCTTACCAGATTCTTTACTGTTAGCCCAGTATATTTTATGCTTTCATTTAATTTTATATCCTAATAATTAATAATGGACAGTTTCAAAAGAAAGCTGGACAAATCCAGTGAAAAATTCAGGTTAAGGGTTTAATTTGTTTATTATGTATTCAATTTGTTGTTGTTGACTTCTGGTATGGTATATTCTGTCAAGAATATAATATTATGTATTTGCATAAAATAATTTTATTGATTTTCTTATTTTTGTTCCACTTGTATTCAAACAGATAATGGAAAATATGATTTTAATTTTGCTTGTTCATATGTTTGACCTAAAAAAAATCATATAGTGTTTTTTGTTAAGTTTATTCTTAAAAAAACTATTAATTTATATGTGTGGGATTTTGACATAAGAATATTTACATATAAACATTATTTTATAGAAAGGAAGAAGTATAAATTATCTTTTAAATTACGCACAATGGTATACATTAATCGGGAAAGAATGAAGAAAACTAGCATTAAGGGATAAAATCACAGGAGCATGACCTGTTGCATGTTTTTAAATAATCAAGACAGTTAAAACAGTTTACTGCAGTTATCTTTGTCAAAACTGACTGTCAAATAGCATCACACAAGAACTTCAAAATGATGTGACAAAACAAATTTCTTTGTAGGAAAAACAAATGGTGAAACGTGGAATTACAGAAGCAGATGTATACTTATATGCATAAATGAGGCTAATGCACCATTTTTTTTGCATTTACATTTGCAGAAGCCGTCATTCAGACTCAGACTTTAAATGTGTCATTATGCATTTGCAGATGTTAATTGACAACAAAAGGTGCATTAACCCTTTATTGTAATAAATGATGATGATATTCTAAAATGTTCAGTAGTTTTACCACATTTCACTTTAAGTTATATAATTTCATTTCAGTGATGTATTGATAAAGGGATAATATAATGATGTAATAAAATGGATATTTTAGGTTAGAGAAAAGACAGCATACAGCACTCCTTGGCGTCAGAATATGGCTCGATCTGGACCAGATAGTGAGGTACGCAATATCATGTCCGGTACAACACCAGAAAGCCGGAGGTTTGGTAGTGGAAGGCACAGGGAAGCCCTGTTTAGTCCAAGACATCTACAGAGCCCTGGTTAGTATCTTTTCATTACATGATTGTCATCCAGTATGCAGCATTATGATATGCTCATTGTTATTATACCCCCAAAAACGAAGTTTGGGGGGGTATATAGGAGTCACCCGGTGGTCGGTTGGTTGGTCGGTCGGTCCAGACGTCCGTTGCATTTTCCTTGTCCGGAGCATAACTTGAAGACTAATGGTTGGAATTCAATATAACTTCATACAATGGTCAAGCACATTGAGAGGAAGTGCAGTGCACAAGAACCATAACTCTATCTTGACTAATTACAGAGTAATTGCCCTTTGTTACTTTTCCTTGTCCAGAGCATAACTTGAAAACTACTGGTTGGAATTAAAAACAACTTCATACAATTGTCAAACACAATAAGAGGAAGTGCAGTGCACAAGAACCATAACTCTATCTAAAGTAATTACAGAGTTATTGCCCTTTGTTACTTTTCCATTGCTTTTTTTTGTCCGCACCATAACTTGAAGACTAATGGTTGGAATTCAATATAACTTCATACAATAGTCAAGCTCATTGAGAGGAAGTGCAGTGCACAAGAACCATAACTCTATCTTGACTAATTACAGAGTTATTGCCCTTTGTTACTTTTCCTTGTCCAGGGCATAACTTGAAAACTACTGGTTGGAATTACAAACAACTTCATACAATTGTCAAACACAATAAGGGGAAGTGCAGTGCACAAGAACCATAACATTGTCTAAAGTAATTACAGAGTTATTGCCCTTTGTTACTTTTCCATTGCTTTCTTTTGTCCGGACCATAACTTGAAGACTAATTGTTGGAATTCATTATAACTTCATACAATGGTGAAGCACATGGAGAGGAAGTGCAGTGCTCAAGAACCATACACCATCTTGACTTATTACAGAGTTACTGCCCTTTGTTACTTTTCCTTGTCCAGAGCATGACATGAAAACTACTGGTTGGAATTCAAAACAACTTCATACAATGGTCAAGCACAATAAGGGGAAGTGCAGTGCACAAGAGCCATAACTCCATCTTGACTAATTACAGAGTTATTGCCCTTTGTTACTTTCCCATTGCTTTTTTGTCCAGAGCATAACTTGAAGACTAATGGTTGGAATTCAATATAACTTCATATAATGGTCAAGCACATTGAGAGGAAGTGCAGTGCACAAGAACCATAACTCCATCATGACTAATTACAGAGTTATTGCCCTTTGTAACTTTTCCTTGTCCAGAGCATAACTTGAAAACTACTGTTTGGAATTCAATACAACTTCATACAGTTGTCAAGGACATTAAAAGGAAGTGCAGTGCACAAGAGCCATATCTCAATTTTGACAAAATACAGAGTTACTGCCCTTTGATACTTTTTCTTGTCCGGAGTATAACTTAAAAGGTACTGGTTGGAATTCAAAACAACTTCATACAATGGTCAAGCACTATAAGAGGAAGTGCAGTGCACAAGAACTATAACTCCATCTTCAGTATTTATAGAGTAATTGCCCTTTGTTCCTTTTCCTTGTCTTTCTGGACTTATTACAGAGTAATTCAATAAAACTTCATCAATGACCAACCACATTGAAAGGAAATGCAACATACAAGAACCACAACTATCTTTAATTGCCCACAACCATTACTCTATATTTCAATTCTTTTACAAGGTATTCTGTTACTAGTAACATCCTCATTTCCGAAGCAGTCTTGTGGGGGTATTAATCACATTTAGTGATAGTTCTAGTTTTTAATGGTTTTTCTATCAAAAATGTTTTAATAGAGAGTTGTGTGAATACATTGTTTTTGTTAATAAACAACATCTATAATTGCTAAAGTATTATTCACATAAACTATTAGTATTAAATTGCAAATTGTTGAAATTAATATGATATTTTGATTTTCATTGATATTTCATTTTAGCAACACCCGTGAGTCGTAGTTCAAGTCGTGCCAGTACTGGAAGTCGGCCATTCAGTCCAACAGGAAGTGAAACATCTGAAATTAGTGAACCGGAAGTGTTCACAACTGTTCAAAGTGAAACAAGAAATGTTGGAGGGAGAAACGAGACTACACGCACATACCAGACTCATGTTGTTCAAACTAGAAACATTAACGCGCCAGCACGCTCTTCCACGAGTACGCCAACAAGAACATCAAAAATACCGAAATTGACTCCAAAAAAGCGGTGAAAGAAATTGTTTAATAATTCTAGCCAATGTCTTTCATGTGGAATTATTTTGTTTGCTATGGCTTACTGATCTTCAGTTGCAATGTTGGTTGTTGCCGTTTACTGGCATTTATATAACGTTATAGATGTATATAATATATATACACACACACGCAGACAAAAAGAGTGATAAGGGAAATAAGGGACAAAAAAATCGGACTTCACAGTGAAATAGAAAAGGAATCATTTTATACGTACTTCGCTGTTGAAATGATTTTTGTAGTTTTTGTATACGTGTCATATTTTCATTTTAGTTTGACAGTTCAATTATATCATAATTTCTTAAAGAGTTTTCATTTAGTTTTCATAAAATTTTGGATGTTACAGCTTTAAAACTGATATCACGTAAAAAGAAAAAAGAGATTGTAAACTGATCATCTAACATTCCTAGTGGAAAAAATGTAATATGTAATCTGCTTTCTCCAGTAATTAGCAATGTGCTTGAAACCAATTAAATAAGTATTTCAAAGGGACCAAATTATCTCTGCTTAGTAACTGCTTTTTGAATTGTAACACTGAAAAAAAAAATTAGACATAAAAAAAGTTGAAAATACCCTAATGAATTTGTCGAGTATATTCCAAAATGTAGTGTTGTAAAATGTAAATGTTTGGTGCTTTAAAAAGCTACTTACGTGGGTCCCATGTTGCTATTTTTCTACACAGAAGAGAAATTTGGTGATATGTTTTAATTAAAGGGAGGTAATAAAATTCCATGTTTTAGGAAAAAAAAAAAGCATGATGTTATTGACATTAAAACTGGAAGAAATGTCAACGAAGAAATGTCAATAAATTTTAAACTTGCATCATGTAATTAACTTGCATCATGTTAAGTGTTTTCGTATTTTTTTTTGTATTTTTTTAATTGGAATATCATTTTTAAAAAGGAAATGAAAATAAAAAGCAATATGGGACTCTAATAAGAATTTAACTATTCTATGCATTGCTCAGTATATATGAATATTATTATATGTTGCTTCATTCCCAGATATTTTTTTGTTTCTTTACATTTTTTGTTTGTTTTTTGTACTTTTGGTCCTGGCACCCTTGATTGTTTTATGGTCAGATATTTTTCATATCTTTAATTGAATGTTGGATGGTTGTGCTTGATTTTGTATGATGAAAAAGATTTTATTATGTGTACTGACTTGGCATATATTTGAGGTGGGGTTTAGTGGGGACAAAACCCTTTTCATTAAATAAATGTGTAAGTCAGTTTGGAAACTGTTAAAATTGTTAGATAAGTACAATTTATTATGAAATGTTAAAAATGCATAATTTTGTTTCAATCTAGGGGACATTTTGAGCAATATTTTGCATTTTTATTATGGCACAGAAAATAATAAAGAAAAATAGGGACAAATTCTTTATTATTTTCATGAGAAGTGATTGGTTTGAGAGATTTTTGTATGACTGTTATTTTGTTGATGTTCATTTGAATGAAACATTTGATGTTGCTGTAACTTTTGTTTTGTAAATTACAAATTAAGGTTGTGCTGATTATTTTCATGTTACCATGACAACCTAGAAATTATGTCCATGGGATCATGTTTTGTTCTCCGTAACCATGGTATAAAATCCATGGAAAACTGTTTTCGTATGTAACCATGGCTTTATATGGCTGTTATGGGAACACATGATTTTTCAAGCAATTTATTTATACAATAATAAAATTGTATTTTTATATCTCACGGGTTGGAAATTGTACCTAAGTAGTTAATATAATATATGTACAAGTAATTATTGAAAAATTTATCTATGGTACATACATATATAATATTGAAAAGACACAGTGATATTTATTATGATATAAATTACATGGTTAGAGTTGTTAATAATCGTTTATTATGCTATTTATATGGTCAATATAATGTCCTTCGTAAATTTTGAAAATTGCATGCTTTACAAATTGTAGTATTTTTTTCTGGGCTGAATTTTGTCTGGAATATCATAATGATTATAGGTATTTAAACAAAATTTAGACAAATTATACTCCAGAGTTGGGTATACAATAGGGTGGTTTGATGTAAAATTTGTTCAAAAATTGTTTACAGTGCAACACAATGTACATGAAGTTTAAAACCACTTTTTAAAAACCATGTGATAAATGCTTTGTTCTTACACATGTTATGCTTGATTATTTAAACGCAAGTGTATTCCACTTTATGACCATATAAAGAAATCTCAAAACAGACATATGTGTTTATGGTTCTTTTATATTATGTTTTTTTTCTCATGTTTAAAAACCAAATGTTTATATTTTTGATAATCTTTCATTAAAAGCAGCATTGCCCCTAGATACCGTTTAATGAATAAAAGATTTAAGTCATCCTAAAATATTAACGTACATGTATCAAAATATTCAAAATAATCTACTTCATTTGCAACTGGCAAAAATATGAAACTTAAACAACGTCACATGGGTTTCCAATAATTTTAAAAATCTACTCTGAAAGTGTTTTGCTATAAAGCATTAACATCATAGTTTCTTTTTGCTTCCGGAGATTAATGTGTTCACTCTGGTATGTTAGTGCCTAAAATAATGCATAGAAGATATTCATGTACATTGTTCCGTACTTGTCAAAGAGAAATCCGGGATAATTGTTAACGGGCGATATCAATTAGATAGCTTGACAGTAGAGTTGTTTCTTTATGGTTTGGTTTAGTATAGGTCATGTCAACTTTCCACGTTTACTGGTAGAGGAAGATCACGATTGCCCCTCTGTATATTATTTCAGGCGCGAACGGGCTTCCGATTAGAATCACCGACGTTCCGTAAGCTGAATATCTACCTCACATGAAATAATTCACAAGACCTGGGCAGGGTTTTTCGAACCTTACCAGTGGTGAGGGGCCACTTAGGTGAGGGGTAGGAACGGGGCCCGGTAAGACAGAAAGTTTAAAAAGCTGTAAGAATGTGGCGAAAGGTTAGGACTGGACGCACTTCTAGCTTGGAAAAATTTGGGTACGAAGGGGCAATCAATCAATGTAAAAACCAAATGATTTTGCACTTGAAAGTCATGGCCTAATATATTCGGCTGGAATGGATTACACAACAGGTCTTATTTTGGCGCGGATTGGGCACGGTGGCAATAGAATTTAAATATATGTGGTTTTGTATACTAGTTGTAAACATGGCTGCGTTACAATGTGAGAGAAGAGCAAAGAGCTTTTTGCAAATTTCTTATGTTAGTCAGAAATAAAAACGGTTATGGAGAAAGTGCTCTTCCATATAGTATAATTGCCAGGTGGGTGTCCATGTTTTAAGCACAGGAGCTCCTGTGTTTTAAGTGACATTGTGCTCATTTTGTCATTGTCAAGTTGTGCTGAATTAACTTTATATTTCAAATGATTGACTGTAAAAACTGTCTATTGACCAACAGTTGATATGAAAACATGTTTTGGCTAAGTATGCAAACTACCCCACTCTTTTTATAAATTGAACATTTCATGGTAATTTCCGATGGAATTTTAAAGAATTTTTAGGGCCATGTTCGTGCAAAGTAAATGCATAGTTGATGAAGATGCAAGATATACCATGGAGGAGATAAGTGACATATCGGGCCTTATTGCGTCATATGTGGTTTCCATCTTGAAAGAAAAGTTAAAGTTAAGGAAAGTTTGCGCCCGTAAAAAAGGGAGCGGTTGAAAAAAAAAGACGGCCTTATTGACTAAGTTAAAAGATCGAGACCCTAGACGCCTAAAAGAAATTGTCACAAGGGATGAAACGTGACTTTATATTTTTAGCCCGACAATAAACTCAATAACAAAATGTGGGTAGGTGAAAACAGCGATCGCCCAGTTGTTGTTCGACGTAGCAGGGGCGTTAACTAAGTTATGTACGCTCTTTTTTTAGACATTGATGGAATAGTGGTCCATGTTGCTGTGCCTAAGAGGGGTAATTTCACCGTAAAAATGTTCTTAGTTAATCACTACATTACAAAGAACCTAAGGTCTGGGGTGCGCAGGATCAAATTACTCCAACAGAGAATTGAGATTTTCATACATCCCGCTTATAGTCCTGACATTTCTGCTTGTGACTTTTGGTTAAATCCATTCATCAAATCTTGCCTTCGCGGTCGCCGGTTCGAAACACTTAGTGCCGTCAGAAGCGCTCTCTGCCAATGTGTAAACAGTATACCCAAAGAACAGTTCAAAAAATGCCTTTTCTGAATGGATTCTGAGTCTGGAAAAGTGTGTAGAAGTCTATGGTGAATATTTTTGAAGGACGCTTCTGATCATTTTTCATACAGGTATGACAAATTTATAAAAAGCGATGCCGTTGCCACTTATTAAATGTGTTTATAGGTCACAACAGTTACCTGTTAATTGTTGGTTTGAGACATCGTCGTCATCCAATCTTTCTCTCCTCTCCTTCACTTGCTGCACCAACTTCTCTAGCACTGCAAACTTTTCCTCGGCGTAACGAGTATGTCGTAATTTCATCACGAGAGATGACACAGGGTCAGGTTGGAGGTCCGTGATATGACGTGGCTTTCTTAAAACGAACCTTGATAATCATTATTATTATCATTAACATTATTATAAAATCTAAATGTGAGGCACAAGGTTCGAAGAGAGTAACAACTTAAAACACGTACGTTTCTACCTTGGGCTCTTTCATATCAGTCTGTCGATTAAATCGTCTTTCTAGGACTTCCAGTGGACGCAGAATTTAGCCATTGCACAGGAATCTGTGGAATGGATAAATAAATACCGACGGCACTGCAGTTGAAACTTTAACTTCGCTTTTTTTTCCATGAGACATTGACTCTTGTAGACATTGACTCTTGTAAGCACTTTGTTGACAGCTTCAGCGAACTCTTCGAGTTTGCTGTGGCTGATATCTATAGAAAAACGCTTTCATATACTATTCCTGGTTTTAGTGCCAATTTTGACTTTTGTTTTTGCAATAATAAGCAGACGATGTAAAAAAATGAAAGATACATGACGTTTTGACGTTTACGGGCGTCTTCTCGTTCTAGGGAATGATAAAAGGAACCGCTACCACTTTAACTATTCAAAATCCTTTTTAAGAAACATGTTTGCATTCTCGGTCGGTTGGTTGGTTGGTTGGTTGGTTGGTTGGTTGGTTCGTTGGTTGGTTGGTTGGTTTCTAGACCTACGCCCCTTCGCCCAAATCCGCCATCTGTCAAAATGAGTTTCAAATGTTTAATTTAATTGAAATACTTTATTTTGTCAAATGTGAAATTTTTTCAATTTTTGTCTTGAATAGTCTGCACTTTAAGTTGTTCTTGTTTCTTGTCAAGCAGAACCCCCATAGCCCACGCACAAGCGCGCACGAACACATGCACATACACGCACACACTCCTTGTAGAGACAGAAAATACTCGAGACTTGAATGAATTTAACCTTCCTAGAACAACAACTTTCAGCAACAACCAAGAAGCTTACCTTCTACAGGGTGTTGCTCTACAGAGGTTATACCGTAAGATGGATTTAGTTTTTAATTTGAACGGCGGTTCAAAGTCCCTGTGGTAAAAAAGTATAGAAAATATAATGAACTTCAAACATGTATACAATATTTCCTAGGGCTATTTTGCCTTATGATTTCTTAATTAATGAAAAGATGTAAAATGATTTCGTGTTATCAAGCTCAAATCTACTTTTACAATACACAATTAAATCTGAAAATTCAAACACATATTAATTGACTATAAGATACGATTTTCATAAAGACAGGAAGTCATTGTTTAAAAGTATATATTTTGTCACTATAATTATTATATATAACTTTGTCTGGTTCTAGAAGGGAAACAAATGGGGTTTCGTTTTGGGTTGCCACGCTTTTGAATTTAACTTTTTTTTCCCTCACGCCCTACATACAACTTATATTTCCAGAGGAATGACTAGCCCAAATGTAAATAGTAGCCCTGCATCGGTTTCGAAATCATGTTTTATATACATGTATAAATAAATAAATATATAGCGTCCACTAGATGAACTTTGACCTCAAAGATAATATATTGTATTTTCGATACAATCTTTAAATACAAAATTTATTACACAAAATCAGATATTATACAATTTTTATACACTTATATTTATCACTTGTCAGTTGGCAGTTTAAGGAAGACATTTTATAGGGAAATGTAAAGTTTGGTATGAGATATGAATGTTATTCGGACTTTAGAAGGAAATTCTCAAAAAATTATAGAAGGAAAATGGTTCGGTGCTGTTTGTGGAAAAGGTGAGCTTTTTCTTTCAATAAAAATCAGTTAAAACAATTATTACATATCTGTGTGCGTCC